CAGCGTGATAACCGTAGACTCTTCGCTTAGGTATCAGAACTGATATTTCACTTTGTCTGGTTCACTGACCATCATCAATATCATACAGGAAGCGGTACGGATCTTGTGGGTCATAGATGATCAGTGCACCTCGTAAACCGTCACAGTATTGGACCTGAATTCCGTTCAGTGATCGGTTGGAAGTTTATTAATCGGAACACGAACTCCATAATGAGAGTGGTACCAGTAGGTCCCTACTTGTTCGCCAGCATTGAACTCGTACAGAAAAGAATGACCAGGAGAGATCGGGCATTGCGTCACAAATGCTGCGCCATCCATTTGGTTACTATGACGTTGGAATAATCCATGCCAGTGCTGTCCAGGGTAGAATATCATCAAACGCTCTATGCTTCAACCAACTAGTGCTTACGATGCTGGTACTTGTGAGCATTGTTTCGTCATTTAAATGATTGGTCACGTTGATTTTGAATGTGTCCCCCTTAAAAGCACATAAGATCACCGAGAGTTCGTATGCACAAAGTAATCTCACTTTCTGACCCGTAATGATAGGCCCTGGGAGAGTGCCGCCAGCAAGAACCGCCCTGCCATGACCTCAGTAATCAAGCAGGATAAAAATTATACACAAACTGACGACTTGATGAATCCGTCGGGAGATATTTGAGCATTTGCGATGACTAGGTCAGCAACTGGACCAATCGTAACGGCGTAACTCTGGAGACTTGTCAGAACGCACAGCAATATATAGTGTTGAATCATGACCCGGAGGATGAGCGAAATACAGCACATCTTTTTTTGCTTAAGTAGTGCACTTTGTAATCACCTTTTGGATCTGGACCTCGCCCTGCTTCTTTTTCGGGCCGTGGATCGAAGTTGTCGACTATAAAGCAGCCATCTCCAGTGGTGATATCGTCCCAGTGGCCTCCCACCTGTAAGTCAGCACTGATCGAGTTGGATACATGGTAGAACAACACGACGACACTACTTAGCTTCAAACTACATATGATACTCACCTCAGCGGCACGAGGTAATACAAGCTCTTAGATCTTGGGAATTTCTTGGTGCTGGCTAGCGTTTATAAGTGGCGTATGGATTCCCCGAAGCGTCGGAATAAGGTTCCAGCCTCTTCGGAATGTTCTTGCGACAAAGATGAAAACTTAGCATCGCGTGAAGAAGCAACATCACTAGGATGAACAATGCTTCGGGGTATTTCAAATATGGAGCAGTGGCAATAAGTTGTGCCACTGGTAGTTGCTTAATGACTGAGTGTGAGCAGCAGCGTCGACTTTTGTACGTTGGTTGCAACCGCCATGTGCGCCACGTCACTTATCATGATGTCGGCGCACATCCAATGCACCTTGCACACACCTGAAGGATGAAAGTGATAGATAGGCTAAGTTTTATTATATCTCGGTATTTCAGGGAGCCATACCATTGTTTACCAGTGGGATTTGATTCGCTGGATGACACTCCGGCGGCTTATTGTCATCAAGTGCTCGTGGTATGGAAGGTGTTCGACCTCCTTACAATCGAAGGCGTGAATCGTGATGACCATCGAGGACAGGTGAGATGTCTGCAACTTTTCGGAGGCGCTGTTATCATTCCGGGTAATCCGCGAAAGGAAGGTAGTCAAGATGCAGACTATAATAGGTCACGAGTATTCCTATTTCTGCAGAGCTAGGGACGGAACGAGATGTAAGGACGATCGATGCATACCTCTGAGGATCGATGAAGGAACTTGAAGGTTGCAAGGGACCACGAGTATCGGCGGCGCGGCCCACGGGTAGGTACCAGCACAACTGAGTATACTGATAGCAAATCGAGTACATGTCCGGTCATCGGGGATGGTACAAAGGAATGTAAAATTAGCCCAGGACCAATCTTCGAGATCAGCTGTGATGAAGCGAATAGTTACATAGTCACCAACTCCAGCAGTCACGGTATCGTGCATGACAGGGTTGATGTAATTATAACTAATGACAGCGAAGCTGTAAACCATCTGTTGTATGTACATACATAGATGATATCTAGAGACGCACCCCATAGAGGTAGAATGGATGCTGTTAAAGGGTCGGTCTGTTGTCAATCAAAGGCATATGCATAAGCGATTATGAGAAGGACTCACAGGGAAGTATTGGGGATCATCAGCGTTCCAAAAACTTTGTCCCGCAGAAGAGTGTATACAGAGTCACGAGGTGCCAGATTCGAACCCGTCACATCACCGCCCAGTAGCTGCAGTAAAACTGGGACACTATGTGAAGTGCACTGAACACCATTGATGTGGAAGCTAAAATTGGTCTCATTTTTCTCAAGAATCAGATGGAACTTGGCGTCTACGCCATCTTCCTTGATCAAAAGAGGAGGAGGCGGATATAAGGGGTGTAGGTCAGTCTCATTCAGAGTGACCGAGTCTGGAATTGTCCTGATCTCGGGATCCACATCGCAAGAACCTGCAGAGCCCAAGATGGCCGCGGACTTTGATCCTAAATTCTGAACTGTATGCATCCAATAGTGGCCAGCAGGCTGATTGATCTCGAGAATGAGGGAATACTGTTCTGTAGCGTAGATCTAGATGGAGTCGACCACGAGTATTGGCCATCAACTTCGATGATAGTGAGCTTTATGATTATAGTTACCAACCGAGAATATAAATGTCGTTAGGCTTGCAAGCCATGTTGACTCGAAGTACTCGGCGGAAACGATACCGCTCGTATGGCTGAACGTTGATATGACAGCGTAAGGCATATCAGGCCCCTCTTGATAGCTCCTGACACCGCTGATAAGTACTGATTCAGGATTTATTTGTCTTTGGACTTGTATCCAGAGGCGATGGAGCATCATGATAATACTTGCAAAGTCGGAGCCGGTTACATCATGGGTATTGATTCATCGGGTTTGCTTGCCGATCCGATGATGGTACTTGAACTCTTCGTTTAAATGTCAAAAACGCACTCCATTTCTCCGAGTTCACTGACCATGACCATTATCAATATCATGCGAGAAAAAGTATGAGTCTTGTGTGTCGTAGACGATCAGTGCACCTCGTAGACCATTACAGTATTGAATAAACTGGACACGTTACCCTTGAGGTTATGACACTGAGGCTTCCTTGGCTTGCATCGCCCGTCTGTAGTAACATCGTACTTGCGCTCTTGTTCATACCACAGAATAAGACAACTGCATTTCATAGACCAAATGAGATGTCAGTATCATGTTGAAGTCGCGACAGAGTCGTTGATGATGATTTTTTACCCCAACCACAGTGACAGCTTCCGGCAGGCCTGAGATCTCATGCAATACTGCGTTCAACTGGCAACTGCTGCTGACGCTCAGCAATAATATCGAAAACATTCTGGCCCGAGGACGATGGTAGAGTGGTCGGTGTTAGGGAATATGGTACGAGGTTTCGAATTTCAAGGTCCGGAATCTGGTCAACTTCGTTAGCGTAATATTCGCCGGAGTGCCAGAATAGTAAACATACTACGATCACTGATAGAAATGGGTACTTTTACTATGTTTTGCATTGTACTGATGCATATACGGGGATATGTTGAGTGTTGCATTAGCTGTCTTTAGATTGTTAGTAACAAGTCGAGGAAGACGTCGATCAAGATGATTTGTCAGAACCGAAAATGTGATCTTCGGCTCGTTCAATGGCCCTCATCACCATCTCAGGTTACCCCTCCTCTGGAAAATCAACCCGCGCAGCCCAAATCCACGACTTTCTCTCATCAAATTCAAGCCCTCAGCTCAAAATAAAAGTCATCTCGGATGATGACTTGGCCGTTGATCGCGAGTCATATGATGGTATTGTCCCATCTTCTTCCTTCCCTTCAGACTGACCTCCGAAAATTAGACTCCCTTCAAGAAAAGATCGCCCGCGCAACTCTTTTCACCGCTATCACAAGGCACATCGCCAAAGACACAATCCTCATCGTAGACGGGATGAACTACATCAAGGGGTTTAGGTACCAACTGTATTGCAAGGCCCGAGAGGCTGGAGTAAGGGTCGCTACGGTGTGTAATAGATCACGATATTCTCACTCGCGCAACTAACGCGGTTGAGAAAAGTAGGTCTATGTACTTGCTACGCCTGATCAATGTCAGAAATGGAACGATGAACGAAGGGATGGGAAGAGATATAAACCTCAAACGTCAGTCTTTCCCCTTTTTATCTCCCCACCTATTCCTAAGCTCGAGACAGCCTCGACGCCCTCATCCAACGCTTCGAAGAACCCTCATCCATGGTCCGCTGGGACGCTCCACTCTTCACCATCCCCTGGGACGACCTAACACCCCCACTCGAACGCATATCAGATGCAGTCACAACTGGTATCGTCAAACCTCCAAACGTCGGCACCCAGATCACACCCAAAGCACCTACAGACGCCCTCCGCACTCTGGAGCATACGACAAACGCACTGGTTTCTGCGCTTATGGCTGCTCAGGCTGCTGGCCCGCTCGGGGGACCTATCGTCCTCACCATCGATTCGCTTGAGCCTAGTTCGAATACCAGTGCCAATGATAGTTCTGTTCTCCGTGTTCGCTTAACACTCCCGCATCGTGCACTGACACTATCAGAGCTGCAACGGCTGAAGCGCCAATTCGTGGCTGCGCGCCGGAAAGCTGTGACACTGGGAAGCACGGAAAAAGGGAGCGTGGATTGGGGAGAGGAGGGTGTGGGACGTGCGTTTGCAGAGTTCTTGGAGGAGGGGTTGGGTGTCGCAAGGTGACTTGCACGTTAAGCATCCAAAACAAGAGGGTTTTAGAATCCCGGGAGTAATACAACACAGGGCTTGTAATGTGGTACGCGCATCCAAGATCAAATAATTAACTCAGGTGAACACGATCTCTCATGCAGTGTCACTTTCTCGTAGAGTCTTTATAGATGAATCGCAGCATTTACCTTCGTAAGAAAGTATTCTCCTTGGTGCTTCGGAGGATCAGGCTTCACCCAGTGGACAATATTTTGGTATGAGAATATGCAGAAGTCGCCTTTTTGTTCACTTTTCATTATAGAAGCCTTGATGCATGATGCATGATGCCGAACCACTACCAGGTTTTTTCCGTGGCTCTGCATCTTGTATGCTCCCATGACGAAGAAGCTGATGTTGCTGATGTCGTGCTCCTTTCAGAATGGTATGATTCTTACGTCCTGATGGTGGTGCGCCGCCGCGGAAACCAGGCCACCAGCTCTGCTTCACCCTCAACTTGGTCAGGTGCTTCAGTAAGCCTACTTGGTCAGTCGTCCTACTCTTGTGCTTGGCGCGCACTGTCGCACCAGCAGCCCATAGACGGTGAGACAGCGGTGGGCAGAGCCTGGCTAGATGGGCAAGCATACAATAATGGTATCCCACTCTTCCTGTCAGCAACGATGATCAAATCAAGTGAGCCCAGAATATCCATACATGCTACATTATCGACATTACACCGCACCACTCCTTTGCCCCCTGGCACACATCATGCTAAGCGAGCATGTCAACACTGGGACTCTGATGGCAGAGGAGAATGACAGACTCACTCGGGCTCGCTAACAACTGAAGACGCCATCGGTTATCACACAGCAATTTTTACACGGGCAGTCCTGATAGTCATCAATGATGCTATTGGGTCCACAAAGATAACCGAAATCGTTATCGTTGTTCCAACCTTTGATGGCTGAGCACCCCACCGTATCTGCGAATACCAGCCGTCAGCATGTAGTCTAAGGTATGCAAAAGTGCTTACTAGGGGAGCCGCAAGGTAGCCCCATGGGACTTATTATCAGGTTGTCAGAGGCGACAGCTACACTAGCCATCGCTGCGACAGATATGATCATGGTGGTGAGTGAGGTGAATATCATTGCTAAAAGCTAATGGTATTGTCTGAGTCAAAAGCTACGTTGGCTTTTATACACAAGTAGTGTGGGGGCTGGGAGATCTGCACGTGGCCTGTACTATAAGGGGACGCAGTTAGCGAGTTCGGTCCATGATCATAATGATTTATTCAGCAGATTTTCAGTCTCTAACTAGATTTCGAATTTAGTCCGTGACCCCGAAAGCTGCCTTGTTTGGCTGCAAAATGCGAAGGTGACGTGGCGGGCGCTGGAAAACCTCATGTGTCGGATGAGGGTGACACGAATAGATCATGTGCTACTTGTGACGCGGCACTGTAGTAGGCCTTGACGTGGCATAGAGTGTGGATGTTGATATTAGTACAGAGACTGCGAAGATATTTGGGAGAAGTTGTCTAGGGTTCGGGATGAAACTATTCGGAGCCTTATTAACTAGCGGCTCTTTAGTCGCTTTTTAGCCAGCTACGTTGGCCACTCGTCATCACCACTATCAACCAGGCAATATACTAGTGTGATGGTAACTAGTCAGTAGAAGCTAGCCGGTGGGTCGACTTGGAGAGTCATTAACAGTATTAGCCATGTGAAGTTATTAGCAGGTTAATAACACGCTAATTAGCAAGGAGTTAACTCCATCAATGCTCATGTGATTACTGCCACCACTGCAGACGAAGAAATCACTTTGAGACTTTATTGTGTCGATGCACCTGTTCTTATCCATTTATCTCCTCGGTGAGTGTTAGGACATTCGGAATAGAGTAATGCGCGTCGGGCTGCGACCGGTATGCCTGAAAAGTAATAGCCGTCGTTGCCAGTGTTACCGCTGACCTATCTTGAATTCGCTATCAAATCTCCGGGGTATTCGTAGGGCCGAATTCTATGCCATTCGGCCAATTGGTTGTCCCGCGGATAACGAGGACCCTATTGTACTCACATTGTCAAACGCGTCGCTACCACCCATTTTTCAACCTCAACGATTCCTTATATACGTCCCGGAGTTCTGTCTCTCCGTGATACGCTGATGACAAGCACCGACGAGTTGCACGTGCAAGAGTCATCCGTGATGACGTCATTGTTGAAATTGCAACATTTATGCCGGACAGAGTTTCGTACTTGTGCCATGATTCTGCACGATTCAGTCAGCTGGACACAAATGGTGGTACTCAAACAGCTGCAGGAGTAATACAGATATCTCACGCAGAACTCGCCCTGCAGCTCCACTCAATCATCTTACGGATAACGAGCAAGATGCTGACGAAGAGCTTCTCTGGCTCTCGCGACTTTTCACTGGCCATGGATATTGGTGAAACTGTGGCGGCCGGCATCATCACTGCCTCAAGCATAGAAAATGCAACTGCATCTGTTATCAAGCACTCCCCGGTGGTACATCCAGTGACCGGTGAAACGCTTCATCCGAGACCATCCCACTGTTTACGCCGTCACATTGACGGGTTCGTGGCTCATTCATAAGAGGGCATATGATGTATGTGTGAAGCACATTTTTTAACTTCTACATGGAGTATTCGACTAACGATATCGCAGCAGCGAGGAGCTTGCAGTTCGTTACGGTGTGTCTCCTTTCTCGACCTGAGGGTGAATCACAACTGACAAGTCATCTACCATCAGTACATACACAGTGCGTACTATCTGAACCTCATATTCCCTGTTCTGATATAGCTCAGTGTCGATGGCTATACTCTGGGTAGGCTTATTCTGATCTATCCACGTCCGCTGTCAAACTTGCTTATTCAGACCTATGATTATGCATGTTCACTTCATGAGGAGGTAATACATTCGTTCTATTATACACATCGGTTTTGATATTGATAATATCATCGTTGTGCACAGTGGACATTTTTACTTCGATCACGCTGGTGCAAGATGAAAGGCCTTTATATTGTTACACGATACCTCTCCTTGATCTTTCTCGCCACAGATCTATATCGTGCGTTCCGCTCCACCACACATCGCCCCAATAATGGATTAACATTTTTTTAGTGTACTTTTCCCCGAATGAGAACCCAGGTGTATGTGATGTGGTGGAGGGTTAATGAGAACGAATCACTTACTACATGACTTCGCCAGAAATGCCGGGTGTTGGAAAATATTCAATCAGGTACGTGCACGGTACATTCATGTATGCACGTCCTTCCCGAAGGCTACTACTTTTCTCTCACAGGTCTTGGTACAGTATTAGTAATTTCTTCCGAATGTATCGATCGTTCCCCTTGTATCATGTGTGTTTCTGACCCGATTCATCCAGATTTTTTTGTCTCCAGAACATATGTGCTCTGGAACAAAAATAGGATCTTGCTCGCAGCTATCGTGTGCACGTCTTTCGTGAGTTCCAAATCCACTCACAATATCCAAGCTAGTGGTAGATGCATCAGCCAGATTGTCATCGTAGCTACCTTCGGCATCGTCTTCGTCACTGACGTCCCTGCAGCATGTATTTGCTCTAACCTTCCTTCTGAGTTCCATGCCCACTGAAACATCCTGTTCAATTTCGCAGATGCAACTAGCACAATCCCGGGAATCACAGGGTGCTACCAGAGTCCATCCAGTTACCAGCTTTTCATACCATTTCTTCTTCTTTCCTTGTTCGAAATGGGTGGGTAGCCAGGAGCATATATATATACAGGCACGCGCTGACCTGTGTTCTCCCAAGGACTCCTGATCCTCACGCTCATCCATGCCATACAGAGCTGGTGGGCAAACCAAAGCCGTCTGTACGTTCTCCTGGTGAACCATAACATATCCTATTATGCATGCGGTTTTCGTGAGTTAACATTCGCACATGCCATTTTCCCGTAGTCATCCTGATTTCTGAAGTGTTCTCGGTAACGAACGTCATCACACCGCTACTCCTCCAGGTGCACTGATCTCCTAAATGCCTTTTATGATCTCACCATTGATGTTCTGCGCCCCAGGACTCCTACCAGACTATTTTGAATAGGTGTGCACCTCCACGTCCTGCTGCATGTTTTTACTAATAATACTCAAAACGAACATTCACGTAGTGTCCAGTTTATCATGCTTGCAATCCTTGCCACGCGCATGCACCTCCATCTCTGGGAGGTGAACCGACACCCACGCGGCTCTACTAGTGCCCTTGTGCATATTCCAATGTCCGACATTTCGTTTGCAAATCCCACGGAGTGATGTCTTATTCTGCGGCTTATTCGGTGTCGTTCATGGAGTGAGGCTTGGACTGTACAAGATGATTGGTGGAGGTGGGTTTGGTAGAGTTTGTTACGTCCTTAACTTATTGGATGTGTCTGTTGCGGAGTGGGAGGAGCATTTGGATGTCCTTGGTCTACCTAACACCCTAGTTTTTAATGTAAGCGGTGGCAGATTCAGGATCCAGAATTTGAGTATGCTAGAGCCAGGCGGAAATAAGCATTATGGTACAAGTCTACTGAGTACACCAAGCTCCACGAATTAACGAAACGTCCCTGTTATGATAGGTTGGCATCTAGGTTTTTTGGTGTTAACGGAGAAACGGTCCTTGCCTACGGAATTTGGGTGCAGGTGGGTTGATCGCTGCAACGCCGGTTCATACATGCAGGTACTATGTGTGGGCGAGAGTCCTTCAAACCTTGGTTTACTAAGCTTGAGTGCTATCGCATTGAGGACAGACGCCGCCGCTTACAGTGGAAAATACATGTGTTAAATAGACCAATGATATCCAAATGCCCCTACCACCCGCGACAGACTCATCCTATAAATTCAGCACGTAACAAAACTCTATCAGGCCCACCCCATCAGTCATCTTGTACGGTCCAAGCCTCGATCCACGAATGACACTGAATAAGCCACAGAATAAGAAATCACTCCGTGGGATTTGCAAATGAAATGTCGGACATTGGAATATGCACGAGGGCACTAGTAGAGCCGTGTGGATGTCGGTTCACCTCCCAGAGATGGAGGTGCATGCGCGTGGCGAGGGTTACAAGGATAGCATAATGGAAACTGTCCATGGATGTACGTTTCATGTGGTATCAGTAAGAATACACAGCAGGATGTAGAGGTGCATACCCATTCAAAATGGTCTGGTAAGTATCCTGGGGCGCGGAACATCAACGGCTCGATCATAAAATGCATGTAGGACATTCACGCACCTGAAGGAGCAGCAACGTGAAGACGGTAGTCACCGAAAACACTTGAGGAAAGAGAATGATTATGGATAATTAAGGAAAAACGGCGCGAATGAATGCTAACTCACGAAGAGCGCATGCATAATAGGATATGTTGTGATTCACCAGGACAACGTACAGACGGCTTGGGTTTGTCCGCCAGCTCTGTATGGCACGTATGAGCGTGAGGATCATGAGTCCTGTGGAGAACACCAGTCAATGGGCATTTCATATATATGTGCTCCTGGTTACCCACCCAGTTCGAACACGGAAGAGAGCAGAAATGGTATGAAGAGTTGGTAACTGGTCGAACTCCGGTGGCACCCTGTGACTCCCGGGATCGCGCTAGTCGTATCTGTGAAAGAGAGCAAAATATTTCAGTTGTCGTGAAACTCAGGGGACTGAGGGTGAGAGCATGTACATGCTGCGGGGATGGTAGTGTCGAAGGTAACGCTCAAGGATGCTACGATAAACATCTGGCTGATGGCATTTACCACTAGCTTGTGTTATATGAGCGATTGGAAACTCACGAACGAAGTGCACAGCATGGCTGCGAGCAAGATTCTATTTTTGTTCCAGAGCACATATGTTCTGAGGATAAAAAAACCTGGATAGATCAGATTAGAAACACGCATAATACGAAGGGAACCAGAGATACATTCGGATAAAATGACTAATACAACGACGAGACCTGTGGGGAGAAACTAGTAGCCTTCGACAAGGACGTGCATGTATGGATGTACCCTGTACATACCTGATTCAATATTTGCCAACACCCGGCATTTCTGGCGCGAAGTCATGCAATAAGTCGTTCGTTCTTATCAACTTGCCACCGCATCACATACAGTTGGGTTCTCATTCGGGGTAAAGTTCACTGAAAAACATGTGTTAATTCATCATCGGAGCGATGTGGGCTGGAGTGGAACGCACTATATAGATTCGTGGCAAGAAAGATAAAGGGGAGGTATCGTGTGACGATATACAGGCCTTTCATCTTGCTCCAGTGCGATCGAAGTAAAAATGTCCACTCTGGACAGCATGCTGTGGATATCAGAAGCAAGGTGTATCATGGAACAAGTGTATTACCTCTTCATGAAGCGAACATGCATAATCATAGGTCTAAATAAGTGAGCTTAACAACGGACGTAAAGAGATCAGAAAAAGCTTACCCAGATTGTAGCCGTCGAGGCTGAACTGTGTTAGGACAAATAATGTGGGGTTCAGACAGTACGCACCAAATATGTACTGATGGTACATGACTTGTCAATTGTGATTCACCCTTATATCGACAAGGAGACACACTTTGAAGGACTGCAAGCTCATCGCTGTTGCGATATCGTCAGTTGAATACACCATCTGGAGGTCAAAAAACGTGCACACTACTATCATGCGCCTTCGTAGCTCTTATGAATGAGCTGTGAACCCATCGATGTGGCGGCGTAAACCCTAAGTTAAAATTAGTTCGAGATCAAACTTAGCTAGCTTACTGCGGTCGTGATGGAGCGTTTCAGCGTTCATTGGATCTACACGCCGGGGAGCAACTTGATAAGAGATGCATTGGATGACTAGTAGATGACTTCCCACAGCATTTAGATGGGACTCGTTGAAAAAGTTATAGTGACTTGTTGACGAGCAGATATTGGCTGTGTGTGCCTGTTCGTTGCTGAGTTAGAACGGCCGACCGCCCTATACGCTGATGAGTCAACTTGCATTTGCTTCCGGTGTTATGCTACTAACTAGTACTTATTCTTGTATATTTTGATCATCTCTGAAATGCTGTCCAGGTCCCTGCCAGTCTGTTTCATGTATACCTCCGTTCCTGAATCACCACCGCCACGGGTTGTAGTTGATGACCGGTGGTGCAGTTGTTTGATCGTGTGATAGACTGAAGGCAAGTATTTCTTAGCAGAGGATGATCGATGAACGTCCATGGGGAGTACTACATTGAATTGAATAGTAGGTTTTATAACTTGCCTTTCATTCAGCGACAGTCACCATAGTTAATTGTTAGCGGATCGTATGACTTCTCCATTCGCATCTGGGATCTCGAGACCAATCAGGCAGTCGGAGATCCACTCTTGCATGATGACCAAGTCTTGGCTCTTGCCCCGTCCCGCGATGGAAAATACATTGCCAGCGCTGGAATAGACAAAAAAATCTATGTATGGAACCTGGAGGCTGCGCTCATAAACGGTGTGGTATGTATGCGTTTTGTTGTCTAATTTCCCTTCCAATATCATGGTTCTACACGCTAATTTCTCACTCGCAGGTGGCAGCTGCAAACCCACCAACGAACGTATGTGACGTATTTATTAATGTTGTCAACCATTTCAAGCTCGTCACTCTAGAGCAATACTACCCGGCTCCCACCTATTCATGCCCGTCGAATACCTCCAACGTTTTTTGATGATTTTGACATTCATGTGGGTTCTCGCCGTCTTTTGAATCAGTTCTTATTCTCATCTCCGAGTCTTGCAATTAGTCCTCCACATCGCCTGGTGTTCATCACCCTTCTTCCCGTCGCGTCCTCGCACCATCTATTGAGAGTGCACGTGCACTCTTTGCCCGCATTCCATCGCTTTTTCATCACTCTCGCTCCAGCGCCGGCGACGAACTCCAACAAACCCAAAGGCAAGGGATCTTCTCTCGTCGTAGTCCTTGTGCTGTCCAAGTTGCTGCAGTATGGGACAAACAGGTATTCATTCCTCGCATTCGTTTTCATACACTGGCCTAATAATTCCGCTGTAGACTTTGTTTGTTGCTCCCCGGCCAAAACAGAAGCAGCAGCAGAGCAGCCAATTGCATGGTCAGGGATCATCATCGCAATCTCAACCTACCGGCACTCCGACGCCTGTTCCAAATAGTAGCACTCAGGCTCCCACAGCAGCTGCAGTGACCATGAAGTCACGAGTCCTTACGTTGTTGGCCCGTCTGGTGCTTTTGATTTGTTGTGCACCTCTTCCAAGCACCAATGGCCGTTGATGCTGTAGCACACGAAAAACTATTCCATCTTCTCTGTATGTATACTTCTTTCGCTATGCCATGGATCATATCTTTATTTTCCCGTCGTGATACTCGTGCAGTCCGTCGGACTTGAACCACTTGCTAACAAGAGGAACGTTCCATGACTCCAAGATGATAAGCATCATGTTTCATCCGCTCAACATTCATTATAATGGACTGTCAGGTAAATCATTGAATCAATCTCAGATGAGAACAAAATCTTCGAACGTCCAGCTGATCAAGTCCCAAACACGTCCTATATGTAGGTTCCCGAAGATCAGCACATTTATGTCAGTATTTTCGCAAAGTCAGGCGGTCGAGGATCAAACGCTTGTGGCATTAGGTATGTCCACTGTACGCGAAGCACATTCCAGTTCTGTAATACTCCGTTAAAGATCGAACCAAGGCATGCCATGCCAGTGTTTACTATTCCCTTTAGCGACTGAGCAGTTGTAAGCTACCGCACGATCTTAGCTGATTTCTGCGATGAGTGAAAAAAGCTTGCGTTGGATGAGAGATTCCAGCAGTATGAGAAGATCGCAGACTCAAAGGTGATATAGACCAGCTGAGTCAGTCGGACGCCGTCCCTGAGCTTGACAAGTTAATGATATGCAGGCTTGTTCGTCCTGCTCGCGTGTCAGCTAATCAGGTTGCCATAGCGTGGCGATGATACTTGATGCTCCACTGTAGTGAACGGAATGTTTCACCAAGCTGCAAGTTAATGTCGTCGAAGTGAGGGCGCGCCCACTGCACCCTGTCAGAGGTGTCGAGCTTATGATCGAATAGCACGCTCGTACACGATTCTTGTATGCGCTGATCATGATGTGTTAACTTGAGATCATATGAATATGGAGTGATGACATTGATCAATTTTTCACTTGCCTGATGTGCATTACTTCGACATTGCACGGCGAGTCGCGCTGACGCCGAACAAAGATGTTGGCAGAATGGGTCAATTCCATCGTTCACAATTTAGTCCATATAAGAAGTCGACAATAAAAACAGCGAGTCATAGTTCTATTAAGATATGGTAGCAGTCGCGGATTGAAGGTGGGACATGTGCCTAAATCATCCTGATGTGCTCCACTGAAATCGCATGTAGCACGAGACACTAGGACGAGATAGAAGCGCTCTCCCCAGGGAATGAGGCATCGTCAAAGGTGGAACAAGTCTTTGAAGAGCCAATTTGACTGGGAGGAAAAAATATCGTTCAAACACATCGGGGGAAATGAAATGAGCATTATATAAGACGACTTTTAAGTGACAAAAGGGTATGCTCATTACTAGTAGGAATGTGCCGTTTATATCACGATAACCTGTGAGACAGATAGTAAGCTTCGAGTTTATGGAAAAAAGAAGCAAGGATAGGATCAGTGGTGCAAATATTTGGCTTATGCTCTACCGTTCGTCAACGCCCATAGCTACGACTGGGGCGGCAAGCGAAATCATCATGGAAAAAAATTGGAACGTCACCCACCTTTTACATTGATGTCGGTCTGCGTCCTAATAGACGAAGGCCACCCAATCGAATCGGCTCTACAACTGTCCGAGAGAACATTGGAGAAAGATATAACGAAAGTCCAATGCGGACGGGTAAAAGTGCCTGAATGAATATCAGTCACTATCCCACCCGTGGTAAAGGAAAAAAAATACCTTGACTGCACCGTAAGCCAGAACGGCATTAGCAACGTCCCCCGCTAGCTTACCAGACAACTCGCTCGTCTGGGTCTGGTCCACAACCTTGCCTTTCTCAAAGCCGAAGATGCCATATCGACGTCCAACGCGACCAGCCCATTGCTCGCCCTCATCAACCCACGATCTCAGCCGAGTGTTCACCCAATACTGGTCGTCGATAGAGCCATCCCGTTTGGGAGCAACAGCATCGACAACGCGTTCACCTACGTTTAGACTGCGTGCCGTGTAAAAAATGCCCACGATGGGAACGATGGCAGTCAACTCATGCAGGATGGCAAAGGAGATTATGAGAGAAGGTAGCGGTGTTCCTGTCCTCCCAGAAACCGCGGTGAGGGCATTTCTGTAAGGTGCAAATCTTCCCCCAGAGTTCGACATGCAAAAATTTATAGGCAGGACGCAGCTTAGGTAATAAGACCGGTTATGTGTCGAGTGGCTGTGCAGGTAAGCGCGAGTCGTTCAGTCAACGATATAAACTGTCCTGTAGCTGCCATGCAGCAACGCGACGCATGGGTACGTGTTTTCTCTCCGCAACAGTGCATCAAATACGATGGCCCCTCCCAAGTATCTCGAAGTCGCAGAAGTCAAATTTGGTTTGACACCCATCTCAAGACACACCCGCATGCGCTGGCGCTACTGTCTCCACAATGGCGGGCCCATCTTCAACTACTAGTATTACAGGCTCGTTCACTACTTTCGCATATCTCAAATCTGTGAATTCCTACACTGCCGTCTATCATCTCACTAGCCCATCGCGCATTCTCCAATGTCTTTGACCACACCACATTTCCGAACAATTTCATCGGACACTCCCTTGGCAATATGCCATAAATGTTGATCTTTTGGTAAGTTCATGAGCGATATGACGGGTCAAACAGTGTTTCCGGTCCGCATCAAGGCAGATGTCCTGACTTCCCCGCCCTAAAGTAATGTTTGTCACTGACAAACCATGAAGTGCAAATAACTTACCCGGTCGAGTGAGACAAATTTGAATTGTTGACAGCGTAGGTCATTGCAGATGTGGTCCTATCATAACAGAAACGTTTCGTTAATCCGGAGAGCTTGGTGTGCTTTACTAGATCTGTACCATAATGCTCCACGCCGTCAGGCTGTACATGTGCGTTTGGCACTAGCACACTCAAATCCGCCGTCGCTTACAGTGAAAACTACGGGTGTTAAATGGACCCAAATGCTACTACCACCCCGGGGACAGACTCATTCTATCGGGTTGAGCACGTAACCAACTCTACCCAACCGTCTCCCACTAGTCATCTTGTACGGTTCAAACCTCGCTCCACGAACGACACCGAATGAGCCACAGGATAAGACAATCACGCCGTGGGATTTGCAAATGAAATGTCGGACATTGGAACATGCACGAGGTTGCTAGTAGAGCCGTGCGGATGTCGATTCACCTGCCAGAGATGGAGGTGCATGCGCGTGGCAAGAATTGCAAGTATGATAAACTGGAAACTATAGGTGGGTGTGCATTTTGGGTATTGTTAGCAGGAGAATGTGGCGGTACATACTTATAAAAAAAGGTTTGGTAGGAGTCCTGGAGCGCAGAACATCAACAGCTCGATCATAAAAGAGATTTATGATATTCACGTACCTGGAGGAGCAGCGATGCGAAGACGTTCGTTACCGAGAGCACTTCAGGAAAGACAATGATCATGGATGAGTATGGGAAAACGGCGCGAACATGTGTAAACTCACGAAAACCGCATACATAATAGGATATGTTATGGTTCACCAGGACAACGTACAGACGGCTTCGGTTTATCCGCCAGTTCTGCATGGCGCATATGAGCGTGAGCACCATGAGTCCTGGGGAGAACACCGGTTAGCATGTGTTTGTACAGATATATGCCCATGGTTCCCACCCAGTTCGAACACGGAAAGGAAAAGGAATGCTATGACGTACTGGAAACTGGTAGAATTCCGGTAGCACCCTGTGATTCCCGGGATCGCGCTAGTCGTATCTGCAAAAGGGAACAGAATGTTTAAGTGGTCGTGGAACGCCAGAGGGAAGGTGAGAGCGACTACATGCTGCGGGGATGCCAGCGGCGAAGACAATGCAGAAGGATGCTACGAGAAAGGTCTGGCTGATGAATTTACCACTAGCCTGGGTATTGTGAGTCAATTGGGAACTCACGAAAGAGGTGAACAAGATGGCTACGAGCAAGATTCTACTTCTGTTCCAGAGTACATATGTTCTAAGGATAAAAAAACCTGGATGAATCAGGTCAGAATCATACATAATACGGGGGGAACGATAGATACTTTCGGAGACAATGACTAATACTATTCCAAGACCTGTGGTAGGGAAAGTAGTAGCCTTCAGAAAGGACGTGCATACATGAATGCACTACGCACGTACCTGATTGAGTATTTTCCAGCACCCGGCATTTCTGGCGAAGTCATGCAGTAAGTCGTTCATTCGTTAACCGTCCACCACATCACATACGCCTGAGTTCTCGTTCGGGGTAAAGTACACTAAAAAAACAAGTGTCAATTTATCATCAGGGCGATGTGTGCTGGAACGCCGGGACGCACTGAATAGATCCGTGGCCAGAAAGATAAAGGGGAGGTATCGTGTAATGATATAGAGTCCTTTCATCTTGTTCCAGCGTGACCGAAGCAAAAATGTCCACTGTGCATAGCAATGATATTGTCGATATCAAAACTGAAGTGCGGAGCAAGTGTATACCTCTTCATGAAGTGAACATGCATAGTCATAGGTCTGAATAAGCGAGTTTGTCAGCGGATGTGGATAGATCAGAATAAGCCTACCCAGAATGTAGCCATCGATGCTGAACTGTGTTAGGACAAAGAATTTTGGATTCAGGCGGCACCCACCCAATATGTACTGATGGTACATGAGTTGTCAATTGTGATTCACCCTCATATCGACAAGGAGACATACCTTAAAGGACTGCAAGCTCATCGCTTCTGTGACATCGTCAGTTGAATACACCATCTAGAGGTCAAAAATGTGTTTCACAAACACGTACACACATCATGCGCCCTCTTAGCTCTTATGAATGGGCTGTGAGCCCATCAAGGTCACCGTGGCGTAGACGCTAGGATATCATTGAAGTTACTGTGAGTTCAAACTTAGCTAGCTCGCTGCGGTCGTGATGGAGCGTTTTACCGTTCACTGGATGTACCGGCCGGGGAATCACTTGATATTGGATGACACATCGGCGGTTTCGGAATTTTCACACAAGCAAAGATTTGAATCAAAATGGGATTGATATACTACTCCCACCTCCGCGACAGACTCATCCTACAAGTGAAGTACGTAGCAAACTCTACCAAACTCACTCAGCAGTCATCTTGTATGATCCAAGCACCGCTCCACGAACGACATCGAATAAGCCACAGGTCACGCCATTGAATTTACAGATGGCGCGTCGGACATTGGAATATGCATGAGGGTGCCAGAGCCGTGTCCACGTCGGTCCGTTTTCCAGAGATGGAGGTGCATGCGTGTGGCAAGGATTGCAAGGGTCATGAACTCGAAACTATACGTAGGTGTACGTTTCGGGTATTATTAGTAGGAATACGCAGCGGGATGTGGATGTGCATACTCATACAAAATGTTCTGATAGGAGTACTGGGATGCAGAACGTGAACGGCTCGATTATAAAAGAGATTTAAGATATTCACGTACCTGGAGGAGCAACGATGCGAAGACGTTCGTTACCGAGAGCACTTCAGGAAAGACAATGATCATGGATGAGTACAGGAAAACAGCGCGAACAAGTGTAAGCTCACGGAAACCGCATGCATAATAGAATATGTTATGGTTCACCAAGGCAACGTACAGACGGCTTGGGTTTATCCGCCAGTTCTGTATGGCGCGTATGAGCGTGAGCACCATAAGTCCTGGGGAGAACACCTGTCAGTGTGTGTTTGTACAGATATATGCACATGGTTACCCACCCAGTTCGAACACAGAAAGGAGAAGAAATGGTATGAAGTACTGGAAACTGGTCGAACTCTGGTAGCACCCTGTGATGCCCGGAACCCCGCTAGTCGCATCTGTAATAGTGAACAGAATGTTTTAGTCATCGTGGAACGCCAGAGGGCAGATGAGAGCGAGTACATGCTGCGGGGACTCCAGTGGTGAAGGCAATGCTGAAGGCTGTTGCGAGAATAATCTGGCTAATGCATCTACCACTAGTTTGTGTATGGTGATTGGATTGGGAACTCACAAAAAAGGTGGACAGCATGGCCACAAGTAAGATTATATTCTTGTGCCAGAGCACATATGTTCTGAGGATAAAGAAAACTGGATGGATCAGATCAGAAAGACACATGAGATGGGGGGAACGATAGATACTTTCAGATACAATGACTAATACTATTCCCAGACCTAGTAGTAGCCTTCAGAAAGAATGTGCATACATGAAAACCACGCACGCACCTGATTCAGTATTTTCCAACACCCGGCATTTCTGGCGAATTCATGCAGTAAGTCATTCGTTTTCATTAGCTTCTCACCCTATCACATACACTTGGGTTCTCATTCGGGGTACAATACACTAAAAACAAGTGTTAACCCATCATCGGGCGATGTGTGCTGGAGCGGACCGTACGATATAGATCCGTGGCGAGAAAGATGAAGGGGAGGTATCGTGTGACGATATAGAGGGTTTTCATCTTGCCCCAGCGTGATCGAAGTAAAAATGTCCACTTTGCACAGCAATAATATCGTCGATGTTAAAACCGAGGTACATCATAGAACGAGGGTATTACCTCTTCATGAAGTGCACATGCATAATCATAAGTCTGGATGAGCGAGTTTGACAGCAGACGTAGATAGATCAGAATAAGCCTACCCAGAATGTAGCCATCGACACTGAACTTTATTAGGACAAGTAATATGAGGTTCAGACAACACGCACTATGGATGTACTGATACGTAGATGACTTGTCAATTGTGATTCGCCCTCATATCGAGAAAGGAGACACACCGTAGCGAGCTGCAAGCTCCTCGCTGCTGCGAGATCATCGGTCGAATACTCCATCTAGAGGTCAAAAAATGTGTTTCACACATACGTCGTGGGCCTTATGAATGAGTTGTGAACCCATCAGGGTGGCGGCGCAAACACTGGGATACCATCATTGGAGTTAGTTCGAGTTTAAACACAGCCTCTTGCTGCGGTCGCGATAGAGCGTTCCTCCGTTCACTGTATGTACCTGCCGGGGAGCGACTTGATAAAAGATACAGCTGCACCTCCGATGCCCGAGGCAGTAATTTTACTGATAGTCCGAGTCGGCCCTAGCGTACTTCAAACTACATGGTACGAATAGCCAAAATTGGCAATCGATGTTGATAATTATTTGGCGTAATGACGTTGCGATACTTTTTTCGTCCCTTGAGGTGTTGACAGTTACGCTAAGAGGCAAAGCTCGCGCGCACACCTTCAAGCTTCAAGCTCCAAGCTCCAAGCTTCAAACTTGATGCATGATGATCGGACAATATTCATACCGATTATGGGAACTCAGGTAAGCAACGAGCTTAATACAGCAGCAGGCAATGGGTATTGACGGAGCGACGGTGTGTCCTGAGACGAAAAATTCTATCTTCTTCCATTTTGCGTTCTGTCTTGTTATGAACACAGTGCGGTGTGTTATTGCTGCCCGCACCGCTGCACATCGTACTGTGCCGCAGACCAATTAGTCTTGCATCCGTGGTATTCGAATGAGTTGATTCCTGCTGACGTAGTGCCGACTTTCGTCCTTGCCTCGGAATTTCGGTGTTCGTATATGTGCTCAGATTGATTATATTTATTTCTCTGACAACCTTGCAGACACCCTGCTGTCTGTGATGGAGATACTGCTACCCAAATGGGAGATTCTATGGTTCTTCAAGTTTTGTGCAACGTTGTGAGACTGCGCAATATCTTACAGATTTATTTATGGAATCAAATATGAGCTTTATCTTCGAAGAAGAGCACGTCCACGCCGTTTTCAGGCTGGTGGATTGTTGCAACACCGGTTTATACATGCAGATATGTGTGAGTGAGAGTCCTTCAAGCTTCAATCCTCGGTTTACTGAAGTGCTATTGCATTGAGGATGGTGAAGTGGACTCTGATTACCAGCTGAGTCAACTGTTAATTTCTTCTCCGGCGCTGCGTCCTCCTCTCAGACCACTGATTTTTGTGTCAATGCAGAGAAGACTATCAACTTTAGTGTTACAGCCGCACCAGAAGACCTTGCCGACTAAGGGAGACCAGGCATTGAGCGCTGAGCCCTTGAGCTTGAACGTCTGCACACTTTGTTATTTGACACGATTCTCCCAGGTACTCAGTAGACTCTGCTGAAGTCCTGAAAGCAAGCTGAGCTCAATGTTCGGCGAACCAGTACGTACTCTCCTACACTGTAATGCAATAGCACCTAATGCTGACGACATGGGTAGCAAGTAACTTGTATTCTCAAGGACCCATCACCTTCTATAAGACGTCGTCATCCTTCACGCCACTGGAAGAACAGCCGCTTATTCCAGACCATCTCCACGACTATGCAATGCGCTGAACAATTGGAGCCCGACCCAACCCTTCGTTTGCACAGACCGAGACTGCAGTCAAAGGCATGTACAGGAACTCGAGTTGAGGGGCATACAACTTTGTCGTGAACCCTCTATATGAGTAATCATCCATGGCTGTGTGATCAAGTCAAATTTCTTGTAATATACATGATCATGTGTAGCAGGACTCCGGAGCAGAATTAGATCATCCTTGATTTTGAGTCTAGCACACTCAAGATTTGGATCCCTGCGCCGCCACCGCTTACACTAAAAAATACAGGTCTTAAATAGATCAAGGACATCCAGATGCTCCTACCACCCTGCGACAGATTCATCCTATAAGTTAAGCACGTAACCAACTCTACCAAACCCACTCCCACCAGTCATCTTGTACGGTCCAAACCTCGCTCCACGAACGACACCGAATAAGCCACAGGATAAGACAATCACGCCGTGAGATTTGCAAATGAGATGTCGGACATTGGAACATGCACGAGATTGCTAGTAGAGCCGTGTGGATGTTGATTCACCTGCCAGAGATGGAGGTGCATGCGCGTAGCAAGAATTGGAAGTATGATGATCTGGAGACTATATGTGGGTGTACAGTTTGGGTGTTGTTAGCAGGAGGATGTGGCGGTACATACTTAAAAAAAAGGTTTGGTAGGAGTCCTGGAGCGCAGAACATCAACGGCTCGATCATAGAAGGGATTTAAGATATTCATGTACCTGGAGAAGCAGCGATGCGAAAATGTTCGTTACCGAGAGCACTTCAGGAAAGAGAATGATCATGGATGAGTATGAGAAAACAGCGCGAACAAGTGTAAGCTCACGGAAACCGCATGCATAATAGGATATGTTATGGTTCACCAGGACAACGTACAGACGGCTTTGGTTTATGCGCCAGTTCTGTATGGCGCGTATGAGCGTGAGCACCATGAGTCCTGGGGAGAATACCTGTTAGCGTGTGTTTGTACAGATATATGCCCATGGTTACCCACCCAGTTCGAACACGGAAAGGAGAAGAAATGCTATGACGTACTGGAAACCTGTCGAATTCCGGTAGCACCCTGTGATTCCCGGGATCGCGCTAGTCGTATCTGTGAAAGGGAACAGAATGTTTAAGTGGTCGTGGAACACCAAAGGGAAGGTGAGAACGAATACATGCTGTGGGGACGCCAGCAGCGAAGAAAATGCTGAAGGATGCTGCGGGAAAAGTCTGGCCGATGCATTTACCACTAGCTTCGGTATTGTGAGTGAATTGGGAGCTCACGAAAGAGGTGAACAAGATGGCTACGAGCAAGATTCTATTTCTATTCCAGAGCACATATGTTCTAAGGCTAAAAAAAACTGGATGAATCAGATCAGAAACACACATAGTACGGGGAGAATGAGAGATACTTTCGGAGACAATGACTAATACTATTCCAAGACCTGTGGTAGGGAAAGTAGTAGCCTTCAGAAAGGACGTGCATACATGAATGCACTACGCACGTACCTGATTGAGTATTTTCCAGCACCCGGCATTTCTGGCGAAGTCATGCAGTAAGTCGTTCGTTCTTGAACCTTCCACCACATCACATACACCTGATGTCTCATTCGGGATAACATACACTAAAAAAACAAGTGTCAATTCATCATCAGAGCGATGTGCTGGAGCGGGACGCACAATATAGATTTGTGGCAAGAAAGATAAAGGGGAGGTATCGTGTAACGATATAGAGTCCTTTCATCTTGCTCCAGCGTGATCGAAGCAAAAATGTCCACTGTGCACAGCAATGATATTGTTGATATCAAACCCAAGGTATGTCATAGAATGAGGGTATCACCTCTTCATGAAGTGAACATGTATAATCGCAAGTCTGGATAAGCGAGTTCGACAGCGGACGTAGATAGATCAGAATAATCCTACCCATAATGCAGTCAATGACGCTGAACTGTGTTAGGACAAAGAATTTTGAATTCAGGCGGTACGCACCCAGTATGTACTGACGGTACATGAGTTGTCAATTGTGATCCACCCTCATATCGACAAGGGGACACACCTTAAAGGACTGCAAGCTCCTCGCTTCTGCGATATCGTCAGTTGAATACACCATCTGGAGGTCAAAAATGTGTTTCACACACGCACACACATCATGCGCCCTCTTAACTCTCATGAATGGGCTGTGAACCCATCAAGGTGATGGCGTAGACGCTGGGATATCATTGAAGTCAGTGTAAGTTCAAACTTAACTAGCTTGCTGTGGTCGTGATAGAAGTGTTTCACCGTTCACTGGATGTACCGGCCGGGGAGTAACTTGACATTGGATGACCACGGCTGTGTATGCCTGTTTGTTACCGAGTTAGACTATCACCCTATAGTACGCTGATGAGTCGATATTTTTACTTGTGGCATTTGCTCGCGGTATGTAAGTATATTTAGGTGAGGCCTTGCTTAAGTACTGAGACACGATATCATCAGGATCAGCCCTAGAGCCTGTACAATCAGAAATAGGGCTTCTAGCGTGTCACAGGCTTATTGTCTCCCGTGTGCAATTTCGAGGATGGTGTCGTATAGGTATTCAGCATATGTCAATCACGAATCATCAATCATAATGTATTTGGCAGTGCAAGTGCATGATGCATTGAACATCATAGTGCGTTCTGGATCAGATTCGTTCCATCCTTGTCATATCTTTGTTCATCGTTTTGATATAATCATGATAATCCATAGTTCAAGCCTACGAGGCGACAGATAAGGTGAGTTTGCTCCGCTTCGACCTACTCTGTGTCACTGTTTCTTGTCTGACTTCCGAGTCTCTGGTGCTATACCGCAGAATGGCGTAACATTCATCGGCAGTTACGCCTCGGGCTCGGCCTTGCTAGCTGAAAAGGGTGGCTTGTTTCGATCGCATCATGCCCAAACCTGTACATTAGATCGATGGCTACATAACGAGCTGCTCGAATTTTGCAAGCTTGCAGCAGGGACTCCCAAACATGGCGTTAGAAAGAAGTTGCCGACATCACCACGACTGGAACTTTCCTGGTGTCCGAGTAGTGGCGTGGTTCACAAATCAAATTCTACGAGAGGCTTCCTCTTTTATTCAATTTTGCACCGCAATACTCACTTCGCCTGTGATATAGGTTTCTCAAAGTTGTCTCCTATGTGCAACTTCCTCTTCGACCTAGGCCTTGGGATGTATAAGTATTTTAACAAATATCAATAAGTAGTCACGTGTGTAACACTGGTTCGATCCGATCAAGGGATTCCATGTGGTTTTTGCTTCTTGGACTCAGGCTGTTCCACCCACTGATCAAGGGTCTTGAGACGCGATCAAATATCCGTCACCATCATGCTGATTTTGGTGATACAAGGGCTAAAGGGTGGTACGTCTAGCACGAACGCTATCGTCATACACCACTAACATTCCCCACTCATGGTGTCTTAGATTGAACTCATCTGGGTGAGTGAGAAGAATCCCGTCTTAGAAGAAAACAAGAGCATGCAGTGAATTCGCGACAGAGACAAGGCTGGTCTTTCATGACTGCTGTATTTAATTGTTCGTACCTCATGTTGTACTTTAGCGTGGTGGGCAACTTGTGCTGACTCCAAATTTTTTTAGATACGCTATATTGGAATACCATATTCTGTGTATGTGTCGAGACCAACAGCTTTGCACTGTGGTAATGGCTCACCTCTGACAACTAATGTCAATATTCTGCGTATGTCTCATTGCACTGTGTTCCATTTTTCTGACCGGCGGGACATAGGAAATATGCCATCAGTATCGCTGACAGATGCAGTAAGTATTCTGCAACCATCTCAGTCCCATTCAATCAATACACTCATGTAGGAGTTAGTGAGATTCCAACCATCGAACTTGGCTCAACATAATGACTCAATAGGTGTAGGTCGGAGTCTTTGATACTAGTGCGAGGATGTTCACTAATCGGGAGTTTTAGGCGCTATCGTGTACCACACAGTAAATGGGACAAATGTGGCCTGCTGTCATGCTTGGCGGTAAGTTACCCAGGGCACAATACCTCTGTGATATTGGCCTGACTGACAGTCATCATGATTGCTCGGCTGTATACCATGTATCAAGGATCTAGAACGATGCTCGTCTTCCTTGTTATTATATTTCTGGCAGTTAACATTGCCTGCGGAGTGATCTCGGCAATAGACCTCAAGTATACTGTATCAGGTAAGCTTCCCCTGTTGACTTGAAGAACACGGCTCATTGGAAAAATACCAGAGGAGGTGATACTCAATGATTTGGATGCTCAACGCTGTTTGGGAGGTCCTCGTATTGTGTCTTTCAGTCTGGGTGGCTGTGAAACACTTCTGTGACCTGCGAAGACTCGGCCCATCGACAGGATCGACCATTGGGGACTGTTTCAGAGTGCTAATACAATCTCATGTTCTTTATTTTGCAAGGTGAGCTTGTAATGTGAACGCGGTTATAATTTTCTGCTCAAGTGTCGCACATGTTAGCTTTGTCGGTGTCTCTTGCCTCCAGCTTGCTGTTATCTCTGCGGAAATATCGGTGCGCTGACCTATCGCCAATATCTGCGTGTCAACATTGCTCATCATTCTTGTAGAATATTGTCGGTCTGATACTCGGTGGTGCTGTGCAAATTTTATTAGTCGTGCAGATGTTTGTGCTGGGACCACGCCTCATCCTGAGCATTCGAGAATACCATGCCAAACTCGTGGCATACTCCGATGCAGAAATTAGCATGAATTCAATTGTTTTCCAGGAGCGTGTACATGCATCAACTAGCAGTACTATATAGGGACACGCTTGGGTCTAGCCCAGTACGAAAGTTCACATTTTAATCCATATCAGAAGTCGACAACACAAACAGCGATGCCCTAGTTCTAATAAGATATAATAGCAGGATACAGCCTGAAGGTGGGACATGTGCCTAAGTCATCCAGATGTGCTCCACTGAAATCGCATGTAGCACGAGACACTAGGACGAGATAGAAGCGCTCTCCCCAGGGAATGAGGCATCGCCAAAGGTGGAACAAGTCTTTGAGGAGCCAATTTGACTGGGAGGAAAAAGATATGGCGCAAACACATCGGAGAAAATGAGCTTTATAAGATGACTTTGAAGTGACAAAAAGTATGCTCATTACTAGTAGGAATGTAACGCTTATATGACGATAACCTGCGAGACAGATAGTAAGCTTCAAATTTATGGAAAGAAAGAGGCAAGGATAGAATCAGTGGCGCAAATATTTGGCTTATGCTCTACCGTTCGTCAACGCTTATAGCTACGACTGGGGCGGCAAACGAAATCATCATGAAAAAAAAATAGGAATGTCACCCACCTTTTACATTGATGTCGGTCTGCGTCCTAATAGACGAAGGCCACCCAATCGAATCGGCTCTACAACTGTCCGAGAGAACATTGGAGAAAGATATAACGAAAGACCGATGCGGACGGGTAAAAGTGCCTGAACGAACATCAATCACTATCCCACCTGTGGTAAAGAAAAAACATACCTTGACTAAACCATAAGCCAGAACGGCATTAGCAACGTCTCCCGCTAGCTTACCAGACAACTCGCTCGACTGGGTCTGGTCAACAACCTTGCCTTTCTCGAAGCCGAAGATGCCATATCGACGTCCAATGCGACCAGCCCATTGCTCGCCCTCATCAACCCACGATTTCAGCTGGGTGTTCACCCAATACTGGTCATCGATAGAGCCATCTCGTTGAAGAGCAACAGCGTTGACAACGCGCTCACCTACGCCTAGACTGCGTGCCATGTAAAAAATGCCCACGATGGGAACAATGGCAGTTAATTCATGAAGGATGGCAAAAGAGATTATGAGAGAAGGTAGTGGTGTTCCCGCCCTCTTAGAAATCGCGGTGAGAGCATTTTTGTAAGGTGCAAATCGTCCTCCGGAGTTCGACATGCAAAAATAATGTGGGCTTAGATAATAACGTCTCGAGTGGCTGTGCAGCTAGTCATCGTTCAGCTCAACGACATCCATGTATGAGGGTTTCGGTGCGCCACCGAGGTGACGGGTGTTCCATATATGCCCAGCCCCCGCAGCAACGTGGCGTACGGGTACGGGTACTTCCTCCGTCACAATGTATTAACTACGATAGCCTCTCCCCAGTATCTCGAAGTCGCTGAAGGCAGATTTGGCTTTTAACCTAATTCCCGAGACACAACCGTATAGCGGCGAGCGCATACGCCGGTACTGCTGTCTCGACTCTCCACAAAGGCGGTTACCCACAACTACTAGTAAGGCCTGCCCAATACTCTCCCGTACCGCGAATCTGTGGATTCCAACATCACTTTACATTTTCTCACTAACCCGTCGCGCACTCTCCAATATACCAGTGACCGCATTGCATTTCCCGCACGCCAGATATTCAAACATCATTCATGAACAATACCATCAGACACTTACTCACTATACCATGAATATCGGCCTTTCTATAATGTCATAAGCGATATGGCGGGTCAAGAAGTGCTTCCGTTCCCTGTCAAGGCGGGATGCTCTGACTTCCCTATGATGCCATGTTACAAGTAGCCATTCATCGACAGGCCACAATGTGCTAATAGCTTGCTCAGTCGAGCGAAACAACTTGTTAGAAGCATAGGTCGTTCTAGCCGTCGTCCTATTCTAACAGAGACCTTCGTTAATTCATGGAGCTTGGTGTGCTTTAGTATGTCTGTACCATATTACTCATTATCGTCAGGCTGTGCGTCAGGCTCTCAACACACTCGAATCATGAATCCTGAATCCCCTGCCGCTTACAGTGGAAACCATGAATTTAAATAGACCAAGGCCATCCAGATGCTCCTCCCACCCTCGTGACAGACTCATCCTACAAGTTAAGTGCGTAACCAACTCTACCAAACTCTTTTACGATCCAAGCACCGCTCCACGAACGACATCGAATAAGCCACAGGTCACGCCATTGAATTTACATACTCATACAAAGTGATCTGATAGGAGTACTACATCACGCCGTCGAATTTACATACTCATACAAAATGATCTGTTAGGGGTACTGCATCATTTGCAAATGACATGTTGGACATTGGCACGAGGGTGCTAGTAGTGTCGTTTGGATGTCGGTTCACCTCCCAAAGATGGAGGTGCATGCGCGTGGCAAGGATTACAAGCATGATGAACTGGAAACTGTACGTTTCGGTTATTATTAGCAGGAATATGCAGCAGGATGTGGAGGTGCATACTCATACAAAACGATCTGATATGGGGGGTCCTGGGGCGCATAACATCAACGGCTCAAACATAAAAGGAATTTAAGATATTCACATACCTGGAGGAGTAGCGATATCAAGATATTCGTTACCGAGAGCACTTCAGGAAAGAGAATGATTACGGGAAAACAGCGCGAACAAGTGTAAACTCACCAAAACCGCATGCATAATAGGATATGTTATGGCTCACCAGGACACCGTACATGCGGCTCGAGTTCATCCGCCAGTTCTGCACGGCGCGTATGAGCGTGAGTATCATGAGTCCTGGGGAGAACACCTGTCAGCGCGTGTTTATACATATACATGCTCTCCTTGTTACCCACCCATTTGGAACACGGAAAGGAGAAGAAATGGTACGAAGGACTGGAAACTGGATGAACTCCGGGAGCACCCTGTGATTCCCGGGATTGTGCTAGTTGCATCTGCGAAAGTGAACAGAACATTTAGTTGTCATGGAACTCAGGGGGAAGGTGAGAGCATGTACATGTTGTGGTACTGTCGAAAGTAACGCTGAAGGATATTGCGATAAAAATCTGGCTGATGGCATCTATCACTAGCTTAGATATGGCGAGTAGAATTGGAACTCACGAAAGAGGTGCACACCATAGCTGCGAGCAAGATTCTATTTCTGTTCCAGAGCACATATGTTCTAAGGATAAAAAAAGCTGGATGAATCAGATCAGAAACACACATAATACGAAGGGACGAGAGATACTTTCGGAGACAATGACTAGTACTATTCCAAGACCTGTGAGAGGAAAGTAGTAGCCTTCAAAAAGGACATCCATACATGAATGTACCACGCACGCACCTGATTCAATATTTTCCAACTCCCGGCATTTCTGGCGAATTCATGCAGTAAGTCATTCGTTCTCATTAACTCGAAACAACATCACATACACCTGTGTTCTCATTCGGAGTAAAGTACACTGAAAAAAAAATGTTAATTCATAATCGGGGCGATGTATGCCGAAGCGGGACGAACAATATAGATCCGTGGCAAGAAAGATAAGGGGATGTATCGTGTGACGATATAGAGGCATTTCATCTTGCCCCAGCGTGACTGAAGCAAAAATGACCACTGTGCATAGCAATGATATTGTCGATATCAAAACCGAAGTGCATCATGGAACGAACAGGTGTATTACCTCTTCATGAAGTGAACATGCATAATCATAGGTCTGCATAACGAGTTTGGCAGCGGACGTGTATAGATCAGAATAATCCTACCCAGAATGTAGCCATCCACACTGGGCTGTGTTAGGAAAAAGAATGTGGAGCTCGCACAGTACGCACCATATATGTACTGATAAACACATGCTTTGTCAATTGTGAATCACCCTCATATCAACGAAGGAGGCGCACCGAAAGGAACTGCAAGCTCCTCGCTACTGCGATATCGTCAGTCGAATACGCCATCTGGAGGTCAAAATTTTGTTTCACACATACATAATGCGCCTTCTTAGCTCTTATGAATGAGTCGTGAACCAATCAGGGTGGCGGCGTAAACACTGGATACGATTATTGGATTTAGTTAGGGTTTAATCTGGGAGCTTCTTGCTGTGGTCGTGATAGAACGTTCCTCGGTTCACCGGATGTACGTGCTGGGGAGCGCTTGATAAAAGATACAGCTGCACCTCCGATGCCCGAGGCAGTAATTTCAATACTAGCCATACTTCAAACTACATGATACTTGCCAGATTCAAAACGCGTGGCTGGGCGGGTACAAATAGCCAACCCCGAGTAAAGGGCTATAAGTCCGTTGAACATAGTAGGGTCTACCCCAGAGGACAATGAATACAAATAGCCAAAATTGGCAATCGATTTCGATATTTATTTGGCGCCGTGGCTTTTTGTTTTACCGAGTAGCGCTTAAGACTGTCACTTGACAGTTACGCCAAGACGCAGCGCTCGATGAATTCATGATTATGGGAACTCGGGTAAGCAACGAGCTTACAGCAGCATTGACAGGAATGTTATTGCGTCCTGACTCGATAATTTTTTTTTTCCATTTTGCGTTCTGTCTTGTTATGACCGCCCGCAGGTACCGCCGCACATCGTGCATTTATTTGTATGGGTTGATTCCTGCTGACGTAGTGCCTCGGACTTTCGTCCTTACCTCGGAATGTGCATGTGAGTGTTCGTATATGTGCTCAGATTTGAATTTATTTCTCTGATAATCTTGCAGACTTTGCTGTTCGTGATGGAAATACTGCTACCCAAATGTGGTTCTTCAAGTCTTGTGCAACATGGTGAGACTGAGCGATATCTTACAGATTTATTTATGGAATCAAATATGAGTTTTATCTTTGAAGTAGAGCACGTCCACACCGTTCGCAGGCGGGTGGATCGTTGCAACACTGGTTTACCGAAGTGCTATCGCATTAAAGATGGAGAAGTGGATCCTTGATTACTAGATGAGTCAACTGTCAACTTCTTCTCCGGCGCCGCGTCCTCCTCCCAGGTCACTGATTTTTGTTCCAGTTCAGAGAACGTTCAAGGGAGACCAGGCATTGAGCGCTCGAGCTTGAACGTCAGCTACACTTTGTTATCCGACACGATTCTGTAATGCAATGGCACCTGATGCTGACGATATGGGTAGCAAGTAACTTGTATTTTCAAGGGCTCAAAAAACCTTGCGAGGGTCACAACAGGTCTAACTTCTTTAAGACGTCGTCATCTTTCACTCCACTAGAAGAACAGCCGTTCATTCCACCATCTCCACGACCATGTAATGCGCTGGATACTTAGAACCTGACCCAACCCTTCATTTGTACAGACTGAGACTGCAGTCAAAGGCATGTACAGAAACTCGAGTTGAGGAGCGTACAACTTTGTCGTGAACAACTCCATGGTTGTATGCGATCAAGTCAAATTTCTCGTAATACAAATATACATGATTATGTGTAGCAGGCAGAATTAGATCATCCTTTGATTTTGGGTCCAGTACACTTAATTGCAAAGTCTGGATCCCTCCGCCGCCACCGCTTATACTGAAAAACACAGGTCTCAAATAGACCAAGGACATCCAAATGCTCCTACCACCCTGCGACAGATTCATCCTATAAGTTAAGCACGTAACCAACTCTACCAGATCCACTCCCACCAGTCATCTTGTACGATCCAAACCTCGCTCCACGAACGACACCGAATAAGCCACTGTCGCGATGAGACAATCACGCCGCGGGATTTGCAAAGGAAATGTCGGACATTGGAACATGCACGAGGGTGCTAGTGGAGCTGTATGGATGTCGATTCACCTGCCAGAGATGGAGGTGCATGCGCGTGGCAAGAATTGCAAGCATGATGCACTGGACGCTATATGTGGGTGTACATTGCGGGTATTGCTAATAGTAGGATGTAAAGGTACATACCCATACAAAATGGTTTGGTAGGAGTAGTACTGGGACGCAGAACATCAACGGCTCGATCATAACAAGCATTTAATAGATTATCGCACCTGGAGGAACAGCGATGTGATGATGATGTTCGTAACCGAGAACACTTCAGAAAAGAGAATGATAACGGCTGAGTACGGGAAAACGGCTCGAACGATTGTAAACTCACGAAGACCGCATGCGTAATAGGATATGTTATGGTTCACCAGGACAACGTACAGACCACCTGAGTTTATCCGCCAGTTCTGCATGGCGCGTATGAGTGTGAGCACTATGAGTCCTGGGGAGAACACCTGTCAGCACGTGTTTGTGGATGTACATGCTCCTGGTTACTACCCACCTAGTTCGAACACAGAAAGGAGAAGAAATGCTATGAAGCACTGGAAACTTGTCGAATTCTCGTAGCACCCTGTGATTCCCGGGATCGCGCTAGTCGTATCTGTGAAAGAGAACAAAATGTTTAAGTGGTCGTGGAACGCCAGAGGGTGAGAGCGAGTACATGTTGCGGAGACGCCAGTGGCGAAGACAATGCAGAAGGATGCTACGAGAAAAGTCTGGCTGATGAATTTACCACTAGCTTAGGTATTGTGAGTCAATTGGGGACTCACGAAAAAGGTGAACAAGATGGCTACGAGCAAAATTTTATGTTTGTTCCAGAGCACATATGTTCTAAGGATAAAAAAAACTGGATGAATCAGATCAGAAACACGCATAATACGGGGGGGGGGATGAGAGATACTTTCGGAGACAATGACTAGTACTACTCCAAGACCTGTGAGAGGAAAGTAGTAGCCTTCAGAAAGGACGTGCATACATGAATGCATTACGCACGTACCTGATTGAGTATTTTCCAACACCCGGCATTTCTGGCGAATTCATGCAGTAAGTCGTTTGTTCTTTAACCTTCCACCACATCACATACACCTAGGTTCTCATTTGGGGTAAAGTAAACTAAAAAACACGTGTCAATTCACCATCAGGACGATGTGTCCTGGAGCGGGACGCACTGGATAGACCCATGGCCAGAAATATAAAGGGGAGGTATCGTGTGATGATATAGAGGTATTTCATCTTGGTCCAGCGTGATCGAAGCAAAAATGTCCACTGTGCACAGCAATGATATTGTCGATATCAAAACCGAAGTGCATCATGGAGCAGGTGTATTACCTCTTCATGAAGTGAACATGCATAGTCATAGGTCTGAATAAGCGAGTTTGTCAGCGGATGTGGACAGATCAGAATAAGCCTACCCAGAATGTAGCCATCGATGCTGAACTGTGTTAGGACAAAGAATGCGGAGTTCGCACAGTACGCACCATGCATGTACTGATAATACATGATTTGTCAATTGTGAATCGCCCTCATATCGACAAAGGAGACACACCTTAACGGACTGCAAGCTCAACGCTTCTGCGATATCGTCAGTTGAGTACACCATCTAGAGGTCAAAAATGTGTTCCACGCACATCATGCGCCCTCTTAGCTCTTGTGAATGGGCTGTGAACCCATCAAGGTGCTAACGCTAACGCGGGGATATCATTATAATCAGTGAGTTCAAACTTAGTTGACTTGCTGTGGTCGTGATGAAGCGTTTTACCGTTCACTGGATGTACCGGCCGGGGAGTAACTTGATAAAAGATGCATTGGATGACCAGTGCCAGAAGACTTCGCACAGCTTTTAGAACGACGTTCTTGTTCTAAACAACTGTTTCAAACGCCTCATGTCAAGCTGAGGACCCCGTGTTTGTGACCATCCTTTTTGTATTCATGGATGAAACTATCTAAAAACAGGCGAAGTGTTGGTATCAGGTTGTTAGTATCAACCACAGCCACATGACAAAACTCCATCTTCACTTGAATGTGCACACACACATCATGACTATAGGTTTCGACGCCTGTGGTTTCGCGAACGAGGTCCGTGCAAGGGAGGCCAATCTCAGGAATCTAGATTCAGAGATGCTGAAGGGGAGCGTATAGGTGCTCCTGAAGTTGACGCAGACTTTCGCGCCAATAGGGAAGGACAAAGAGACCAAGCCGTTCCCACGAAGAAAACCCCAGGCCCTGCGGGGAAGTGGTCGATGTTGGGATTGAAACATGATGAAAGCGTGATGCCCTGTTCTTGCCATTCCCTTGACAGAATCGTGCCTTATGCACAAGCTTCGATCCATACGTCCTCCCCATCATCGAACCCTTGAGCAGCGCTCCATTTGGTAAAGCCACTTTAAGCACTGGAACAAACTGCAAACAAGCACCTGGGTCCTCGGGTCGGAGGCTGTGTAGTAAGACTGTTCTTCCGTTGCGACTCGTTGAAGAAGTTCTGGTGACTTGTCGACGAGTAGATCTTTAAGGCTGTGTGCGCTTGTTTGTTATCGAGTTAGAACGGCCGACGGTCCGCCCTATACGCTGATGTCGATATTTTTACTTGCTCACGGTATTATGCTACTAGTAGTACTTATTCTTGTATATTTTGATCATCTCTGCAATGCTGTACAGATCATACTGATGTCTCCCAGTCTGTTTCCTGTGTACCTCCGTTCCCTGGATCACCACGACCGCCACGGGGGTTGCAGTTGATGACCGGTGGTGCAGTTGTGTGATGGTGTGATGAGTGTCTCTGGCAGTGCATGAACGTTGAACGTCTATGAGAAGCACTGCATTGAATTGAATAGTGAGTTGCATCTCGTTGGTCAACGATTGAACGAATTTCAATTCCTTCTCCACACGTGCAAGCAGTCTTGACAACGCACAAAACTTCTGATCATACAGGACGGCAGCAGGTTCTCAGGCATTGGGCCATCTGAACAGCCGATCACCGGTATAAGTATATTGAGAAGTGAGGTTGGGTCTTTACAGATGAGTGGCCTTGCGTTTGTGCTGAGAACTTCTTATGCTCCGAATGTATCGAATCTGATAGAGCAAGGTGAGTAAGATGATGGTCCCCCTAGGTAGGCCGACGACAGTGCTCTTCTGTATGCGATGAGACAGATTTCCCATATGGGTGTGTTCTGTTACTGTCGCGCTGGCGTATTCTTCTTCGAGTTTATCAACTTGACAGGCATTTTCGATGTATCTGCGATATGCCCTGTTCCATCACCTTATCATGTCCAGGTTGAAGCGACGGTCTCCCGACCCGACACGCTGAAGGAGGTATTAGTCTGATAGGGGCCCAACACCCGCAGTTCGACGGCACGTTGCTGATTGGCTGCCAATCGCATGAAGCTTAAAATTATCTTTACCTGGGAGAATGTGTTTAATACGCAATGTCAACCAGGGAGCCCATTCACGTCTGCATCGCCTGACCACATAATCGAGATTAGGTGCCTCCGCACTTCGCATCGGATGCTCGAGCCTCGGACATATCATGTAGGTATGATCCAAGAAGCTGGCCGTGGGTGATATGCGTCGGCTTGCACCTCAGATGGGCAAGATTTTTCTTCATTTCCGTAAGAGAGATCTGCGCGTGGCTGATTCATTCGCAAGCTTGACTTACACAATGATTAAGATTACCGGCATGACGACTGAGATTAGCTGAGACTCCGCTGGACGCAGTACGTGGTTCGATTGGTTCACAAGACCCAATGACCGCCGAGCTCCTTATCGATAGATATGGAAAACGTAAGAGTCAATCGGAACACCAGGGATGTCTTTGATTCGGATATGAAAGATAAGCTTGAAAAGATTTATCGTTGGTAGAGAGAGCGGGCTTGGTGTACCGTTAGCGACGCGAGTCAGATCTTTGATGTGATTGGGATTAGGTATCAGAAGAGTAAGAGCTTATCAGCGCGAATAGGAGGTAGGCGCGGAAACCGGGACACCGGCGCCCGGCCCAGGACGTTGATAAGGGCAATAAAGCCAGACACACTTGATGACCCTGCTCTCATGTGCCCAATCCAGATTCTGGGTCGTTTCGATCTAAAATTTACCACAAATGCTCAGGCTATACTTGATTACGAGAAGTAGTCCATTACCCTGCAAACGTGAGGCGTAAGTACACAAAATGAATGACCAAGGGTCAGGAACATACTGCAATTGATTCAAACACTCCTTAATCCAGTTTGATTTCTCCATTGCTGATATTTTTTGATCACATCTGGCGTAATTTGCCTTTGTATGGCACCTGCGGCTGCGACAAAGGCGCTTTGGGGGATCTGCAGACAGCTAAGAGGAAAGTTCGCCAAACTAGGGACTTGGAAGAGCTTACAAATGGGGCATTGATATCTTTCTGCATAGTCAGCAGAGCAGCCTCCTGGCACAGTGAGCTGATTTCTGCGCCACTGCAGCCGTCGGTCTGGATGTAACGTTATACTCTGCTCAGATGCAACCGAACCGTACTCACCATGGCTGCTATTGCACGAAGATCTAAGTCAGATTCAACGCTCATCGTTCTTGTCCTTATCTTCAAGATCTCTTCACGTCCGGCGTGATCGGGAGGTCCAACGTACAGGATACGATCCAGTCTTCCGGGACGCATCAGAGCCGAGTCCTGGCAATCCATGGTCAGAAATACAACAATGATGATCAAAGCAGATAGACTTGCAATGACGTCGGGGCGATTCGTGGCTGCAATAATAGTCACCCCCACAAGCTCCTGAACACCGTCCATTTCGTTCAAGAGGCTGGTCAGAACCCCTTCATGTGCAGTTCCGGTATCCGAACCTGAGGAGCGCGACGTTCCAAGGGCATCAATTTCATCCTGTATTTGTCAGCAACGACTCCTTCATAATAGGACAGCGCTTACGAAAAAGATGATTGACGGTGACGCAGCTCTGGCTTTACTGAATATATCTCGCACGGCTCTTTCCGACTCTCCAACATATTTGTTTAGAAGCTAATTGACAACAGTATATCGTGAGTATGTTGCCTGAACGCGGAATCAAAATCTGCACCTCGGGACCTTTCACAGCAACAAAATTAACACCACTTTCTGTTGCACAAGCTCGAGCCAGAATGGTTTTACTACACCCTGGAGGTCCGTACAATAGCAGGCCCTTTGGTGGTCGGACGCCCAGCCTGTGGAAAGCCTCTGGGTGTAATAATGGCCACTCGACTGCTTCCCGAAGTTTTTGTATGATGTCGGCTTGCCCACCTATATCTTCAAACAGAATGGGCGGTGTCTCGATGAATAGGGAGCGCATTGCGGACGGCCGCACAGTAGGAAGCGCTTCTGAAAGGTCCAATGGCGTCAATTTCAGGGTCATTAATGTAGTTGCTGGGTCAGCATTGAATGCCGGTGGAGTGTATGTCATCCATCGTTTGATGGCAAGGGTTCCAGCCTCTCGAACTACAGCACTGAGGTCCGCACCAACATATCCATGAGCGCGGCGCGCGATAGAATGGAGTTCTGCGTCTGTTATACAATGGGGGGTTTTGGAGAGAAGAACGTTCAGAATGGAGTGGCGAGCGTCTGCGTCCGGTATACCTGAAAGTAATAGCCGTTAGTTAAAGTTCGGTGGTACTGTCGGCACTGGTGCTGACCTATCTCAAATTCTCGATCGAATCTCCCGGGTCTTCGTAGCGCCGGATCGATGGCATTCGGCCGATTGGTTGTCCCGATAACAACGACCCTATCATCAAATGTCGTGCTCGCATTGTCAATACCATCCAGAATCGTCAAAAGTGTCGCCACAACTCGTTTTTCAACCTCGCCACCTGCGCCCTCTTCCCTTCTCGGAACAAGAGCATCAACCTCGTCCAAAATGACGATACATGGGCTCTTAGCTCGGGCTTCCTTGAATACATCCCGGAGTTTTGATTCTGTTTCTCCGTGATAGGCTGAAGAAAGCTCAGGTCCGTTGATGACAAGCACCGATGAGTTAGTGGATGATGCAATAGCACGTGCAAGGTGTGTTTTGCCTGTACCAGGCGGACCATGTAATAAGATTCCCCGGGGCGGTTTGAGACCTGATTGAAAAAGGGTATGGTCATCAAAACTTCTCTACGGGGATGTTTGCCCATGCGCACCGAAATACCCAAAGAGCTCTGGTCTATTGAGCGGTATTTCGAGAAGATCCCGTATCTGCGTGATTGTCTTGTCAAGTCCTCCGACAGCCGTGTATGCATCAGAAATTGATGTGTGAGGCAATGTTTCGATGTCAGACTAAGTAGCCATCCGTGATTATTATCACAGATGTTTCCCAGAAGATGTTAGAACGTGTACCTTTTGCGTGAGGCTGACGTCATGGTCGGCCACATCTTCTAGTACGGAAACAATAGTATCCCACCCTGCCGTCCAAAGTGATGGCTTGACCTGAATTGCAAACGAGTTCAGGTCGCGTGTTATGGTATTCACGGAACCAACTGATGCCGAGTGATGGGCTGACACAGAATCAATGGAGAATGTTCGAATTTCGCCCTGATATGGGACTTCGATAATCTGAGTAGAAAGAATATATTTGAGACTGACTATAAAGAAATTCCACGCATTAATGGAACGGCGCTGTTAGTGACATTCTACGCCACCTAAAACTGACGTACTAAGGTATTCTCGCAGTAGTAGAGTGAGCCAATCTCTACGCTTTCCTTTGCCCTGTGAATCGGCCATATTTTGTATTGTCCGTGTTCTTATGGAAATTTCTCTCAAAGAGATGGTGCCAGCTTCTTGAACATCTCGTATAGTTGGTAAGCCGAGAGGGGGTCTTCCAGCGCCTTGATCGGACACGTCAAATACTTGTACCGCTGCACCTTCCTTTAGGCGTGCCGTAAGAAAAAGCGAGGACGATATCAGAATGACTGGAAGTAATGTTATGTAACCGCAAAGTCGAACTTAGCCAAAGATCTCGTGTCATCTGATGCTGTACATACCATCTTGCGGGATATCTAGAGACGGCCACAATGTCCCGATTGCAAAATCCTGCCAGAGATGATTTGAAGTAATTCACGATGAGATAGAATGACCGGATGAGCTGTAATGGAGACGCTAGCATGCAGGATAGATGTGATTCTCACCTTCTTGGTGATTTTGTCATCTGCACCTGATAAGGCGACCACATCACCAGAGCACAATTGTGAAGCTTTCAAAACACTTGCGTGCACCACAACGCGCCGGATCGCGCGTACCCCCATTCCAATGGCAGCAGGCGCACTGCACCGAACTGTCAACTTAGGCATCGACATGGATGCAGACGTATTTTGACGCATGAACCAGGAATCGCGACGTTATGGAGTTTTGAACTCTGTGATGATTCGCTCCAAGACTACAGGCGAGTGGAATGAGAGATGCCTGCACTCACCGCCTAAACCGTTTCTGCGAGCAAGCCAATTTTATCAGGTCAAAACAAAACAAAACAACAAGTAAACAATTTATGACAGCTGCAAGGCTCGATGGTGCGACGACTATTACCGCCACTGTCAATGCCATCTATTATTGTTCACATATCCTGTCACATCTCGTCGCATGCTGTATGACCTTGCAAGCAAGGTGCCGGTGATTTACTGTGAACCCTATAATAAGATTTAGTATTCAGACCACTGTGCAACGCGGGTATGATCCACTTGACATCCACAAACATCATGATTCTACCCTCAAAGACCTTCCTAGGATATGTTATTTTCACAAGCACCTGGATCATAATAATAATCTTCAACTCCGATGCATGTAGGTTGTCGACGTGGTTTTAATATCAGTTAATATAGGTTAATATCCGCTTAGAAACTCCGTTCCTTCTCCCCAATTGCACACTTGAGAAAATCAGCCAGGCTGTTTCAGATAACTCATCAGTGAGCGATCTTTTGAGCGACCTACGTACACTACGGTGAGTGCAATTAATGTAATTTAATGTGATACACCTAACAGTCGGTTTTGCTATTCCATTCAGGTATCTGTGTTCTGCACCACCATGTCTCGATCGGGCAGTCTGACATAGCATAGCCCAAAGTGCGGGATCGAGATGTTGGGACAACACTTCCCATTTTCATTATAACACTTCTCAAGAAAAACGAGGTGTTGTCCTTTTTGTGGAGCTACCCGAGATGGTATCGAACGGCAAAATCATACCGAGACACGATGCTCGAATCCATCATATAGCCTTTCTTCGATTACTCGTCACTCTGACTCACTCACTCGAGGATCAGCACACGGTATTTTTCAGCTCTTCGACGCGCAAAAATTTCGTAACGCATCTCCGAAGATAAGCAAAGATCGATGGTTTACGACAACAGCACAGCACCCGTCAGCAAGATACAAGACCCTCGAGAAGCAGGCCCTTGTATATGTGCGCTACCACGAGGCATGAACAAGAGAATACGGAAAAATCAATCAACAGAGATGTATTACATGCGTCGTGATATGACCTGCGGCAGTCCTGCTCCATATCTTCACCTGCACTATGGCAGCAATAACATTCCTGCTGACTGAAAATGAAGGTACTATCGCAGAATGTACATTCAATCTGTCCTTATTCTCTCAGCTGAATCACTCAGCAGGTACCTGGAATGACATTTGTTCCCGGTGGCCTCGGAAAGCAATAACGAATTCCGTTATTCCTACTGGTATTAGAATCAGTGTCTGCACCTGCGTGTGAGTACACTGTCTAATGAGACCTCGACGTTGACAACTTAAAATCAAGCTTTCATCTCTACCAACAATCCCATATTTCGCCAGATCTATGACGTACGGTGGACACATACGTGTATAGATTAAATCTAAAGGTACGACTGGCACTACTGAATTAAGACTTGGGCCGAGTCGTGGGTCATTTAGCATCATATTCCACATCCCAGACTACAATAACCTCAAACATGATCGGTCTGGCGATATCCGGGATTAAGTAGCATCTATGCGTTCCCTCGTGTGCACTAAGCTACTTCGAAACACTGGTAGACTAATTGCTTGGAATTCTGTTGATTGATAGCGTCAGCCCACATCACATCGTGCCCGTCCAATCCACAATTGTCTGTGGAGAAGGAAGTATGTACCGCATTCATGAACGTCTTCGTCGCCCGGTGCTTAGCCCTCAGGAAGTTCTATAATTCTATTTATGCGACTTAGGGATCAAGGAAGTGATGGGCCGTCGATGACGTTAGGGATAAGCCGGGCACCTAATAATAAGACAATAAGATGATCGATCACGCAAGAGATTTGATTCTGTTCGTGCAAGCACCTTGCAGTCACTCCGATGATGAAATTTGGGTAGTAGGTGGTCTTTCGAGCGGTCCGCCTATGCTCTTGTCACACAAAACAACGTGATCAGTGCTCACCTGCAGCATATTGTGGCGTAAGGGTAGGACTTGCCAAGAGTCACATCTTTCATTCTGCCGCCCAGGAACTGCCACACCGTGAGACTTCGGAGGGCGATCCATGCCTTACTTCGCCGGCATGTTCCCAAGTAGTAAATGCTGCCAGCAAAGGACACTATCACCAATATACACCAAGCCGTACTTGGACGGAGTAAATCTTATATCCTTCTATTGCACTTCGGATGTCATTTTACTGAGCGTCCCGGTAAGCAGCAACCACACCTGCCAAATCGGACGTGCATCCCTGACGAGGCACTCGCTTCTGTACCCATGGTAAATAGACGGTTTTACATCGAAGCCAGCTGAGGACAAGTACAGCTGTCATTGAATACTCAGCTGTATTCATTGGCTTATACACATGTGAAGGCTATGTGATGAGCTTTGAGATATTTCTGATAAAGAATTATCACGCACAGCCACATGACAACCTCGTCCTAATCAAGCTGTGAACCGAGAACCAAGGAATCCCAGAAAGAACCATCGCACATCGTCCCTCCGACCCGTCACACAGAAACCACGATATACAGCATGGGATGCTGGCATGTGGAGATCCTGCTGACAATCATCATACATGTACAAACCCTACTAGAACCTTTATGGGCTATTTATTCAGCTACTCTCTTTCTTGGTATTCCGACCTCGGGAACGTATAAAACCGGGCGGATTCAGCTGTAGGAGAACTATATCTGCCCATCGACATCAGTACACTCTTGTCTTATTGCATCTCAATCATCCATCAACCTATCTGACTATCATGTGCAAACAAGTAGCGTGAGCAACAGATCATATCTGCAGAAATTCTCGCTCACAACGCCCTGCGCAGTGAAGGAACGCGCTGGCTAAGATGCGGGGTACGAAGATAATGCAATGCTCTTTGTTTGGACAGACTTTGACGAGAGCCGCAGCACTTTCAAAGGCATCTCGTCATTGCCATCGTAGATTGCAATTCAACTCGCTGCGAGCGCAGTTACAGACATCCGCCAAACTGTCGGCAACCAAACTGTACTAAAGTAGGTGATGCGTATAGCAACATACCATGCCCATAGTTGATACCTTTCAAGAACTTCGGACCCGAAATCCAGCGCTCGATCGACGATGTCGATGAGATTTGTCTACAGTGTCGTACAGCACTGGCTCGCAGGCGTGGTTGACAAAGCTTGAGCATCGCATCCGTCCTTAGAGAGTGGACAAAATATCTTTCCCCACATTGATACTCTCACCTTATTCATGTTAGCATTATATTGCACCATACTTGTAACATATGCATTTCATACCTTCCGCTCTCGGGATTAAACTCTCCGCTCCCGAAGGCGTTCGGTTTAGACACCACTTTAGTCCGTATCAGGAAAAAGCAGGTAAGAGCCGGAAGGATGGCAACCTACTAAAAGAAGCCACAAGCGTAGGTCCCATGATTGCAAGAAGGCACAGCTCCTGCGTCACCGTGAGTGTGCCGTTATCGTGATAAAAAAGGACGGTCGCGGTCGTCCCGCAAACCCATGCGAACAATGCAGGCTTCAATCGGCAATTGTGCCTTGATCTCCAGGTAGTTATCTCGCTCACAATCGATTTGACATGCTCCAATGAGCATTAACAGCAACAACATTCCAGCTGTTTGGCATGACTCTAGAATAATCTGTGGAACCAGCAACAAGGTATATGCTTGTTCCTCGACCAACGACCAATCACCGCATTTATCTCGCGGACACATCGGATTGTTCAGACCCATCGACAAGCATCGAGAACACCACTTGAGATGAAATACCTGGGAAGTTGACGAAGCAAGGCTAGCACGTGTTATGGAGTCGAAAGAAGATCACGTCGACCGCAGGAAGGCTGTCAATAGAAACACGACTGAAACTCATGTTGAAGCCGGACAACGTGCCTGCGTTTTAGATCGCATGGAAATCTGTACCTTTTGAACCCCCGATGCATTCGCGGCGCCCAAGGAGTTTTGTATTTGATGAATATTCACTTTTCCATACAAATGACAGGGGTATCATGATCATCCCTTTGTCGCTGAGAGTGGTAGAAAGTTGAGATACCAATGCAATCGGGCACTTGTTCTACTCACCGGCGGTAGCTTTCACAACACCAGGGCGCTAAATATGGTCAAGTCCACACAAGATTTACTTTTTTTCTATGCACATTTGGGGAAAATGATAGTCTATTTCTCGTGCATACAGCAAGTTCTGTGGCAACATCTCCTTACTTCCGCGATCACGATTAGTGCGGGTGGTTCTTGTGATGTTCTGATACACGCTTAACGAAGAATATATTGAGGTGAACAACAGTGACTTACTCAAGTGCACTGAAATGCCATGCATCAAAATTTGAATACACGTGTAAGAATAGATTACTCACTCTGGTAGTCGATGGTGTATCCGAATGTGAAGAGACCCAAAATCGTCCAAACGAGTGGGGCAGCGGATGCGTTCTTGCCGTTGAAGTATCTAGCTTTAATTCCGCCACCAGAAACCGCGGATGCTGGACCCTTGGGCAGTTTTGAGTAGAAGTTGACAAGAGGCGTGAGGCTTGAACCAGAGCCCGACGTCTTAATTGCAGAGAAATGGGGAAGAGGTCACGCGAGGCGCAGCGCTGTAAGAATTAAGAACGCACCAAAAGTGACGGAGTAGCAATCTTGGGAGGAACGATACCCCCCAACTGACGACGAATAAGTGACGCGTGCATGGCGAGAACGAATGAATTGTCGACGTCGGGATGGCTCGGACAAACTTGGTTTTCATGTTGGAGTGTATTTGGTTGTCAACGGTCACATGACGTGATCACGTGTGTGAAATCCTATTCACGTCCAATTGTGAAACTTCAGGTTTGCACAAGTCCTTGACATACTTATACCCCATTAGAACCTGAAACCTACTAGACGCCACTAGCAAGACTCCTTGCGGTGCCCTTGATACCGAACTCGTGCCAACACGTGGGTGTGGAGGGTCAACAACCGGTTTAGACGAGTCCACTTTGGATGCAAACATTTAGTTTCCTCTGGACCATTCACAATCTCTTGGTATAATAGACCACGGACCAGTCAAGTTCGAGTCACCTCTTCTTATATACTCATCCTTGGCTTTGCAAAGTACTCGTCATGTACGGCAACACTAAACCATTCCTATCTATCACATCTGCCCACTTGTTGTCTGGACTCTTCGCCTTTATCTATGTCGGTTCCATTTATGCTTTCAAGAATGCTCGTCTTCGGTTCTCCAAGAGGAAGGTTAACCTTCCAGAAGGGCAGGCTAGGCTCAAATTGCAAAATGAACGTTGGAGAGATGATCCGGATGTTATCAAGGCGCGACTACTTGCCGTTACCAGCGCCACTTTGATCTGCTGTCTCATCGTATTCGTCGTGATGAAGAATTCAAACCGCGATGATGAATTTGTAGGTCATCAAGTTGCCTCAATGGGGAATGTCTGCCTCACTACCGTAATGTGCAAAACAGCATAACCTTACCACAGATGCGTGGCTTCACCTTGGATTCACATGGTCCAACGCACTTGCCCTCCTGATAACCCCATTGTTATTTTCTGGGCCGCTCTACGTTCAATTTCTCGAAAAGACACTACCATTCCAAAAGGACTGGAATTTTGAAGATGATGTCCTGTTTCGATTTTTCTCGATCGTCGGTCTTCGAAATTATTTTGTTGTGAGTGCAAGTCCTTTGCAAAGTATTGCTTGCAAATTACCTTACATTGATTGTACCAGGCTCCGATCACCGAAGAAATCGTGTTTCGCGCTTGTGTTCTCACCGTCTATCATTTGGCAGACGCCTCCAGGACGAAAATGATTTTTCTCAGTCCTTTGGTCTTTGGTGCAGGTATGCGTTGGAGTGATTTTTTTGGGCTATGAAAGTTGATCGTCATGTTCTCAAAAATTTTAGCACACATTCATCACGCCTTTGAAACATACCACAGGTATGGCCGTACGGCCACTGCGGCAAAACGTGCACTTATATCTACTAGTACGTACGACCGTCTCATTCCTAGCGAGTGGCACTGACACTTCACATATAGCCATACAATTTACATACACGAGCATATTCGGATTTTACTGCTGCTATTTGTTTCTTCGCTCCGGATCATTGCTCCCACCCATTGCAGCTCACATGTTCTGCAACATTATGGGTATACCCCAACCTAACTATGAAATAAGTCTGATGCCTCATCGAAAGCTATGTGGGTAGCTGCTGTTATACTGTCTACTACAAGTTGATTGCCTTCCTTTTTCTGCTTCTAGCCATTTCAGCCGCGTATCTTTTCGGTATTATCGGCTTCGTTTTCATGCTCAAGCCTTGGTCGTACACGGATGGCAGCTTATACTGGCAGCGAAACTAGTTTCCTCGAGCCTCCGACCTATGCGTGCTGTTTGACAGTGATTGCGCCCTTGTCCGCCTGCATGAACCTTAACCTACCTACACCCTACAGGATTGGACATATTTTATGCGGCTTGGTTGGATTCCACTATCTATATCAATAATCACCACCAGCTCTGATCATTTTGTATACCGCGACGCTCTTGAAATCAAGCGCCGTCATGATCACTCAAAACCCTTTTGACGAAAGTTGGGCCGTGCAAGGACTTGAAGTTGTTGTATCACTGACTTGCTACGTGTCACTACCTGGTCATGGGCTAAGCAGATTCAGGACAGCAATGGTCTAGTTTCCGGGATGCATTGCGGCAATAAATACAACAAGGTTCGACACCAGCAAGTGACCATCACATTGGCATACTGTGTGAATGTAAGTAACTTACTAAATATGAAACAGATGCTTCTTGGTCTGAATTTCCGATTGCCTCCTCGACATCGAGCGATACATTGAATTGATCTCGTTATTCGCTACCTTGAGACATGCACGCGGGACTGATCTGACTCAAAGTGTCCCAAAACCCATGTGATTACCACACTCAAGTTGCGAAATCGAGTTTTTGCATCATGTACAACCGCATACCATCATGACTTTGTTGCTCCAGGCCCTTATGTAATTTTGTGATCTCGTGCAAGTTGAGTGGAAGTACCAGACACTTTACTAGATGTACCCGAGTGTTCGTGCTTTTTGACGGTCTCACACATTGCTCTCGATCCACAACACAAAACAAATATCGGATAGTTATTAGTAGATAGAATACCATCTCAATAACATGGCCCAAATTTTTATATACAAAAAAGTTGATCTGTTGTGTTACTACAGCATGACTGAGCACCACTAGTCTATCACACCTAGTGTTCGTGCATTCGTCACACTGTGTCACAGGTTGCCGACATTGCTGATTAGAAGTCCGCTACACACACGCAAGTTCGAGTTCATGCTTTGCTTTTGTGGCATGGCGGGATTTCAAAATGATGTAATGTCTTGTAGTAGATTGTCATGCCAGATAACATATCCTTCACTTGCACATCAATTATAAGGCGTGTATTGAGTTCGATGAGGGAATTGCCTGGCTCAAGGGAAAGGACTGTCTTAGGATCTGGCGCGAGCTCATAGTGGGGAAATCAACCAACATTCAAAATGAGTCTACAAGGCCGTATTTTATCTACGAGAGAGTAAGGGTTCTTGGTTATTACGAAAGTGAAGGTTTAGTGAGATGGAGAGTGGTGGCGCTGAGCCTGACAGGGTAGGAGTAACGGAAATGAGTAAGAGTATGTTAGTTTTGAATAAAAGATGGTAATATGCAGCTCGCTGTGCACAGGAATGATGAGAACCATTGGGCACTTGACTGTTTTTGGAGCAAAGGAATGAAACTAAAAGAGAGTGACAAGAAAGAGTTTGGTGATAAGTCCAGGGTATAGTATGAATGAGGGTGAAAGACCGAGCTGGTCATTGAGAATAACGAGATAGTGAAGGTAAGAACAGAGAATGCGTCCGTGCGACTTGGACATGAAGCGTAACACTTCTTCGCGTCAGTGAGTTACACGGATGTCAGGATGTAAGTCCTTAAGTTTTATTATGAAGCGGTAGTCGGGGTGTAGAGGATATGGAATCCTTACACAATAGTCTACCAAATCAACCTCAGAAGTTGTTATTTTAGCTAGATATCTGTCAGGATCAATGTTCTAAGCACTTCCAAGGTTAAGATTGGTGTGAGTTTGCCTTCCCAACACTGATCAGTGTGCCAAATTGTCTTCAAATGGTGTATATTGCATCATAACACTTGCACAACACATTTATTCAAAAAATTAAAGACATAGAAATACTTATTGATAATGCAGGATCATTCCATTTCTATATACCAAAATGATTTGTGATGATTTGTATGTGCTGGAGCAAAAGCACGAACACTCAGGTACATCTAGTACTATGGACACTACCAACTGCCGCTTTGGGTGTAACTGATATAGGGAGAAAACCATGCCATGCTCCTGGGAACGAGCTGTAATGTATTTCTTATCAGGCTTTATGTGATAAATAAAAACTTTATTGAATAAAGAGTACAAATCTGGGATATACCAGGGAAATTTTCCTGATCTCCTTGTATATGCATAAATAATATCCTGTATGAATATTGTGTGGTAAATGTATGAGTAGTGTTGTTCCTGGCTTGGCTTGGCTCAAAAGCTAGGGCTTGGGCTCAGCCTGACATGGCTTAGGCTTGGCCAGGGCTCAGCTCAGCACAGGTCGAGGCTTGTCACCAGAAAACCTTCATTTAAATTTTGTCTAGTGTTAGTATGTGTACCTCTGCATCTTCGGTATCATCAACATTGCTATCTAAACCATCATCTTCTACATCTTCAATCATGGTATCCCAGCTTATATCAGTAACTTCAGTCGCAATACATCAGTCGCCTGAGTCTCGAAATAAGAGATCCCTCTTCATCATGCACTTGAGAGACTGGAGAGCTTCGACAATGTCAAATTTCAACCGGTTCTGTCACTTACTGATTGTAATGCCAGCAGACAAGAAAGGAAGGCCCACTCACTTGACACTGAAGATCCCATTATTGAGAGGAAGTCTCTTGCTATTGTGGCTCAGACAGGGTAATGAGGAGCATTAACTGCCCACCACTGGACAATAGATTGTCTGCCAAGGTGATCCTTCAAATTAAGGTAAGTATTGAAGTCTTGCAGCCATGGCTTTGCAGGATTGTAGGTGGAACTTGAAGCTGCAGAAGTGGATGACATTGTGTCATCATCATCATCATCTAATAGCTCCTGCATGAGGTTTGTGAGCCTGCGGCTCCCCCTGACAATATTGTTCACTGCTGCAGGTTTCAGAGCACTATTGCCTTACATCTCTTAATAATACTCTTTGTACTCATAAGATATGAGATGTAATCAAGCAAACATTATGAAAAACCTACTATCTCTTCCACATAAGCAAGAGCATCATAATACACATGTTCGCCCCAATACAATAAATATGATTTGCCTTTTGAAGAGGATCGAGCACTGTAGGTTTCTAGTTGAGCAAAATCAGCTTTACACAATATATCACATACACATTGCGATGATGTATGCATCAGAGTCTGCAGACTTTTCATAGTATGCAGAAATTTTGGCCACTCCCACAGCCAGTCCATTTTAAACATGAGGATACAGTGTTTGCAGCACCATGAGCCCTTCTGTGGGAATGCAATTCAAGGTCAGCAGTGTTATCTGCACTGATTATCTTTGCTGATGGCACAGTAACCATTTTGGTCATCTTGTGGGCACTTCCTCCCCATCAGAATTGATGTGTGGAGCCATGTGGGGCTAAGGGGACTTGGAATATTTATTTGCTATGGTGCCCAGAATAGAGGCATGATGAATTGTGCAGTTATCCAGTAATTGCTGTATAGATACAAAAATGAGTATGAAAGCCATGACCTGAGGGCCTGGCTCTGGCCTGTACATAACTGAGGCCGGGCCTTGAGCCCTACTAGGCTGCCCTTAAAGCTCAGCTAGGCTTGGCCTATATAGGCCCAGTCAAGCTCAGCTAATGGCTTGAGGCCAGGCCTTGCATATCACTATATATGAGGGGTATCAACACAAGTTATGTGGTCAAGATCAGGTGTGAGATATTAGTTAGACATTTGCCAGATATCCCACAGATATCTGAATGTCACTGCAGTGCTTAAGCTGTCCCTATAATAACACCTAAAGCCCCTAAGGCTGCAATGACATCACAAACACCTTCAATGACACAGCAGTATTTTTGATGCAGCTGGTTGTTCAAATTCTTAACCTTGTACAGTTGTGGACAAGCAAAGTCCACAAATTGTATGGGGCCTGCTAGTGATTTTTTCAGATCAAACTGAAGCCAGATCCAAACTCAGGCAGTGAAAATATGTCTAAAAACACTGCTCTGATGTTTTTCCCATGATATTTCTAGTGTTCTGGATTTTTGAAAAATTCAAGTGGTGTTGTATATGCTGATATAACAATAAAACTATGACAGTGTCTTCTTAGATAAATGATCTATAGATAAACTATAAAACCAAATATCTCCATGGTCAGTGATTCAGACAAATACTAATGACTGATTATATGGTTGTTCGTGGGTAGCTTGTCTTTGCTCCTAAGATACAGTCAACAATCAATAATCAACAGTCAATCCAACAGAATAGATATGAAACACAATGATAATGGAAACAGGACCCAATTGGTCAGCAATCAATAATAACAACAACACAACAGAAAAATATCAAGGACACAGTTACTCTAACAATATAGAGAAAACACAAAACAAACAAATACTCCTCCTAATACTTCACACAACAACAATGATTTGTATACAAACTTAGTGCAGCAAGTTGTGTGGAGTTATAATGACCCTCCTCAAAACAAAACAGGTAAGACTACTGTCAGACCTAGTCAGAGCTACCATAGCACTCTGAGCCTAATATTGAACCTGCTGCCAAGGAACTCACAATGAGTATTTAAATAGACTTAGGAATGGACAATGTAGAGACTCATGCCTCTCATGGCCTGATATGGCAGTTTTCACTAGGGAGTACATAGCACGAACTTGTAGTGTCACTCTGTGCACTACCCACAGCTATCTCTATATGAGGCGCAGCTTTCCCGCGCACACTTCCCGCGCTTCATGATGTATATGCGCGCGCACTTTCCTGCGCTTGATCGCCCTATAGCGCCAGCCATCCAGGAGCATCCATCCACTGTCCACCAAGCTCTCTAGTGCGTGTATTTCCGTTTCCCTTATTTGCATATCATTCCACCTTTATTTTTATCATGGACCCTTACTTATATATATCTTTACATACTAGACCTTACTCGGTAGTGCTTCGGCTCCACATGACAGCGCTTAGGTACCGTATTTAAGCGCCAGCAGTACCTTACCACTCCTCACTTACCACCTTACTTCACCTCTCACTTTACCTACTACTTACTACCTAGAAAGTTGCAGTAGAAATCTATTCCTTGACACTTTGCACTCTCATCTCTTGTCTTACATTATATCATCACTTAAGCTTAATCTCTCTCATTTCCGCATACCTGCGTGCACTTTCCCGTGCTTCGCGCATCACACACACACGTTCCTACGCCTTTGTGCCTTGCGCGCACCTGCGCTTTCTCGCTGTCTTCTTAGATAGATGATCTATAGATAAACACCTATAAAACAAATATCTCCACAGTCAGCAATTCAGACAAATACCAATGACTAATAACGTGGTCGTTCATGGGTGGCTAGTTGTATACTACCCAAGGTATGTTCAGCTAAGGATACTTCTGCAAGATCAGTAATACGATGGTCAATCCAATCTATGGACTTTGACAGGAAAACAAACAAACAATGGTCAGCCCGACAGTATGGCAATGACCAAAAGAATATACGGGATTCTTCCTCAAGTTCCCTTTCAACAACAGTGCTTCATACCAACTATACTCCAAAGAAATGGTGCAGAATTACAATGATAAACCCCCTCAGCACAAAACAGGTAGAATCAAAGGTCAAGACTAATCAAATGCTTTATTGTAGAACTCTTAGCTCAATATTGAACCTGCTGTCAAGGAACTCTTCTTTGAGTATTCAAACAGACTCAGGAACAGACGTCCTTGGGTTTACTACCAAGTCCCCTCTTCAATGGCTAAAGCCTAGCAGGCACAGAATATCTTGGCTCAGTATCGCTACTCAGATGAGTGAGGTCAAGCTTCACTATCAATTCCTAAAGTCTCCCCACTATGCTACTTCTGAGTCTTAGGTGGACGTAGAGACAACACGAATATTTTCGAAATATATTTCTGGACAAAGACCACCAAAGGTTAGTGAAAGTAAAAGAAAAGAAAAAGAATAATAGAAATCAGAATATAACTGTGGCTGTACCTTGCTTGCTGGTTGTTGCACACAGTGAGCTCACAGCTGGTCATTCAGTATGATGAGCTTGCAGTATTACTGTCTCTTGAGAATGTTCCTCTTAGTCTTAAGACAGTTCTTGACACTGGTACTGACACTTATCACACCTTACTCACAACTTAGTGTTGGATGGGCTGAAAAACACCCTACTATCTGCTGCTGTTCGCTTATTATTATTTCAAAAACTGGGGTCATTATATACACAATAAATGTGGCTGTGCTACTAGTGTATTCAAGAGTCATCAAGAGTCATAATGAGTCATATATGCAAGGTGAGTCATAGTGAGTCATTGGGTATTGCTAAGTCATGTGACCTGTCTAACCCCTGATGACAAATCCAGAAAGAGAGTAAGAAATGTCACATGATATGAATCCTGTGTGTGGCTGTCTTTGCTTTGCTTTGCTTGAAGGGTGAAAATGACGCAAGCCTAGTATTTAGGGGTTTACTAATGTTTTTCCAGGACAACATATGTGGGAAATATTTTTCACAGTCACCTGACATGCGTGGGATTTTGTCTGAGTCATCACCATGGCTGACTAAGCAAAACTCATCGCAGAATTAAATGTACTAAAATATTCAGGCTGCTGGCATACAGACTTGAAAAATAAAAAGAAAAGCAAAAAATATTCCCTTAGCCTCAGTCCAACTTCAGATAAAAGGAAAAGGACTTCATAATGGTATTTCAGGGTATATGACTCATGAAAGAGTATTGGTCATCCATGTACCGAACTGGTTTGGTGCAGGTCATCGCGCTTCGCTTTAGCGCACACTTCTAGATCCTTGCTGCACTCACTTCCCCTTTAGGGTCGAATGCACTTGTCTTCTCAAGTATAGCAGACTAGGCAATGCACGACCTACAACATCTACAGATACAGTCAGGAGCCTCATTTGCGCCTTGCTGTATTGTTGTTTCTACAACGACCTTAGACTTCAATACCAAGTTCCCTCTTCAATAGCTAAAGCCTAACTCGCAAATGACCACTTTGGCCCAGTATAACACACAGATGTATGAGGCCAGTGATTCACTGTCAACACCTAAAGTCTCCCCACAAGACTATCCTAAGTCTTCAGTAGACAAAAGAAACAACACCAAACTTCTGAGTAAGAATGAGACTGAAACTCTGGTACTTGAGAGAAAGTTGATAGAAAGAAACAACATCATAATTATGGAGACTGTTAGCAACAATGATTACAACACACAGAGACAGCAATCACAGAGATGGTCAGCACACACAGTCACCAATACCCCACACACACTTTGAAAGACAGAGAGAACGAAACAGAGAAACAGATATGTTAGTTTCATAGTCACAAATCTCAAACACATTTTCAGAGAGACAGAAAGAAAGAAACACAATCACAGAGACAATCTCAAAGGGAGACACAGACACAGACACAGAGAGAGAAAGAAACAGAGAAAAACAGAAAAACAATCAGGAGAAATAAAAGAAAAAGAAGACTAGTCTTACTAGTCATCAGACATGGTAAGCTCCGATATGTTGTGCTGGTTGTTGAACATAGTGAGCTCCAACCTTGAACTGCACTTGCTGAATGCCAATTCACACTTTACTCACAATTTTATTCTGAGAGAGGAAAAAGCATCCTTGGAGATTGTATTTATTGGGCAAGAAGCAGCTCCTTATATAGACAAATTAGTGGCTATACTACTAGTTTCTCGTACTTAAAGTTATAACTTTACTTTGATAGTACTAAGTTATACAATATCTTTGAGTCAAAAAGTAAGTATTCATAACTCTAGTTGGTATAATGATGAGTCAGCAAGAGCTGTGTATGGCCCATGAGTCAGATGACCTTGGATGACTCAACTAGACAAGAGTGAGAAAATTATTAATGTTTGTGAAAGCTATGGCTAATAAATTAATTAGTAGCATAATGACATAAGATGTGTATTTAAGGATTTGTAAGCTTTCCCATAGGGTAACCTTATGCAAACATATTTTTCACAGTCACCTAATATGTGTGAGAATATTTCTGAGTCATCCTCATGGCTGACTAAGCAACACTCATTGCAGAATCAAATGTATGAAAATATTCAGTCCACTAGCGTGCAAACTTGAAAAATAAAGAAAAATATGAAAAATATTCTCTAGCCTCAGTATGACTTTAGTTCGAAGGAAAAAATGGTTTCATAGTGAACTCTGGGGTATAGGACTCATGAAAAAGTATTAGTCGTCCATGCACTAAACCAGTTTGGTATAGGTCAACGGGACTACTTCAATTGCTATCATCACATACTATAAAACCTGATGGTGCTGTCTCTGTTTGTGCACAGCCCATTTGACCACTTTCCTTGTCAAAGCTATTCTGTATGCACTCATAAAATAGTATGACCTATCAATAAACCACTAGATAACCTCAACTGAACAGGAATCAAGGATTTCTCACACTGCTTTCTTGGCTGCTTCAAAGTTTTGTTTTGATATCTTATGGTAATGGTACTTGCACCAACCTCAGTACTACCTCAACAGTTAAGGCTATGAGTCAACCTTGTGTATACTGTGGACCACTTACTATCTCAATTGGATTGAGTTTGCAGTAAAACTTTGGCAGAAAAATACACTTGTAAGTCGTGACCCTTGCTTTTATTTAACTCCTTGAGCATTGATATTTGATATAGGAAATCATTTTATTGACTGAGGAGTTGCACTATGCAGCAGCTTTCATTATCAATTGGACAGACAGGATATCACTTGGCATGCAAGTTTTGGACATTAAATCTACATTTCTTAAAAACAGTTTTCAACCCCTTTGGTTCATCTTTTGCATTGGTCATCCTTTGCACAAGTTCATGCTTTGAGATATCAGGGTTATTCAGAGGGATAACTGTGTCATGTTGCCGACGCTGCTTGCCATCATTGAATTTGTTCATGCTGAATGCTTTGAGAACATCAGGAGAAAGAGATGCATAGGCTAACAAATTATCAAAAATGAATAGTGCTTGGCAATCTGGGCCACTAACTTCCTCATGGATTTTGATTGCTGATTTGATCTGTTCAAGTTGGTTATTGTGTGTCCACCAAGGATCACCATTGGCACTGGGATAGATGATTTTTCAAGCATCTTTTAGGATTGTGCTATCAGAATCATGCAAAACAAGCTATCCATCTTTCTCATTGACAAAATTAAACACATGAATCAGACATTCGTGTCTCTTCTTGCATAGAGGCTGCTCACCAGGTCTTAACCTGGTAAAGGAAAAATGAGCTGCAGAACAACCAAGACTATTGCAAAAGACTCACCAAGCATTTCAGACATTATTGTTAACATGAAAACAACATTCATCATGTCAGTATGGCTTGATTTGATGTTCTCCTTGATTCAGTGTTCACTCAACTCTTGTCAAATCTGGTCCTTCAAATCAAACCATCTGTCCCTCAAACTTTGCCATTACAGGCAGGTAAATCTCCTGTCGATACTTTACAACATCCTCTCACTCATGACTATCCATGTAAACACCTTTCCTTATCACAGTTTTCCATCATCTAAGCTTTATTAACCACTGCTAAGCTGTGTATTCACTGATTGGGTGCTTGAGAATTACACCCAGCTCAAGAAAGATTATTGTTGTAACTGCACTTTACAGAGCTTGTGCATGATTTTGCACTGACTTAGCATACAAGAAGGATTGAATATTCTTGCTACTACCTTGCCTTTCAACAGGAAGCTATTCAAATATTTGATAGTGATGGGCCAGTGCACAAACTTGATGTGCAAACCAGTTGCCATTGCTATCATGCCACCTCAGACTGAAAGTATTTTCCACATGCTTATTGACTTGAAAGCCAACTCATTAAGAGGATCAATGTGGATATAATAATTCTGATGGTGATTTAGAATAATATGTTAGGTCTTGTATGTAGAACCTAGCTGCTATTTGACCCTAAAGAGTTTTTGGACCAGACTCAAGGCTCAGAGGAGAGGAAATACAATAGCAACTTACTGAAGACTCAGACTCCTACTGGTAATTGGTGAAAAGATAACTTTATTATGTAAGCTACAAAAATGCAAACATAATACTAAGATAAGAATAGTCTCTGCAAGCCTAGCCAGGAATCAGTCCCTATACCAATAATCTGGAAAAGGCCACTTTTATAGATCTAAAAGAACTTATGAATTCCAAGGACTTCAAGGACACTATTATTTACTTTCTCAGATGGTATCAAACTAACTATATAAACTATAGTTGACACTTCAGAGTCGTCTAACAGTGTATCTCCTGTCACCTAACCTCACTGCATATATTGATGACACCCATATGAACATTATGGTATGTATACTTCCCCATTCATGCTACATGGGAATTGACTCTGCAACAGAAGTTCATTAAGAACCATCAAAAGGTATTCAAAATTCTAGCTGCATTGATTGATGTGGAGCTTTTGGCACAATTTCAAAAATTGCCAGTAAATTACTCTTACTACAGGCATTTCCCCATTTTCCTCCACCAAACATCCAAAAAACATTGATTGAGAAGATAGAATTTTCCCCTCATTTTGTCTGTCAAAACATTGAAAAAATGTAATTCATGTTTCTTCAAGGATAATGCTATATTTTCCATCTATTGTCATTTAAATGACAGGCTAAAATAATGTTAATTTTCTTCTCTATGTTTGTCAAATGTTCTGTGTGTATTTGAAAAATGCAGAGAAGAAAATTAATATCATTTTAAGCTGTTATTTGAAAGACAATAGATGGAAAATATAGCATTATCCTTGAAGGAACATCATAAATTTTTGCATTATATCCCACACACATTATTGAAACATGAATTACTTTTTTTCAATGTTTTGACAGACAAAATGAGGGGAAAATTCTATCTTCTCAATCAATGTTTTTTGGATGTTAGGTGAAGGAAAATAGGAAAATAGGAAAATGCCTGCAGTGTCTCTTCAATTGGTGGCAACCTCAAGGCAAAGATTTGTATGTTATCGGGCATGTAGACTATCATGATACTAACCACCCTTAAGTTGGTCATATCACTTGTTAAGTACATGAGTATCATGGACACAGCCAAATCACTTGCTCACAATATAATAGAGGTTGATTCAGCTCATTGGAACAGATATACATTTTTAGTATGTTTTCATCTTGAAGCAATTTGTCAAGTTCATAAGATAAGTCTAGTAGCACTGCTTGCATATCTTTCTTATTGGCATTAGCAACTACAGAGCCATCTCACACAATGACCTTTATTCAAGCTCACTTACTTCCTCTCTTCATAAAGACCTTCACATCAAAATCTCAGAGGCACTCGAGTGCAACATAGACATGGAGGTAAGCAAGAATGATGAGCCACAGCATGCAGATAATGCCAAAAACAACATGGACAATTCAGATGAATAACTCCCCAAAGAAGACTATTGTAGAGACTGGTATCTCTGTGGCCTTGCAGAGGCTATATATGCGACCTGTCTCAAAGTACAGTTTGATACACAACTTGTGCCAATACCTCTCCAATCATTCCCTATGCAAAGTGCAACTCTTCCATGCCAAGCGACAAGCACGCACTACCTTCCTGCACATTGGCTGCCCCAAGTGCTGCATTCTCTCGTGCATGCTAAGCACACTTTCCCACGCTTGAAGTGCCCTATGTTGCACATCCATCCATTATCCAAACTAGCCTCACTGGTATGTGTTCATATTATTTTCTTCATATCAGACCATATTATATTTTACAGCTGTTTTAATATATGATGGCAGTGACATCATTTTTTTGTCAACTACACGAATTAGGACTTAGAACAAATTTGACTGATCATATCAGTGCTTGACTTATACCCAATGCACAAACGTCTCATGCTCGCGACACAGAACAGTTTCGACAGTCTCGATGATGATACCAATAGCGACTTGCAAATGACACACCATCACAATACTATTCTTGATGCTCTCGATGAGCTAGAACTCATGGAAGTTGACAATGATCCCAATGCTGATCAAACAGATACCGACGATGATGAATCACAAGAACTCGAAATACTAGACTCTGCTACAGGCCCTGTTGTACCACCAAAGATTCCTACCCCCCCTCCGACAGTGTCAAAGAAACGAAAATGAGGTAAGTCGATGCATATAGTCAGTGTTTTGTGCTGACTCGGATCCCTAACAGATAAGAATGACGAACCTACTACTCCTGTCACAAGGGATATCTCATACATGGTCTCTATCCTCTCGGCTAGTGAAATGAAGAAGGCCAAGAGCAAACGAGAGCCAGTCAACACATCCATTGACCTTTGCACTGATGAACCATGGGACACTCTCAAAGCACAGATTCTTGTGAAGATCTCGACAGCAATCAATCCCTGCATGCTCCATTTTGACGACTACTCACTTACCTATCACATCTCTTGGGTTCTACCTAAACCTGGCCTATCTCTCTTGACTGAGGCTGACTACAATGGTATGATGAAACGGGTCGACGGAATGGCTGCGAAGGCTCCGACTGTCAACATCAATGTTATCCAAACACAGCCGGCTAGCAACAACAATGAAAACCAGGGCGAGGATGAATCAGAGCTTGCAAAGTCCAAGACGAAGAAATGAGTATGTATTCAATAACCTTATAGATAATTACTTCACGATTTTTGCACAGAAAGAGTCAGCTGTGATTCTTCCAGGAAACGAAAAGAAAGTAGCAAACATTCAGCTTTTACGAGATCGCTGGATCTGCAAAAAGACCGATTCTGCCTGTGCATCAACCCATTGTTATGTGATTCCTGGATCTGAAGAACACTTTCTGCTCGGACATCAGCAGCTCGACTGCTGTGCTTCTGCAATGGTTGATATTTCCTCTCTGGTGTTTCATGTGTAGTTGTGATACTGATTTTGAGCAGTGTAAGGAGGCGAGCAATGCAATGATTGATAAGCCCCCAAACCACTGACTCTTCGATCTGAAGGCCATCAGCCCAGTCTTACAGCGCCGACTCGATGCACAGGCCAAGACAGTGACAGAACCCGCATCTTCAACTCCTGTTGTCAATGTCACATTCAGCAATGAGTTTGCAAGTCTTTTCAAGTCGAACCACACAGCTCTGAACACAACAACCTCAGGAATTGGGCCAGCGCCAATCTCCACATCTTCGCTCATTCCCCCATTGCGCAAGCCTGGCAATGACATTTCCATTGTGGCTTTCTGTGCCCTGTACCAGCTTGACGACAGCATCGCTACAAAATTTGCTTCTCATTCATTCAAGGAAGCGCGCTTACTCTGTTATGTGACTTTTTCAGACCTCAAGGAGATGGAGTTCAAGTTTGGTGAGATAGCTGCATTACACGATGCTGTTGAGAGGTGGTCTATTCCTACTAGTATGGCATGATTGGACATTATATTGTATTATAGTATTCGTGGTGACGACGAAGGAAATGCTTGATCTTCGAAAATGCTTCTTCGATGAGATTGAGATCGGGGGAGTATGGCAAAAGGAATTCAATGCGAACACCTGGTATATGCATCCCATCATGATAATCATTGTAGGAACAAGAGGAAATCACAAATAGACTGACCAAAACGGTCTGCAAGTTCAAGAACATCAGCACCATGGTGAATTGAAGTGTTGTCCATCACAAGGACACTCAACGGGCCTGGATATGCAGAGCACTTCGGTAACTAGAAGGTTATCAGACTTGTCAGATGTCCAAGAATGTAGCTTGATAACTCACAACAGTAAATTCCAGCCACTCGAGAAAGAGCTCTTTCATCATAGAACCCTCGACAGCAGTGCATGCAACAATGCCATCAAGAGTCAACAGTGCTTCCAAGCTGACACGACGCCCACAGACAAAGGGTTGATGTACATGTGCCCGTTTTCCTCTCAATGAGCGCCCATAATGCCGTCCGAGTGTCTGCTCGTCTTTTGAGACCTCGTCAATGAACCCTATTTCTGTAGCATCATATTGAGACATGTGAGCTACAAATGCAGCACAGAGTTCTTCATTGCGTTCCGAAGCAATATGTTTGAGTTTCTTTCGGCTCATACCAGCACGTTCGAGTTCATTGAAGACAGTGGTGAAATGAATAGATATGAAGCAGTTGGTTCTCGCGAGGCTGATGAGCTCGTCAAGGAAGTAGTCGGGGTTGTCATGAACAAGTTCTAGGAGATATTCAATGTCTTCACGTTCCAGATGATGCACGTGGCCACAAACTCCCCTCGGGTGATTGGTGACATCACCAGTGTCTCTCCACAGCCTCAAGACACGGTACCACATCTGTTGTGAGAACCCGCAGCAGTCGAGAATGTTTTGGAGGTTCAGTAGGTTGTGTTCATAAAGACGGATGGCTGCTCGTTTGATGTCGTCACTGATCTTGCGGAACACCATGATGTGGCAGAGGCTATTCACTACTAAATCGTATTTTGTGTAATTTACAAAAAAAATGACGCCACTGCCATCATATATTAAAACAGCTGTAATGATTGCTCAATTCTCATGTCATGGACTCTTATTACATACTTTACCTACTTGCTTCAGGGGCACATTTTTAGACATATATAAGCGCCTGTAGTTCATATTTTACATCATCAAATCATATAGAAGCTCCCTGCACCTCACTATTAGTGTAAAGCTCATCTGTCACATGCCATAGTCAGTAGCCATTGGCAATAAGAATATCCTTAATGTCTATTATGAACCTCTCTTATAAACCCACCTTGCGCTTCTCCTATGCTTTGCACTGCTCAAGCACTCCATAACGCGCTTCGCAATACTCAAGTGCTCCGTAACGTGCTTTATGTCAGCTGACAAGTGGCACCCTCTGTTACGCACTCAAATAGATCTGTTATGCGGAGCCCTAAGAGGGGCGTCGTCCGCTAACGTTCGTGACGTAACCGGAAGGGTCCGGTGTAGCGACTGAGACTGGCGACGTCGAGTCGGCAGATATCAGAGACGCGCGTGTCACGTGACTTCTAAGACGGATGTCTTCAAAGTCACTGACGATCTCAAAGTAAGGACAGTCTTGTCCGAACGATGAGGTGGTCGATCGAGGTGGACTTAGGCGCGATGAGCACCTAAGAAAAGATACTAGAGACTGAAGCTGAGGGGGCTTCAGAGGGAAGTATGTTCGAGGGAAGATTGAGTAGATTCAAGTTAGGGAATCTAGTACAGAGTGACCGACTACTTATACTAAGTGGAAAGGGTTAAGGGCAAGGCTACCGTACTGTAGGTAAGGGCAAAGGGGAAACGGAAAGGGTATAGGTACGATGGTGGCAGAGCCTGATTAGTGATGTAAGGTCGAATGCGGAATGAGACCGAGAAACGTTGGAACAAGCCAACGGTAAATGATACAATGTGCAGCATGCACGAGTCAAAGGAAAGATAAGACAAGATAAGGAAAGCCACATTGGTGGCACGAGTCAGAACGAGTCATAGCCCGAAGGCACGTGCGCACGTTGGTGCGATGGGAGGGGGAGGCGAGGGACGGGAACGGTCCCGAGGATCCGGTCAACGGATAGTCGGTAGAGAAGTACGAGCCGGAGGCATACAAGGGCGAGGACGAAGGGGGAAAATGATAGGGGGGCCATGTAGCCGATGTTACTTGTAACACCCTCCACACCAATCTTTAGATCTCTACTGCACTTGCTTCCCCTTTAGGGTCAAACACACTTGTCACTACAAGCATAGCAGCTTAAGTAAGCAAGACCCAACATATAGTTCAGTATATCACCATCTGAATTGTTGTTTCTACACTGTGAAGTGGCTAATGATCATGGTAACAACCTTGGAGAAGGAGAGCACACCATAGATAGTGGAGAGCAATATGAGCTCCATGTGAACAGAGATGATCATGAGGAGGAAGAAACTAGCCAGCAAGAGCCTGAGGTCAGCAACAGTGGTTCTGGATTCAGCAAAAGGGAAAATAGCAAGGGTCCCAAATTCACCTCATCAAAATTCTGAAATTTATTGATTGCTCACTGCAAAGGAGGAGGTCTTAGATTGTGACAAGTCCAACCATAGAACATATGAAAACACTATGCAAAAGTAGGTGTATTATTATCATCATGTGTACTATTGCTGATTGTTCTATAGCATACTCATTAAATATTTCCAAATGGACCTTGCTGAATTTCCTGGTAGCATGGTTGCTCCAAAGCTCCTCACCACAACCAGTCCTTAATGGCAGGCAACTATTCAGAACTTGCTACTTTGGACCTAAGTTCCCTGGTAGCATGCTTGTTTCAAAGCTCCTCACCACAACTGGTACTATCCAGAACTCACTCATTTTGTGAATACCTTCACTATACCTGCCTTCTATGCATCCCCCATCACACATAACTATGTCTTAATTATCAGTGTATCTACTCCATCAGTATTAATGCAAAAGTGCTTGTGTTTCATTTGAATTTTTACCTGCTTGATTCTGAACAGCTGAGGTTTTAATGTGACTGCATATGAGACCAATACCCTTCCATCAAAAATATATACTCCCTACCTACATATGAAACAACACATCTGCTTGACCTATGAAATGAGATATCTATGCAGCCTATGAAACCAGATATCTATGCAACCTATCAAATGAGATATCTGGGTGACCTAGAGAAATCACCTATTGAAAATATCCTAGTCCGATATACCTAAGATAGGCCTCGCTCAAACACCACTAACATCACATGATGTGACAACTGTATGACCATTGAGTGACCATTGCGCTGAGATATTGTGACACAGTGTAGAAGTTAGAATCTAAAGGACTGTATCGTAAATAAGTAATGCTATGTATATGTTGTGTATATGTATGTATAACATAGATAGTATGGATGATTAATTGAGCTCACTGAGCTCATCAAAAACTGATAAAGGGAGACTTGGAGTGTGGTGACCACAATATTTCTTCATGACATTAAATACTGCTTGTTTCCCATCTAAACCCTTGTGGTGTAGAGACTCATGCCTCTCATGGTGTGATATGGCACTTTTCACTAGGGAGTTCATTGTACAAACTTGCAGCACCACTCTGTGTGCTGTCCACAACTATCCCTATATGAGGCGCAGCTTTCCCACGCCATGCACGCACACTTCCCATGCTTCACGATGTATATGCGCGTGCACTTTCCCACGCTTGAGCACCCTATAGCACCAGCCATCCAGACGCATCCATCCACTGTCCACCAAGCTCTCTAGTGCATATAATTCTGTTTCCTTATTTGCATATCATTCCACCTTTATTTTATCATGGACCCTTACTCATATATATCTTTACATACCTTACTCGATAGCACTTCGGCTCCGCATGACAGCACTTAGGCGCCATACAGTGGCTCAAAAAAGTGTCTCAATGTTTGTAACTTTTTATGTAATTGCTTTATTATGAGCCAGGGTGTGGGAATATGACTAAACTGTAGGGAGGTGTCATAAAGCTATACTTCTTAGCCTCATTGAAGTTCCCTATAGCGTGGGAAGCTGATGTCATCATGTGCATATATGGCTATTTTAATCTGGTGACTTATTGAGACACTTTTTTGACTTTCAGTTTAATCAACATCATCTCTATAATTATGATACTTCATGTGGCCTCCTGTTGCTCTAATCACTTCTGCCACTCTTCTAGACATGCTATCTATCAATTTTGAGTATTTCTTCTTAGCACTCCTTTCTCACTCTGCTGCAACTCTGTCCTACAGCTGAAATAGCCCCTATGATGAATTTTGATAGGCTGCAAGCGATTTCTTGAATATTTTTCATACATCAGCCCTATTGAATATCTCTGAAAAATATTCAAGAAATCGCTTGCAGCCTATCAAAATTCATCATAGGGGCTATTTCAGCTGTAGGACAGAGTTGCAGCAGAGTGAGAAAGGAGTGCTAAGAAGAAATACTCAAAATTGATAGATAGCATGTCTAGAAGAGTGGCAGAAGTGATTAGAGCAACAGGAGGCCACATGAAGTATCATAATTATAGAGATGATGTTGATTAAACTGAAAGTCAAAAAAGTGTCTCAATAAGTCACCAAATTAAAATAGCCATATATGCACATGATGACATCAGCTTCCCACGCTATAGGGAACTTCAATGAGGCTAAGAAGTATAGCTTTATGACACCTCCCTACAGTTTAGTCATATTCCCACACCCTGGCTCATAATAAAGCAATTACATAAAAGTTACAAACATTGAGACACTTTTTTGAGCCACTGTATATAAGTGCCAGCAGTACATACCACAAGGCACTTTTTACTTACTGGTTACTACCCACTTACTACTTAGCAGAACATAGTAGAAATCCATTTGTCTACACTTCACATCTCTCATCTCTTGTCTAGTATCTCATTATCACTTAAGCAAGCTTATTCTTACTCTCTCTCACTTCCGCATACACACACTGCACTTTCCCGCGCTTCATGCAGCACGCGCACGCATTCCCATGCCTTGCGCGCACCTGCGCTTTCTCATGCTTCGCATTGGCCAACCAGTAGCGCCTTCAGTGCCTACTTCTAGATCCTCGCTGCACTCGCTTCCCTTTAGGGTCAAATGCACCTGTCTTCTCAAGTATAGCAGACTAGGCAATGCATGACCTACAACAATTATAGATACAGTCTGGAGCCTCATTCGTGCCTCACTGTATTGTAGTTTCTACAGCAGTAGGCATCTATAAACTATAATGAACGTGCAGCAAACCTATGCATGGGAGGCCGAGTCTGCACGACTCCATTTACCCATGTCTGGCAATGTATTGATTCATGATAATGTACTTTGGCTCAGCTTAGTCAGCTAAAGACTCAGTACAACTCATCTTATTTCTCCATATATTGAACAGTAAATCAAATTCTGCTTCTGGGGAATGGTGGGGGAGTTATCTTAGTTGTCACGCCTGGAAACTGATTTTTGTCTAAGGTTGTGTAGCCTACGAAATTAGCCAATGTAACACTTTTCTCCCTCAAAATGCTTGCAGCATGACAATTTCTATCATGTGATGTTGGTGGTGTCTGAGTAAGGCCTATCTTACTAGCCCTGATTGTCAATATCACATCAAGGTCTCATAAATGTTGTCAGGTCTCTACTGAAGATCTCTTAGATCTGGCATTTACTGGCTCACTTGGATAAACATTCAAATTGTCAGCAATTGCTAGCGAAGAAACCCTTCAAGGGATATTATTATAGGTTTGCCACATGGTACTCGTTTCGGATGTGTCAAAGGTTTTCGGCAGTTTGCAGTGTAGGCGCGTAGTACCTGTAAGACCGTTATGGGAAATGCCGCCGGTAGCTGTCAAATTTACGAAACATTATTATTTGAAATCTTCCATCCAACTTTTTCGCCTTACCAATATCTTGTGCCGTCTACATGCCGCACAAACGTGCCAAACGAGTTGTTCGTGAACAAGAGAGATCCCTGAAGTAAGTGTTCATATTACATTATATGTACCTTCAGCTCACTTATGAGTCTCGAACTCAAAGAGGTCATAATCTGCCGCCAAAGCACCTTGGAAATGAGGAGACGGTGCCAAAGTCTGTAGCTCGCATTCTTAATGCCGAAAAAATCCGCCTGGAATTCAGGGAGAAGAAGCGGAAGATCGATGAGCCCAACGGCGATGAAAGCCCTCAGCTGAAACGAAGACTGGCCGTCCAGTGATGTAAACAGTCGGAAAGGGGAGATGCTAAAAATTCAGCCAGGGGAAACTATAGCTCATTTTAACAAGTGAGTTTCAGAACGAATCTGGTTGCGGCGTGTCACCATTAAGCACGCGTGCAGGCGAGTCGAGAGTAGCATGATGCCGCTCATTAGAACAGCTATGCAGCAGTCATCGGCCCAGGTCCGGAGAGTCCAGAAGCGTGAAATTGAGCAGGGAGTCGCCAAGCCTGGTGCACAGGTCAAGACGATGATTAATGACAGTACTCGTGCAGACGTTTCAAATCCATCGCTGCCCCCTTCGACCAACACACCCCTCAGCCGCACGGACGCTTTAAATCTATCACCGCTCGCATCGACTAGCACACTCCAGCGGCAGCATCGTGATAAACCTAAGGAGTTTCGTGTATCTTCAACCTCAGCACCGCGCCGCCTCAACGATATTGCACAAGAACCGCCACGATTTGACAGACTGCCTCGGGGTGCCCGATCAGGCAAAGACTCTTCGAAAGAAAAAGTTACGGGGATACTGAGCATGGCACAAAAGGCAATGATGGAAGAAGAGAGAGAAAATGTCATCAAACGTTACCGGGAACTTAAAGCTAAGAAGTTGCGTAGTGATTGTAGCGGCGCAATGGGCGAATGAGCTGAGTCGATCGCAGTTCTCATTGACTACGTTTCCGATCTGGCGCAGTAATTTTGCCTGTCGTCACTGTCCTGTTGAGTGTCCCGTGGCGTTGATTTGATCTCTACGTTGACGTTGACGCTTACTCTGCAGTGCGTTTCTCCGAGGAATGCTCGATTCCGTTCCCGCTCCCGTTCGCATTCTGACATACTAAAGAGATAATTCGTGTTTGGTTTTGCTGCCAATACGGCTTATCCATTTAATTCGTTCAGTGAGATAATCCTTTGGAATTCAAGATCCGCCCCAGCACTCCACAGGAAATCTTTTGTCCCAACCTAGGCGGCGGAAGACCAAATTTCCGAAGCCCTCGGATGACTCTATTTGAATCCCTTTCCGCTATAGACGGTCCCTGGTACTCCTCCATGTACCCATTCAGGGTATGCGGCGGTTAGTTCTTACCCTGAGAAAGGAGGAATTGTTATCTTTCATCAGTCCCTCTTCGGCTTGCATCGTCATGATGAACCACAGGGAGGCGCCCGATTGTATAGCGGGTGCTATGCTGTGCTGTTGCCATGATATAGGGTGTGCCGAAAATGCACTGATCACTTTAGTTTTTCTTGATAACTCGATTATGAGTCTATCATTAATCATCCATGTGCATGGGCACTGGGCAATGATGAAGCTCAAGTCGGCCCTGCGGAGACTCGTGTCCACGAACCACGGCCCCCACCATCATTCAACCGACTTGCCGCGATGCCTACGTGCGATCACGTTCCGCGCTGAAGACCGAAATTACGAGCTTCCTTTCACCATGCTCAAAAAGATACTTGCCTCCCTCATCCGGTATATTCGGAGGAGCCTGCGAAAGCGGGGATCTGATTTTCCGTACAGGAAGTCCTTTATAACGGACACACGATCAGTTGCCTGTAGCTGTCTGCTGATACCCTTCTTTCTCTGCCCACCTTACTTCGGCTCTCGTCGTGTTGGTGAACTGTATCCTCCATGGAGGACGTGGAGAAGCAAGCGGACTCCTCGTCGACTCGAGGGCCAAGCATTGAAACAAGTGCATATGAAAACCTCAATCGACACAGTGCTTTGCAGCCTACTGACGCGCTATTACTGCCCACAAACATGACAAACCGAGATAGAGGATGGGCTGGTTGGTTGGCTGTCTTCGGAGCATTTCTGGCCCTTTTCTGTTCGTTCGGTCAAATGAATGCTTTCGGAACATATCAGTCGTGGTATTCGCATCATCAGCTTTCAAGCCATTCGCAATTCAGTATTTCTTGGATTGGATCCCTCCAGCTGTGGACATTCTTCTTCATGGTAAGTTATATTGGCTAGCCAAGGTCGTTGTTGCTCGATGATATCATATGAGACTAGGGAGGACCTATAGGACGCCTTTTTGACGCCTACGGGCCGTCGCCCGTGATGCTATTCGGGACAGTGCTATTAACTTTCAGCATGTTGATGACAAGCATCTCCACGAAGTATTATGAATTCTTATTGTTCCAAGGCTTCTTCTTTGGCCTTAGTGTCGGATCGCTGTAAGTCCCTTCCTGAGCGCTGCGCGTCTACTTTTAAGTTTATCGCACAGCTTCTATCCCTCCTTAGCAGCGGTTTCCACTCACTTTGATGAGTACCGTGCATCGGCTCTTGGTGTTGTAGCCGCTGGCTCCGGTGTTGGTGAGCGGTCCGCTATTACCCGTCCAATCCAGCTGAGTTCGTCTAGGTGGTGTTGTTTATCCCATTATGCTCCGCCAACTCTTCTTGCGCACCGGTTATGCATGGGCCGTTAGAGCATCGACGTTACTTTCTGTGGCATGTTGTATCGTGGCCCTTGTTACCGTAAAGAGAGTAGAAGGTCCTAAGAAATGCTCCGGATGGATGGATGTCAAGATGCTCAAGGATGCATGCTTCATGTTACTCGCTACTGGGTCCTTCTTTATCTGCCTCGGTAAGAAAGCAAATTCTTTCATGGGGCTATAGCTTACAAGGGCAACCAAGGTATATTTACACCATTCTTTTACATTGTGAACTACGCCGAGGATCGAGCACTGGTTTCTCAGAATATCGGGTTTTACGTTCTGTCAGTAATGAATGCTGGAGGTGTATTCGGCCGCATCGTTCCCGCGATCCTCTCCGACAAGATGGGGCGATACAACCTCCTTATGCCCACATCCTTCTTAGCAGGCCTATCGTGCCTCGTATTTTGGATGCTTGCGAAGACCATGATCGCTGTAATGGGTTTTGCAGCGGTATATGGTTTTCTATCTGGTGCATTTATATCCGTCATTACTCCGTGCGTTGCACAAATATCAGATATCAACGAGATCGGGTCTCGAATAGGTGCATTGTATACACTCATATCCATCCCGTAAGATTATAGTTGGATTCGTTTGACCTGTGCTCACCGTGTTTCTTTCAGCTCTCTTATTGGTGGGCCCATCGCAGGAGCTCTCATTCAATGCCAAGGCGGTTCATACACGGGAGTGATTGGGTTATCAGGAACAAGCATCATCATCGGGTCATTGTTTATTCTAGCTTGCAGGCTCAGGATAAACCGAAACATCTGGGCAAGAGTGTAGCGAGTCGTATGCCTGCAACCCTCGTATCCTTATTTTCTAAGTTCTACGACTGGGAAAATTGCATCTTAACGACGGCTTTGATTCTTGCAATACTATGTATGGTGTAATTATTCTGTATTTTTATCATTGCGGAATGCACAGGGCGTTATCAATTTATCATGCCAGGGTCGGGTAGTGACTAGTAACTGCCGCACGTTCCATTGAACCATCCAATATTCGATATTACGTACGTGTCTTATGTGTGCACTAGGGTGTGAAGATGCACACTACGAGCGCTGTCACATGTCCACCATGAGCGGAGTGATTGGCCAAACTTGATACAACGATGGGTAAAATGCTCTGAAGCGACAACCGTGTCTGATTTCAACCGGTACTTATATATATGATTAGCTAATTGTAAATTTCCCCAGTTAAACAGATTCAAGTTTGGGTCTCAGTGAATCACACGGTAGTACCTCCTATAGTCCATAACCATGAACATCCAAAACCCAAGCGCTGAACGCGACTACATCCCTATCGCTGATCATGGTTTGTGCGTAGCTTCCTAATTAACGTTATACACATGTTCTGATAAGATCCTATTAACTAGGATCGGGAATCTGAGGACTGCTGCGCTGGTGAGTTAGGGCGCCAGATCGTTCATTCTGAGCCTCTTTGTTGATCCTCGATGTTCATGTAGGTCAGTCTCGATGGATCTAGTAAGTAATTCTAGTTTCAGATAGTTTGGGACAAGAAGAATGTTCTCTTGAAGTTGGATTCCAAGTCGGATGGCTTGGACAAGCGCCGGGGCTCGCTCGCCCGGAGCTTCTGTAGTTCATCCATATGAGTTTTATCTAATGCATATCTCGCACAGTCGAGAGTTATTGTGTCCCAAATTTCGACTCTCCATCCATCTTTGCGCGCATCTTGGACAAAAACAAGGTTTGAGCTTTATCATAATACTTAGGGGGCTTCCCTGATTGTTAATGGGGCTTACGGTAGGGCGGCCATTTCTCCATTACACCGACGGTTCCTTTCAGCACCAAACACAATTACTTGCCGAGCTCAAACGTATTACAGACTAAGTTTGTCTATCTCCTTATCCATATGCGAATCATGGCTGAACAACATGGGCAGGTTTCTCAACGAGAAGGGCGTGGTTAGTGTCACCGGTAAGTCACCCATGCCAACTTATACCGACAATTGCAGGAGCTCATTGGACACACCCAGACTTCCTTCCTCGCCTAGAAAATGGCGAATCTACGCACCCGTTACTGTTTTGGCTAATCAGACGTGTCGAGGTGAGCTGCTCTCTCTACAACATCCCACTCAGGCTTTATATCGCGATCTTCACTCGTTAGGTGGTCCGCGGTGCCGTCCCGCTGCGCGTCGAATGCGCCCCCGCCTTCAACTATGCTCGGGACCCCCACGCTACCCAAATCGTCCCCGACGATACCATCCCACTCCAATTTTCCAAACAAAACAAAGTCGTCTTCACTTCGAGGCCCGCCGCTTCCCAATATCTTGCGAAGGGTGCGAGCCCACAGAACATGTCGCATAGCCCGCTCACGCTCGATTTGCGATTCCTCCCCGAGTCTTTGCTTGAAAATGTTCCTGTACCTGAGGTCTCTTTGGAGACACTGGATCTCAGTGCAAAGGGTCACCTGGGCTTGGCCGCACAGGCGGAGTTGACGCTTGTGGAGGGTCAGCGGGTGACGTTTGTATTGCGGATTGCGCCTGAGCACAAAGGTAATGGTGGGTCGGGTATAGATGAAGAGCAAGCAGAGCAGCTAGGACTTAATTATCAGAGTGAGCACTTCTAGTCATTCCATATTAGATTGATGGTCATGGTAAGTAGAACTGATGGCGGGTGCGCACAAGATGAGGCCAAAGGATGATCCGGTCATTACTAGCGTGCGTTTTGGTGACCGTTAACCTTTGAGCTTGCTGACGCTCCCTTTTTAGGAGCTCCTCGACCATCTGTTTGTTGTACGTCTCTTGTTTGAATGTTGTTTAGTCTCTGTTTTACCCGCTCATCTGCGCTCGCAGTCTACCAATAATTACTGGAACTCTTGGATCAGGAAATCAACCTACCAGGGTTCTTGGAAGGAGGCCGTGCACCGAAGTGCATTAGCACTAAAATTACTCATATATGAACCCACTGGTACGTGTTTCTCTTGTTCGGATATTTTTGTATTTGGGTGCTAACATTACTTGTACTTACCTCTGCGCGTAGGCGCCATTGTCGCGAGTCCAACATTCAGCTTGCCCGAATACATAGGTGGGACTAGAAATTGGTACGCTTGTCCTTCTTCACGTACTTCGGTTTTCTCACTAACGTACGATATATAGGGACTACCGGTATGCATGCATGTAGTATCCCCATAATTCGGTGATTTATACCATGCTACTTATGCAGGGCCTCCTGGATCCGTGACTCTTCGTTCACGCTATATGCTCTGATTAGACTCGGGTTCACTCAGGAGGCTAATGGAATGTCTCTTCTTTACATGCTGCCCTCAGCCCGTGCTGACCCCGTTAATCAACAGCATATATGGACTTCATCTTTGAGCGGCTGAAGAACAAGAACCCAGATGGTTCCTTACAGATTATGTACGTTTCTGACCTCTCTCAGATCGCTTCGTAGGCTGATTGTACATGAAGGTACACGATCCATGGTATGTCTAATATGATACGATTCACAAGGCGACTCTGATCGCCCTTCCGTAGGTGGGAAAGATCTGGAGGAGATAGAGCTTCTCCATCTTGATGGACACAAAGATTCTAAGCCTGTTCGGTTCGTTCCGCTTATAACCTACGCAGTGCTCGCAATCTGACTAATGCCAAAAGTATTGGTAATGGTGCAGCTGACCATGTCCAACTGGTACGTCTCGCGTGTAGTTGCAGTATGGCCTGGGAAGCTGATCTGATTGACAGGACATTTACGGTGAATTGTAAAGTTTCCACCTATGCTCCTTGGTTGGTCAGCGCTGATCATGGTCAAGGATGGATTGTATTTACCTTGGACAGAAGGTATGCTCCGAGGCCAATCCAAAACGAGTCCATCTAATATCATTTACTTTCAGTTCGGTAGACCATTGGTGAGTCTTATTTAATTCCCCTTGCTGTATCAATATCTCAATTATTCTGGAAGTCATATGACACATGGTGCGTATTCGGACCAGGCCACTGGCGGCCATACTGACTAGGTTACATTTGATTGAAGGGTATTGGTTCGGGAACTGTGAGTTATCCGGGTTGATGGTTGCACACGGCTGCTGATTCTGCTCTGATTCAGTGTAGACTGTACGTCATCTATGATCTTTATTTTCCGACGTACAACCAATACTTTGTAGTCGTTGTCGCAAACTACAAGAAACCCGACTTGTGCGCCTCACATAATTTCTCCAACTATCCGATGACTCAACTTGTATTACAGATCCATATGGTCAGTACGCGTCAGGCAGGAGTGTTTTGAGACTAAGTGTCAATGTCCATGTCGCAGGGAAGTTCGGGGCAAGGAGCGCCATTTTACTGTGTGTATTCTCACTGCTACCTGGAAAAGTCGGTGCTGATCCATGCTCTTATTACCAGTACTCGAAGGTGAGTTTTTACTGTTGAACTGGACAATATTGAGATGGCATGTGGAAGATTATGCTCTGGTATGTCACATTGCCTTGAAATAGACACAGCAATATTCATTGAAGATGCAGGGTCGCAATTGATAGAGGTGCGAGTCACGGAGCATACAGATGCACTCACACGTTGATGAACACGCACTCGCACAGGCCTTCGGCTTGCGGACAAGCGTTCTCTCCCTTGTCCTCGCCGCCTAGAGTGGCTTGCCGCACGCGACGACCTCTACGAAGAGATCATGCACAAGGCGTGGAATAAGGACCTGCAGGTCTTCGGGCAGAGTTATGAAGAGACAGACGTGCTTGATTCGTCGGTGCTCATTATGCCCCTCGTGTTTTTCATGACGCCGGTATGTTTAAACCCTTATACCTGTCTGTTCAGGGAATGTTAATATGTTCGCGAAGTCCGATACACGGTTTGTGAGCACACTGAAGCAGATTCTCAAGACGCCTGAAAGGGGAGGATTGACCTCTAATGTGGGTCCCACCTCTATTTCACAATCAACATGCTGACTGTGGACCAGAACCTCGTCTACCGGTATGATGTGAACAAATCTGATGATGGCGTAGGAGGCGAGGAAGGCACGTTCTGTCTCTGTACGCTATGGTGCGTTGAGGCTCTAACTCGTGCCGGTGAGTACGAGAGGCCACTTTTGCAGCGTGCAGTGGCGATGTTTGAGGTATGTCCTATTTTTCTCTAGCCTATCAGGTTCAGTGAGACTAGTACTGAACGGGATGAAGGACTTCCTGTTGTATTTGAATCACGTGGGCTTGTGCACTGAGGAAATCTCGGAGTCAGGCGATGCGTATGTGAAATTCCTTTTTTCTTTCAACTGCGGAGCCTGACATCCTGCTACAAAGGCTTGGAAATGCCGTCCAGGGTTTCACGTACGTTCTCGTTCATTCATTTTGATTTGTGTTAACATTTCTGGATAGTCATGTAACCCTCATTTCCGCGGCGTACAATCTTTCGAGGACTCTGGCAAATCAGCGATCCGTATAAAAGTCGAAAAGAATTCTGGACCTCCTACATAGATCAGCGCAATGTTGTAATCGTGACTGTAATCGTTGTACTTATAGCTGTGGTTGTTCTTGCATTCCATTATGTAATAGATCAGATCATAAAATGGAAGTTCCAGCCAGGAGGAGCGGCTATCTTCCCTTTGTGTGCAGCACACCTTGAAAATTGCATTGAGCTTGCGGTTCTAATCCTTTAAAACTGCCGTTGATGACTGTTCCTTGTCAAAGAGATTCCACAAATGCATAGAGATACGAATATTAGAGCTAAGTGCAGGTAGACTCCGATTATAAGGAACGACAGGGATGGAACAAGAAAATGTGTAAAATGAGAAGTTAATGCTAATGGACACTTGGTTTTGAGATATCATAGGATATGACACGAAGACTTCTTCCTATACTCCAGCGGCATGCACAATCAGAAAGTTTCCTCTTCATCGACAGGAACATTGTCAGGAACTTCAAAACCATCCTGCTCAGGCCGGTGAGTTTCGGATAAGCTAAAGAAAGATGAAGATGATTATGAAGGTGGTGCCTACCTCTGTTGAATAGAGGATCTTTTGAATCTCTTTAAGGTTGTCATCTTCCTTGCCTTGACTCTCCAGTGTCTCTGTTTGTTGCTGAACGAGGATCTCGATATCCCGAAGCTATACAAACGTTAAACTGTGCGTCCGATAGGGATGGGTGCCGACCCACCTTTGCAAAGTAGAAGTCCCTTTCCTTCTCTAGGCCTTCCATATGCGTCGACATTTCGCGGAGTTGAGCCTGTAATGCCTGCATGGCTTCATTGGGTTGCGTAGAGCCTGCCCGATGTCCGCTGATGGGCGTCTTTCCACCGGATCGACCGCCAACCCCCAGAACGGCACTGGCGCTGCGCGCCCCAGTTGAAAGCGGAGCAATGGTCGCTGGTGGTTCGGCTGGTGCACCACGCCTACGTCCGACCGCATCATAGCCCTGTCCACCGTAATTGGAATCCCAGAATCGCTTCATCCATTGCAAGAACTCTAGATTGTCCCTGATGATGCGTACATTGGTCAGTATCAGGGTGATAATGTTGTAGGCTCCATAAATCAACGCACTGCATCTTGCACTTGACAAGCTTCTCGATGGGTATGGGCTACATTAGAAGAACGAAAGATGAGTTTGAATGACGCGTTGACGGGATGAAAAACACGCCTTATCGATCTTCTTTGCTTTGAAGACGTTTTGCATGACTTTGAAATTGGCGACAAATTCATACTCGTGCTTTGCGTTCATTTTAACTCGCGCCATTGGAAGATCGCCTGCAAAAGAGCTTTAGAAATCATGACGAGCCGACCTTCAAAACGATCTGGGTGAGGTTGATGATGAGGCTTGCACGAACCATAGATGGAGTCAAGGATTTGACAGTAGGCTCCTCCAGTACCACATTGTTCAATCTTGGTATAGTTCAGCTGAAGAAGCTCGTTCAGCCAAGCTAGCAGATCTGAGCGCGAAACAGCCATCATGATGTGAATGCAGAAATGTCTAGTGAGTGAAGAAAGCAAAAAGCGTGCAGAGGTTACGAAATCGTCCAAAGGACAAAAACGTGTGGCTTCGATTCTTGGGTTCGTCTGCCTTCCTTCTTCAGTGCCACACATTGCTCTTGCTCTTGATCACGACTGCTCATCCTCTTGAGTGATTTCCCTTCCAGATCAATTATCACAGTTTGTCCAGGTGAAATTACTTATTATTCCACTATCATGTTCTGACCTGCCACATCCGGAGCCAGGTTGACATTTCCCCTTGGGCCTTGGACGTCTGGACCTTGGTCCATCCGAAAGATACCATATTTTAAATTTCAGTCGCATCGTACGTAAATTCCAGTGTCGGGGTGGAGCTGGTTAGCTGACATGCATACACGCGATTTCAACGTTTGTCGCGATTAGCAGTCGTTCATTTGGCATTTGATGTCAAATATAACAACAATGACACTGCCTCCTGAAGCATGTCATCGAATAGTCCATTGGACGCGTCGATGCGATCTCACTGCGCTGTGCCTGACTAGCAAGTCGCTTCAGAAATCTGCAGAGATCAGGCTATACGAGGTTATCATGTCCGGTGATATCAATGTCATTTTTCGAGCGTGCGAGAGCATCGTATCGCAGGAGCGCCTGGGCCCATACGTCCGCTCCTTCTATCTCTACCTGAATGCAAGGCGCACTCAAACAGAGCTGCCCACTCGCTTCTGGAATATGGTACAGAAAGCACTTTGGAAAATGCGTTGTCTGGACGTGCTTTACATTGATGATCCAGCCCGTGCTAATTCTTGGATTTTGAATGACATCCCAAAAATTCCGTTTCAGCTCCGAGAAGCAAACTTTCGCCTCCCGTGGAATCGACACGTCATAAAGTTCCTGGAGAGCCAGAACAAGCTTAGGCAGTTCCATATTTCGGGCGGCATCGATGAAGATGCTCCACAATTTGAAGATGGTAGCTTGCCTGACCTGTGCACCTTCGATGGACACCTCGCTTCAGCCATGCATTTACTTTCTCTTCCTTGCTGCCTTCGCCATCTTCGCATACCTTTGGATAGAAGCACTAACAAGCAGCTTTTGGATTTTATTCCCAAACTCTCTACCCTCTCGCGAACTCTCCGTTCACTGAATATCATTCATATTCCCGAGGAATTGTCGGTGGAAGCGATCAAGCTCATTTCGTTTGTGTGCCCTGACCTTCATTATGTTGGAATTATCCCATTACCAATGACTTTTCCCCACGTAAGTTGAGTTCTTTACCTCTTTTATATAGCTTATCTTTATATCATTACCTCAAGCGCAGCATGATTCATGACGCTCTTTTGGCTATGCATAACCTACGAGATCTCGAAATCGATGTATCGCGATGGTCGCCTCTACCCAATACAGGTTCACTGCAACGCATGCTTGCAACTGAACTCCACACATACTGCCCTTCTATAGAGCACATCGTTCTCCGCACAGGAAGCAACCGAACATTGTGGTATTTCGACGGAAATGAGTGGAATATTCGTTCAGAAAACGGGCAACATCTGCTCGTCGATGGATTATGGAAGAATAGATGATGTACGGCAGCATGCTTGCAGTTAAAAATCTACTTACGTGACGAAATAATGTAATCACCAAGTGAGTTCATCGCCTTGGTGGTGCTTACATGCTTACATGCATGTTTACATGACCCAGCCACGCTGATACACACCCGGCGGATGTATTATAGAAATGCTTGCGAAATACACGCTATGCTTATGTATTCAACCTGATTTGGTAGGGAGTTGTCACCACCGAGTCAGAACGTTCTTCATAGGATGCGGCATTTCCAGGGCGCCTGAATCGAATTGACTACGAGTACGCATGAAACAACGTGGCCCAGGCCTAAATCTGTTCAAACCGAGTTAGCTTTTGCTGCTTACGTCTAGCCCCTCATTCCGCCCCTTGATCGCCTTTGCACGGGGAATTCATAATATTGACAAGATTCCCGTTTCATGGTCTAGTCAACCTGCATCATGGCTCGGTAATATCCGTGCCAACGCTAAGCTACTGTGGCAATACCGGCGTTCACCAGAATGATATAAACCTTGACTGGCAACAAATTTTATCCAAGCAAAAGTGACTTCTTATGCAGTACCAGCGTACCAACTCTAATTCATCGATGGCATACTCGGATAGGTCAATCTCATCGAATTCCTCTGTATCATCTCCTCCTCCTCAGCTTGTTGCATTACCGTCCATGACCCACTCTCTGGCGGCCCTGCCAACTATGTCTGCGGTACCACACGATATGATGCATTATTCGAATTCACATAGTAGAGCGAAGGCAAGTTCTTGAGATGTGCCTTGCGCAGCGCACAGCTGACACAGTTCCAATAGATGGAGTATGCTATGCAAAAACAGAGGCAGCATGCAGCCGCGCATCCCTTTGCAGCGCTCAACGTACGCTAGGCCCACCATTCATCTGTATAGATTCTAACACGTGTTCCCTCAGGCACATGACATGAGACGCACACCCAGTCCATCGTGTGAAGATGGGCACATTACTGTCCGAAGACAAACCAATAGCAGACGTTAGACAGCGACGTGACGGTGTGGATCATCGTTCTGATGCATTCCACGCCCACGCTGATTATGACTATCTCCCCAGACACGCGGCCGCTAAATTGTCAGTTGATTACTGCGCCGCCACTGCAGGACGGAATGGCTATGCATGGGACGATAGGATCTACCATAACTCCGGACGTTAATTTTTGGGACTTATTACTATTCGCGATCGAGGGAGGAACCCGAGATCAAAACAAAAGTACTGCGGGTTCATCAGCACATACCATACTAATGTATCTATACTTTATATACATGGCTCCTTTTTCAGTTTTCTTAGCAAAAGTTGTTCGTTACAGTACGGGTAGGATCGCAAGCCGGTCCAATAGGATGTTATGTAACATTTACTGTTCGTTGTCAACGAGAACACTCTCACTCCACAAGCTGGAAGAGGAGGTGAAGGCGGAGTCAGCAGACAGCGGTGCGCCGGCGACTTTGAAGTGCGATCTCAGCGGTAGAAGATCGTGTCCAGCCTTGGCGAATCATCGACTTGACTCCGCCTGACTGCGGCAGTAGGTCCGAGAACCAATAGAAGAAGAAAGCAGTTTGATGAAGCCTTGGTCATCAAACTGACTCATCTCATTCGATCCTTGCTAATACCGTCGGGCGCTCAAGCGCTCATTGATGTATCATCACTGGAGTGAACGCCACTTCCGATGGACGGAACCAATTTTGGGGTGCACTGTACGACAGCTTTAGTTTGTCACGGTAGTCTCTTGTGGCTGCAACACAAGTCTTACACGTGAAATTGTCCTGGAACGTGTGAGAGGTATGTTTTGTGTGTGTTGCTGGTCTCCCTAGATACGTGACAGTCGATTTACATATTTCAAACTAAAGTGGGCGCAATAAAAAGGAGGCTGGAGTTGCCTATAAAAAAAAGTTATTTGTTGGCTGCAAGAAAACACGTTTCTTCTATCCGGGGCCGAATCTGGGGTATGGAGTTGAGGTGAAATACAGAGGGGCTGGTCTCGTCTTGAACCACATTGGCAGGCGAATAGAATTATAGGCCGGACCTGGACCAATGCAACGCGGTGAAGTAGCTATAAAGGAAACTTAGACCCAGAGAAGTAGAGAGGCGTTTGATTGGACCGGACGGTGTCACCGTGGGATCACTGAAGCTTGATGAATCGATCGATGGCAACTGGGGTAAGCTGATGCGGCTTCTTCTTGACATCGCGCCCATGAAACCAACCTGAAATTTTCAATCGGGCGTCACGGTCAACTAGCATATAGATTGTTTAATACTGTTTACGTCTGTTTGACAAAGACTTCAGAATCAAACAACCATCTCCCAATTGGCAAGTTAGAGTCCAGACTCCTCTATGACCCGATATTATCATTGTCAATACAATCCTCTGCGATGCTCCTTCCTCTCACATTTACCGCTTATGCAAGCATTCGGGATGCTAGCGGCCCTCCAATAAACCTCATTGAGTCTGACTTTAATTCGGAGCAGACAACTTCGTTCGTATCTTGGAGAACCGAGAATGGCCTAGATCATACTGCTGTTGGCAACTCTAAGGGTTCCATTAGCATCTTCAGCTTTCACCCTACCAATACCCCAAATTTGGACTCCCGTGCAAGACTCACTATCACACCACCTTCTGAGCACAATCCACCCACGGTCCCATCTTCATCTCCCTCACACTCTCGTCGGCACTCTCGATCACTCCAGTCACCCTCATCCTTATCATTCAATCAAGTTCTCCTCAATGTATCCGCCAGGGCGCGAGTGGTTTCTGGCGTATCACATGAACAAGTAGAAGCCCCAAAGAATTACGTTGACTTCGAAGACGAACCTGAACGATTGAAGGACATGCTCAGGAGCAACAGCAAGCACAAGCGCACTCTCGCAGACTCAATTCTTCCTAGCTTTGATAGAGGCGTGGTAATAGAGCAATCGCCTGCTCCAAATTCTCCAACGCTTCTGCCCACTTTGTCAAACTCACCTTCAGGTGCTGCTAGCACGAGCAAAAATAAGGATGATCCCAGATCGCTACTTCCAGAGACAAATTTCCCAACGTTCTCTCCGGGATCATCTTCGGCACCACCGTCTCCTCGTCCGCTATCCCCCTTCGACGGCTCGCCGTCTCGCGGAATAGTTAAAGCAAGTATCATCCTTGAACCTTGCGGACATGGGAATGCACCATCTGCCATGCGGTATATAGAGACGATGGACCTATTGGTAGTTCTTCAGGAATCAGGGTGCGTTTTATCGCCACCAACCTACATTACTAGCCCATTGAGCCTCCTAGCAATTTATCTGCCTTTGACATGCGGGACAGTACGTGTGTAGCGACATGTGGATGCATGACCACAAGATCATATCAGGATCAGCTCTGGAAATGGGAGAGTATTCGGATAGTGCCTGCGTGGGATGTACGTCATTTTGTTGTTATTTTGTGCCTCCACCGCAAAATTCATTTGTACGTCGATGTAGCAAACATACCTCATTTTGGCATGTGCATCACCTTCGCAGCCTCCTTTTGCAGAGACCTTTGGCCTTGCAGATGAACTTTGTGATTCCAAAGCGCGTCTGAATTTGTTTGAGCTTTCTGTGGGGGACCCGCATGGTGTGCATCCAACAAGGTTCGAGAGACTTGCCTCCGATGCCTGGCAAGTCGATGGGCAAGCCACTGGAGTGGAGTTGCTTAGGAATGATACCGATGGTAGGACGTATCTTGCTGCTTTAATTTTGTTCATCCTATCTTCCTTCAAGGTTCATTTCAGTTAGTGTATATTGACTCAACGAACTGTCTTGTCACTCGGTGCTTGACTATCATTCCTGCATATGAAATACGAGCTCGCGGACGGTCCTCTTTTTCGGCTCCCTCTCAAGAAGATAACAGATCATTGGTGATCCCGATTCCGTTCAAAGTGTTTGGTAGTAAAAGTGTCGAGAGTGTTGCTCTCCCAGGTCAAAATTCTAACTCTGGAGCAGAGCTGGAGAATGTCTCTCCTGCAATCACGACAAGTAGTCTTGGGCGAGTCCGGCTAGAGGAAGAAAAATCCCATGGTGCTGTGATCTCATCTTCAGAGTGTTTGCTTGAAGGCATTACTGCCCGCTATGCTGGTTTGAATGGGAGGATTGTAGGACTCGTATGGTCGAATACAGGTATCACGGTTAGTCTTTGGATCTCATCAGATGTTTGCACCGAGAATTGAAGGTACCGTCAAGGGATTCATCACAGGAGAGCAAGAGGGATCTTTTACAACTTTCGCTGTTCCTTTCAAGAGCCGAGCTGAGATCCAAGGCGTTCATTTCATGGATGACGAAGCGTTTGTGGTACTTAGTGTCAGTACCACCTGGGATACTATTTAATCAAACGCTAAATTAGAAATGTGCTGCAGGACACAATCTCTTACTACTGCTTGCAGCGTGTTGATGCCGATAATAACATTGCAACTACTTTTTCTGGAACGTCGATAATTACTCAGTATGTGTTTCCTCATATTTCTGCAGTCAAGAGCTCACCGCAAGAATCACAGAGCAATTCAAACGATGACGATTTCTGGTGGCCCTTCATTGATGCTGTCATGGTCAAGGTCGTCCCCTTACGATGTCTTTGCGCTTAGGCAGCCTCGATCAGGGAAGAAGGAGATTTTGGTTCATACTATCAATCCCAGGCAGGACGTATCGATTAAGCAGCGGCGCCGAATATTGTGGAGAGTACAGAGTCCGTCTAGTGGTACCATCCCAGGAGGAGCAGCATTGACATCTGTTCTGCCCGTAGAGCTCAACTTCGTCTTGCTGGGTTACAGTCGGTGCTGATTGCGCTTTCAAAGTCCTGCCTCCTAATTCTGGGTTCCAGGTGATGGCCATATTCGACGAACTTCATTACCGTGCCTTTTGCGCCGAAGGTACCATGCACAATCTGTGCCTCTCTCCGCCATTTCTTCCATATCTGGTAGTGATGTGCTATTTGACAAAGTATCAGACATGAGCTTGCCCTCATCTATATTGAACATGCATCTTGTCCGAAATGACCGCACGGGAGAACGATATATCTTAGGAGGAACAGATGATGGTGGCATTGCTATCTGGGCACTGGAGTGCGTTCATCACCTGCATGACCGGGCTATGGCTCAATTTTACATCTACCAGATCCCTGAAACTCCAGGCGCGATTTACTCCATTTATCGTACCTCTGATGCGTGTAGCGCAGGTGCTACAATCCAACGAAAATGCAGGGCCTCTGCGGGGATCGTTACTATGCGTCTCAGGCGATGGAACCATTGCTGTCGTATCGATAGAAGGTTTCGAAATGTAGGCTTCAATTGACCAGATACTAGTTCTGTGACCTCACGAAATCGATCTAGGCTTTACCTCATTCCTGGGGCATCCTCTCCGATAGCCCACATCTATGCTGGTGGGGATGATAACAATCGTGCAGTGTTGATCTACGCAGATGGGAGTGCGCGTGTATGGGACGTTGAGTCGGGTGAATTTCTCCGTGCAACGACTGAAGAAAAAGCCAAAGAACTCGTCGATGCTGGTGGCTGGATCAACATGTAAGTCACGCCTTGTCAGCTCAGTATAGACCCTGATGATGTCTCAAGCTCCCTCGACAAGTCGGAGCTGACCTCAATCTCCGTTTCGACGCTTAGTGGATCTGCTGGCCCTGTTTCATGTACGTGTTTCATTCAATCAGCGTTACTTTAGTAATGTGGCAGTGTTAACGATCTTTACCCCTCAAGTGTGCACCCTGTTACTGAGTCTAGATCGCTTTCTAAAATACACCTCCGTGAACGTTAAATCTTTGGGACTTGCGACGTCGTCGTCATCTGCCCCTTCAAACGCTACACTTTCGCAGCTTCGTGCTGTATTGTCTGTGTTGTTGACACCTGGACTCAGTCCCGACATAGACGAAATCTGCGAAAATAGGCTTGGTACCAGCCCATCGCTGAGCACGGTAGGGTTTGCATCGTATGTCAATCATCATTCTGCGTCTGCATAGAATCATCTAATTCATGCATTATATCTAGTGCGCTTGCCACCACTATTTACCACCATGATCACCCTATTCACGTTTGGTCGATGTCAGCAAAAGTTTCTGCCGATCGCGTCCTCGCGATCGTCTCGGTCTTGAAGACTTTGTCACTTGCCGAAGGTTTGTGTGTTTCGTTGATGCTGCTAAATCTGCCTCTGAATCAGCTTGTCTAGAGCTTTCGCATGACTGCCAGACAGTAATAACATTCTACTCTACTTCCCTAGCCCACGTAGTAGGTGCGTCGTACCAAGCTCCGGACGTCGCATATTTGGCTACGCAGTGGTTCAACTCATCCAGTGGGTCATCTACTACTGTCTTAAAGAACTTCGAATAAAGCGTTTTGATCTTGCAGACGACGTCCGGCAAGCCGCAAAGACTCTTTTTGATGCAGGGATTGTGCGTCTTTCGGATGAAGAGAGCGGTGCCCTTGTTGATGCATGGCAACATCATCGTAAGTTGGCGCACATCTACATCATTTAGGAATCATTTGACGTCCATGTAGTGCCATGCTTGCAACCTTCCATCGAGAAGGAATCTGCGAGATCATCGCTCGCTTTATTCATCTGCGGATACATGGCAGCTGAGAAATACAGTCTATTATCCACCAGGTAACAATGGCTCCTCTTCGTGGTAGCCAATCTTAATGACTTCCCAGTTCACTCATCGACATCTCCAAGTCCATAGCGTTGTATTTGCATGACGAATCATCTGCGTACCGTGGTTTAGCCATCGACTTGTGTGCACGCGGATTTCAGATATGGCAGCATTACATCGATGCTATGGCGATGCTCCGTGCATTGTACACCCTCGCTACAAACGCACGCAAGGAAAACATCCCGGCTCAGAACATCGGGCCCCAAGCAAGATTGGCAGTCTTGCAAATCGCATCAAGTAACACGCCTTTGTTCATGACCACGCTTACACTAGACATCCTCAATCCAAAGACGCTGGACCAACGGAAAGCAGTCATGCAACTGGTAGCGTTCATGATCAGGAAGGTGCGTGTTGGGACTGCATGATGGTTCGTAGGGTTTCTGATGTTCGGTGGTTTATCAGAGACCCCTGATTCTGTACCCAAATCTCCCCAGGTTGATGGAAGCTGTGGTCAAATCGCTAGATCCCAATTCCACAGCGAGCCGGGACGCCGTGCTTGATAGTGCAACCGAGATCATCGGCCATGTGGTTAAGACGTGAGCCAAATGTTCCATAGGCTTCTGTCATATCGTGACCCCTATAATTCGACCAGGTTCCCCACAGTCGACTTCCACATGGCGACTCAACGTCTCGCCGTCGGAACCAGTGAAGGCGCTTTCATCATGTATGATCTAAAGACAGCAACACAGCTATATGTTCTCGAAGGACATAAACGGCGACCGGCGGCATGCACGTTTTCACCTGACGGACGCCGCCTCGTGACTGTGTCCCTTGAAGAAGGCGTTGTGCTTGTCTGGAAAGTTGGCTCAAGCTTCACGAGTTTCTTCAACCCTGGAGCTCCACCCAGGCAAGGTCACGGTGGATCTTTGCCGTTCAAAACACTTAATTTTAATGTTGGAGACGAAGGCATGTCACGGCGTGTTCGTTTTCTTTCTTTGCTCACGCAATCTTTCTAGCTAACATGACCGTCACGGGCACGTTGGAGTGGGTCAAGTTTGAATGGCCGGCCGAACGCACTGTCCGTCTTCACATACGAGAAAGTGTCCTAACGTTCAGTACTTGAGCCACGGAATGTCTATGTCACATTGCAAATCAAGACATCGTTGTAACGTTATCGATTGTTCGTGAAAGTTCTAACTATCAAGCCGTCAGGTCGCATGCGTCAGGCCTGATCGCACACCAATAAGGCTGGAGTGCGATGGGTCTGAGCCCGCGCTGTACCATCCTAAAGCGGAGGTCCTGGATTGTTCATGTGCAATCAGTCATCTGAGTAATGAACTAGAAGCAGTACTGACCTGCAAGCGAGGTAGTGCCTCTGTGACGTTCAACGGGGCGCCTGTAGGCTGTTGAGCGCTCCAGAAAATCTCTGCTGAAGATGCAGCACGGGGCCACACGATAGGGTCGAGATTATCGGGACTTGACTGCTCACTCCACAAACATTGCTCGCCTGCGAATTAGAAAGTGTCATTTGGCAAAATCTCGAGACTTTAGCAAGCGTGTTTACCTCCGAGGACGAGTTCGTACTGTGCCTCCGTTAAGTTTGCCAAGGGATCGAAGGTGTATGACTAAAATGTTATGAGATGTACGGTCATTGGAAACAGTCATGAGGCGGTACCTCAGACCAGGTCTTGAAGGGGTCGCACCAGCTATTTCTATTCTCCCAAGACGTGTCAGTTCAGATTAAACAATCGATATGATGGGAACGAACCCAGTTGGGTCACCTCCCAGCCATGCACCGGCACCACAATCCTATGATGATACGATAAGGATGTTTTGACTATGGGAAGAATGCAGGGACTAACCAAGTAGAAGTAATTAGATGGTGCTTGGACGATCCTGAAGCCTTTTTCTGCTACCGCTAAAGCATCCTCAGAAGAAATCCAGACCCTGTCGGGTACAGTTGAATCAGCGGAACCCGATCATACTATCAATATGCTCACATTACAATAGTCTCATTGGAGAGTGTAATGTTCCAGTCGAGGACCATCTCTGAGTGGCCGGCTTCATCGAGTGCTATTATTCGAAAGGAGAAATGGACGGACCTTCCCACACAACCGGTGTCTTTCCCTCGGCGATAAGTGCGCCATGTGTCGCCAGCGTAAACGTGTTCAGAGCATCGTTCAACGTCGTGTTCGGTACTATTGAGCTGTAGCTGTGTAGGATAGTCGTTGGTGTAACATGGCGTATTCAGTTCATCACCCCCCGTGCTGAAGTAGGACGAAGACACGGTACTTGCGATATCGGCAAGCAATGACGCAGTGAAGTTCACAACCTCGGGGAGTGCGAAACGAAGCTGGCCGGCGGGGGGCTCGTTGGCATATGTGGCCCATGGAGTTTCATCAAAGCATGCAACGTAGTCGGGGTAAGTGGCCGCAATTATGGAAGTGTGGCCGGGTGTGTCGACTTCCTGGTGAAACAATGAGCCCATTTTGCGAAGTTGACTAATAAATACCGACCAGCAGAACATCGATACCTCTCTGCGAAATAATCATAAGCAGCCAAAAAGGATCGATGGAGAGAAAAACATACTGCACCAGCATACTGAATGATATACTGGACATCGCTAGGGGTGTAAACTTCTTGCGGAGAGTATGCACCGTTGATAGCAAGCTCGGGATACTGCGCAACTTCAAGCGGGAAGCTCTGACTGTCTGTGATATGCCAGTGGAAGGTGTTGATCTGTCTAGGTTGTAAGCGATCATGAGATGACAAATAAGGAAAACACTCGCCTTGACCCAGCTCATTGCATCCAAAGTTCGCAGAATGTCACTCACGGGGTAAAAGTTCCTTGCGGTGTCCAACGCGAATCCTCGGAAAGGCTACATGCGTGGGTTTCAAGTAACTGACATCAAAAATAGCTGCTCACATATGCAGGAGTGTCCGTAATAGCAATTGGGGCAAGTAAAGTGTAGGTTACACCACTGTAGTAGTAGAAAAGCTGATTGAAGGTTGTGAGCCCTCTGTACAGACCCAACGTCGAGTTCGCCACCAAAGTAGCAGCCGAACCGTCTGCTGGGATTGTCAATGTGTACTCCTCGCTACGAGTGCCCAATGGCTTCACAGCTTCAGAAGCAATAGGTTCTGCAGTAGCCCCGCTCATGAGAGACAGGGTCAACGTCGAAAGCGTGTTCGCGCCAACAAGAGCGGTAGTATCATTTGCGCCACGGCCGACGACAAGACGTCCAAGTTTATCATTCGCAAGATAGAATTGCGCTTGGGAAACTGCCTCGTACAAATCCAGTGGCGCGCCTTCGACCTGCACATCAAAGTAGAAGAAAGGGGAGACCGTGAGGGCGGTGGTCCCTGTCTCGAGTTTATTTGGGATGGGCCAGAGAGCCTGGACACCAGAAGGCAGAAGGCATCCCGCGACAAGCGCGAGTATGCCAACGTAACGAGAAGGGGCCATTGATACTGTGTGGGTCAAAGACGCGACTGATTCAACTGCGGCTGCTTATAAAAGTTCAGCTAGAGTATCATGTGGATGTGCAGCACGCGGGTACATGGCGCCAAAAATATTCAAAATCGCCGCTGTGAGAGCGGCGCCGAGTGGGGAGTTACGTGATAACCGGAAAATCAGTACCTGCTTTGCATTAGCTGGCAGTGTCAACCATTGATCATGGACTTGTGATAGGACACTGAAGGACAGACGGTCAATGAACCCGGCAGACTTTACTGAAGCAGGATAAAGTTTCCATATTTCAAGTTGCTGGCAGCGAATAGGCTTTGCTTTGCAACGCTGAACTGGGGCGAAGGCTATGGACTGAGATCTCTGCGAGAATGGATGGTGTGCTACTACAAGAGCTGTGCGTGTGAGTGCATGCTGTCAGACTAAGACCTCGGATAGCCCAGGGCTGCCTCGGGACCCCTGGCTCGACGTCGCGATCTCGAGTTAAACGCGTCTGTGGCGGGTCCCCACATAGATCACGTGAGTCTGTAACAGTGAGAAAATCATTCCGGAATCCGCAAGTCTCCAGTTCTCAGGGAAGGACTGATGGAGGCAATGTCGTATGCGTCAATGCGGTAAGGAACAGATACGTGGAACTTATCGAGCAATGCACATATATAAACTGCAAACCTCATGGCTAAACAGAGCGATATCGATGATGACAGCTCAGTGAAAACAAGTACTATTTACGAAAATAACACTCCCAAACAGTTTGCGCTCCCACAATGACACTCCGCATAGACCGCATCTTTATTCTTTTTCGCATTTTTGGCCTTGGATATCTTAAAAAAGGCTGTCAGTTTGATTGGATTGGATGCTTGTAATAAGCGGCATACCGTGTCTTTATCTATGCTGCCAATGTAGGAAAAGGACAGCTCCTCGGATGGTTCAACATCTCGTTTGGTAAAGATCGTCAACAACGGCTTCTCCATATTGGCTTCGTTGATGTAGCACGGAACAATTTCACAATTCGGGTCGCAACTGTGGTTCTGCAAAAATCACGTCATCTCTGTGCAAAGACTTGAGATAAAGTAAACGTACAAGAAAACGAGTGAACTAAAGAAAAATCGTCAGAGAATGAAGGAACAATCATTAGGGAGACGAACATTTCCGGCGTGATAAGCATCCACAGAGTATGTTGCTACTGCACCCATATGATGGAAATCGATATCGAAGAGGTAAGTTCGTCCGAACTTGTTGTATAGCCTAGCCAACAGTCAAGACCCCATGTCTCGCGCATATACTGGGCACTCACACTCCACGGCGGTCAGACTCCTCCACGGTCAACAACTCGCCAGCATAGATGCCGACAAAGGATCCTCTAGGAATTCTCTTCGGCCCATTAAAGACACCTGGAAACAGTCAATAACATTGCACAGGGGAGCGACAATACCAAAAGCGCACCCCATCCTTTGAATTCTGTCCTTTTAATGTTTATGGCATATCTTCTGCCCCTCTGAACAACCTGAAAAATAAATAGTCAACACCATCAAGAACGCACAAACAAAGGGTCCTTACTCGGTTGGGACAATCCTCATCGCACCCACAAAAATCATTACACTCAAAGATCGGGATCTCGAAAAACTGCAGAGACCCCTTGTTGTCATACAAGAACGGTACACCGTTCCAGGTACTAGGTATAGTACCGTTGGCAATATACCGCTTGAGATGTTGGCGCTGCCGCTTCGCGCACCCGCACGTCTTCGACTTGGGATCGCATCGCCCAACACAGCCACAGCTCTTCAGATTCTTGATATCTGGCGCCGGAACGCCTTCGCCATACCACATCTGGTTTGTGTATACGAATTCCCAAGGCGGCGCACCTTCATCAGTCACCTCGTTAATGATTGAGATGGGAGGGGCTCCGAGCTCGTCATCCATTGCTTCATCAATCATAGCCTCGAAGAGCACGGTTGCCTGATGCGAATGTCTATACGACTGAGGGAGGGCATTGACGCGGTCCTGGAGCTCATGCGGAAGGTCCTTTGCGAGACGGTACTTGGGAGGCAGCAGCCGCTGTGCTTGCGAATACGAATTCCACGTCACAACAGGATATCCATCCATATAATAGTCGACACCCTCTTCGAGCTGCTTCATGGATGCAACATCACCCCCATCTACCACACCGGAGACGCCCAAGGAACCGGCAGACACAGGAGACCGAGAAAGCTGTCTTGAAGAAGTGTGCGAAGATACCGTCCGGCTGCTGTTGATGGAGATAGGATGATCCGCATCTCCTGCCTGCGATTAGAGGATAAGAAAAGGTCACATAGGCACCCTGCCATGAACAAGTAACGCACCTCTCCATCTGAAACTTCCAATTGCATGAGCACTGAAAGGCACTCTTCGTCGCTGTCTCCTGACACAGCCATCGATACAGGTCTTGAACTTCCCTTCGTGCGTTTTCTCGCCAGTTCCCGTGTTCCTCTCATACCTACACCACTGTCGTCTTCGTCAACATCGAGGCGCTCATGAACAGTGACCGAAACTTCCTCCACACTCTCAGCCGAAACGTCATCTACCAACATCCCCAGTGACTCTGACTCCTCGTGTTCCATCAATTCGGCAGACACCGGAATGCCTTCAAGGTACCCGTCTTTACATACACTCTCTAGAGGCGAATCGGCTACCTAATGAAGCATGTTAGATTGTCAATTCGCCTGGTGAATTCCATGAGGGCTATACGTACCTGATTGACATTGATATCTACTTCAGGGGATCGACCGTGTTCATGTAGATCCAGCGATCCAATACTCTCAGTGACACCCTGCAAGCCTTCCGATGGAATCATGTCGTCCATTACGTCATCTAGGGGGACGTCCTGATGCACAGAGGTGTTCTGGACTTCCATCTCTCCTTCTGCAGGGATAGCAAACGGTGAGGTGGTTGGTGTAACTCTGGGACCCTCAAGTGGTTCAGGCAGTACATGAGACTGATCATCAAGTTGCGCGGCAACATCACCAGCGCCAACACCTAGCGGACTGGATGGCCGAACAACACGCCTGGTTCTCCGACCCTCAGAAGGAGACCATGAGGGGCTGCGCATAGATATCTCTGCCGTAGGTGTAATAATGCGCCTAAAAATATCCGCATTACATGAGGTTCTCTTCACAGTAGGCGTCGTCGTCTTCTTCGTCGACGCGGACTCGGACTGGGACCAGTTCGGGATGGGTGAGATGAACATTTCAAGGCTTGCCATGCCTATTGAGCGGGTCTTCTTGCGCAAGCTAGATTTCGAGCTGCTTTGGTTGCTGGATGATGTTGAATTGGATGTAATGGAATGAGGTGGAGATATGTTGGGAACGAGGGCGCTGGCGGCGGATGCTACAGACGAGGTGCTTGGATTGCTAGGCTGCTGAAGATATGCTGAGTTTACTGCTCAACGGACGCTGACGCATTAAATCGCGAATTTCTTGTATACTCGGCGTACGGGTATCAACAGTTGGCGCCGGCTGACTGGCGGGGACTGGGGCAGGTAATGAAGATGCATTTTGAGATATAGTATGTAGAGATTGGACAGATTCCTGAGGCTTGGACACACCGGGCGCCTGACTACCATCACGTGAAAGGAGACACATCGTCCGTGAGGTCGATGCATTCGCCAGAAGGATGTAACCTGAGGTGCTCCTCTCGTCTCTTGTTAATCAACTCGGTAAGCGAGAGTCCTTTAACGGGCCGCTGCACACGTGGTGGGACAGGGAGGGGGGTGGATGAGGGAGGGGCGGTTGCTGGTGGTGGTGGTATGTCCGATATGGAGATAGGGACCTTCACGGTAGTAGATTCACGGGTGGAAGGCTGGTCACTGCGAGTCGGAAGAAGCCCTGATATCGTCGCGAGAATCTATTTGTGGAAGCTGTTGGAGTGCCTCTACCGTAGCTTCATCCACAATGGGTGAAAAAACACTCCTATCACCATCACAAGATAGCAAGTGATCAGGAGAGGGTGATGAGGCTGGGTTGTTTCTCGCTGTGGGTGCGTCAGAAGCCTGCTCGTCCATCAAGGGCTCGGGCAGGATCTTTGCTATGGACGACCCAACAATAGCTGGTGAAGCAGCTGGGGCGGCGAAAAAAGTAGTTGCGTTCGGTTCATTGGATACCTGTGCAACTAAGGGTAAAGGTTTTTTCAGCGCCTTTGCATTGAAAGCAAGCGCCCTAGCGAAGAACGGGTTGGTGGTGGGAGGTGTATAATTCCACGTGATCGAGGGTTTAGCTATGGTGGGCACGGTAGCATGCGTCTGGGAGGGAACTTCTGAGGCAACCATTGGAATTTTGGAGCTTGGTGAAGACTCTAAATGAGAAATAGTGTCGACTACAATACGTTGAGAGGTTATCTCGACCGGAACAGCGTCACTTGAAGAAGTCCCACTTGCTTTCTCTGAGGATGGAAGAGTGGCATGGGTAAGTATGTCAGGGGCTGGAACATGTGTGTCCTGAGCAGTGTTGCAGTCATCATAGGCAATCAGACTGGTAATTGGGTCAGCGAAATTTGGTTCTGGGGGGTCCAGATTAATGTACGAAAACAATTCTTCCGCTTGACGCTGGAGTTCTGATCTTGCTAGTTCTTCGTCAAAGTTGGACTCGGGTTCCATTAGTTCATAGTACGAATTTTCTGGAACTTGCTGTTCTAAATCGACCACGATTTCATTTTCTGATTCCACGATAATCGAAGGCGCCGAAGGCAACGTAGGACTGGGCTCTAGGATGTGAAGGACAGCAGTCGCTGGCGAAGGAGCGGGAACATTGTCGTCATCACTGTCAGATATGCAAATAACTTCAGCATTAGAAGGAGGTGGAAGTTTCGGGCCTGCTTTGCGGGAAATTGGCGTCTGTGAAGGCCGGGGCTGTCTCGGAGGAGTGTCTGCATCTGAGCTCGAGATAATAATGGGATCGTCAACGCGAGCCCTTCTTCGTCTTGCAGAACCCGAAGAGTCAGTGAGCTCGATGACGCTTGTACTGGGAGGTCGTCGACCGCGCGGAAACCTTCTGACGGAAACTAGGTGGAGACATTAGCGTCGTGTAGTAAAAAAGAAGGTCATGAGTCTGACCTCTTCGCACGCGAGTCGCAGCGGAAGAAACTTCAGAACCGCCTTGACACGCCGCATACTAGTTAATACACCGAAGCATAGATAAGGCGGGTAAACGCACTGCTGGGCTTCTGTACAGCACGAATAAGATCTGAATTAGATACTCTGCGACTTCCAGTGGTCTTGCGAGCAGTTTTGCGAGCTATCTCTGCGCGTTTGAGCCGCGCAGTCTGCTTCTCGAGCATGGTTGATATATGATCACTCAGCGAGGAGCTTGACTGTCCACTTGACGCACGATCCTTGCCTTTCTCAGGACGCACAGGCTGTGCACGCGCAGGCTGGGACAAAAATGAAGGACGGGATGTCTTGGCGATTTTAGGAGGTTGCGTTAGACTACTAGGAGCGGTACCATTCGTTCGTTTACCAGACTGTGATACCTCAGCCCGTTTCTCGTGTTGATTATTATCATTGAAACGCGCAAGCTTCTGAGGCCTCGGAACAGAAACAGGGCTCTCGATAGCCTTCCTCTTTCCTGGGGGTGCGTCAAAGTTATCCTCTTCGTCGTCACCGAGATCACTGGCAGGGTCGGATCGTGGTGTTGGTGCAGGGGAAGTGTTTGGAGGCTCTTGCATCAAATGAGCTGTAGAAATTTTGACGGTTGGAGGACAATTACCTGGAAGGACGGTCCAGCTAGGGCCAGGGCTGAGTCGCGACATCAGCACTACCAAACTCGGTCAAGTATTCCGATCCAGTGCAGAACAAGTCCCGCGCGTATCAATTTCTATGGCGTTTAGCCTTGAAAAAATCGAACAGCGCGATTTCAAAATCTACAACAAACACAACTGAGCGGTCCAAATCGTCGAGCTTGAAGGAGACTATAAACAACATTTTCGAAGCGACTCATTGCCTGGACCTACATTATGTAAGTAGCCCATGTTACATGTAAACTGCTCATCCAAATTTAGATATCCTCGATGTTGAAACGTACCATATCGACAGTACTGATGGCATGACCTTCCATCGCATTCACTTTTCGCTATAACAAACATGCCGAACTTACAGTCAACGGGTACTGATGCCAATCACACCGTGAATCCGCAGTCGCCAGATGATGCCAACAGTAGCTTTGACGCCCTGATAGATCTTCTCGCATCGGACGATATACACGATATTGCGGTAGCAGGTTCACATCCCATCCCGACATCCTGCTACGGGACGCATCCGGCAAACTAGCTTTTGATAAGATCCGTCTCATGTTCGCAACCAAAAATTTAGGCCCTGAAAGAATCGATAACAAATCGCCCGATATCCGTCCAGATACCTACCATTTGGATGCGCAGCATGCGAACGATATACAGGATGTACGTGCGTCCATTGCCACAGGATTTTTCCGTTGATGGTCCAATCAGGTTCTTAGAAGACGCGGTCTCTCTAGGTCCGAATCGCCGTCAAGCCAATCGTCTGATCGGAGACGGCAGGGATCACGCTCAACCCCAGCCGGCTCTTCCGCGCGATTGGATCAAAATATGCGGAGTGCGAGTACACAGACACAGCACTCCACATTTTCAGTTCACACATTCCCGGACGAGTTGGTTCGCATCAGATCTGACGAACAAAAAATTTCATCGCGGGCGTCGGACGAGCCAGATGCGCAAATAAATTATCTGCCCTGTCATGATATACCGCTCCCTCCTCAGGTACGTTATAAACGAATTTAATGTGGACCCCCAATTCATGACAGTAGGGTAGTTCCACAGAGAAAGTCGTGACGAAGCCCACAGACCTAGCTACACCGCTCACGGAATCTTCATCTCTACGTGCGGTACGTTGATCACAGTCCATTTTCACGCCTGATCCTGATTCTCCCCATTTGCGGTCTGGTAGGGTACGGTCAAAGATTTCACTGCACCACTTGACTTCGAAAAACTGAACAGCGCGCTCTCACACTACTACCTCTGAGATCCACTCCCTCCGCGATCACTATGAAAAACTCCGCACCTTGATCACGGAACGGCATCTTCCGCTAAATGGCTTACAAACAGCAAAACCTTCTGCTCAACCCCCTCCGGCAATCACGCCATCCCCTTATATCAGGCACAGGGTTCTGATCTACAACGAGGTCTTGAACCCGCTCACTTGGAGGAAATCTCAAACCTTTCCGAATATGAGGCAAAGGATATTCTCGCTGTGAGTTTCTAGCTTAGGTTTATTGTAAAGCTCACGCTGACACCGCAATCTCATCAGGGACTGATCGCATCACTACGACTGTCCCCTCGTTCTGTCAGAAACCTAGATTTCTAAGTTCTTGGACGAAGGTCCGATTTGTCCATACCCCAGTAGTGTTGACGACGTCAGGTCTTCTATGGAAGTTCCTGGCGCGCATCGATGAGCTAGTGTGGAGACGCTCTGTGCCTATGAATATCGATGGTCCGGATCCACTGTATTCGAGAGCGAATACGGATGCCCTCGTTCAGCGGTTGGTTTTGTGGGAAAAAACTATCAGAGCCCATCACAAAGGCTAGAGCTGCGGCCCGTAATGGCGTTTTCGCAAAAGGACCGTATCTTACTCGGTTGCGTAACAGCTGCTTCTCTATGCAATTTTTTATTCCGCGAGTCAGGCTTCTCGCACCCCTCCTGCGTTCTGTCAGGCTGGTGCACAGGTTAGTTCTTCTCCCGCGATACATCGTTCCTATTATGAACAAACTTGTCATATTTTTGGAGGGTCCGGATCAGTATATCACTGCTTTTATGTCAGTTTAAAACTCAGTGCAGTCACCCCCTTTTAAGCATATAAAAGTCTACTGAATGCAACTCACTCCCCACATATCGATCATGCCCCCCGTTCGTGCCCCCCTCCTTCGTGTCATGCTCAGCACTCGCCTTGCCGAAAACAATGCGGCGCCATCTAGTAGTGACCTGCAGTGGCAGCCTGTTATCGGTATTGTAGCCGGTTTCCGTAAGTCACCGCTGTACTGCCGAGCATCAAAGCTGACTCTGTTAATGTGCCGATCCCATAGTGTCTATTCTCCTTGCCGTCTACCTCATTCATTTATTGTTCCAAATCCACGTTTCAGGCATCTCCCCTCGTATCCTCGGTGAATTGTCATGTTCCTTATTGATGTGTGTGTACGAACTAATACACCCATATATCTTTTGGCGCCAGGATACGTACTCCCTTCAGGCGCTCGTCGTGTCTCGCATGCCGTCACTGACAGCGGAACGTCAGGCTCGTGGCCCGACCTTTCGAGTCCAGCTCCACCTCCCCCCTACACAGCAAGATCAATCGCAGCTCCCCTCTACACAATTACAGTACCACCTCGGTCACTGCAAGGTGGGCCAGTCCGCCATCCGCCGAATTACCTTCCTCCGCCACGCCGCCATGTAGATGAACCAATTTCAAGAGGTTGACAATGTGCTCGAACAAGCTGCTGCGGACGCACAGCATGTCCGATTTGTGACGAGTTTTGAGATGCTGTGGATCCGTCCGTTATGCTGAGCGAGCTCTCGCTCCCTCTTTCCCGAGATTGATGATTCTCACTGGGTAATACTCACCCTCGCCACAAGACCAAGACCATCATTATTAATGATCATGTATGGACACGGATTTCGTCGGATCCTACTAGATGGCCGGTAGATGCCTTGACACGTTTCATTCGTTTGCTTCGCAAGCGTTGTTTGATGGCACATGCGCGTCGGGCTTTTTCTTCCGCGCTCCACAGGCTTCTTCTCGCCGCATACTCCAATTTCTTGCACTTACATACTTGGCCGGCTGACGCCGCATCAGAAATGTCACGTATCTGATTCTTTTTGTTTCTATACACTATTATGGGACTGCTCTTGATCATTATGTTCCGCTGTACCCTAGCCGAACGAGGCGTCTCTTTGTCGGACGATTCGGGAATTTCTTTCAATATGATCAATGTCAGTATATATTGTGGGAGACGGTTCCGACAACCCTGTGCATTATGACAGAGCGCGTTGTTCTTAGGATTCGACATGTAATACGGAACATTGTCAATTTCGCGATCACAAATAAGATAAATCTCGTATAATTCTCACAGGAGTGATAATAATGCGACGTGAGTGCGGCCTATTCGTAAGAATGGGTTCTTGCTGTTGTCGAATAAGCTTACTAGTACATATATAGACACTATCTTCGCCTGAGCCCCATTCACCGGTGCACCCCCCATTTACTCGGTTAAATACGCCATGGAACTTCCCTCGACATGTGCAAAGGATACGGAGGCATCGGTTAGCCCCGAACTGTTGCTCCTGGAGAATATTCTCAAAACATCAGCTTGACATTTGAACAGGACTCGTCATCGGGTCACCGGTTAATAGTAGTGGCCGCTGTTGCCGGATGGTGATTCAGGGTCACATCGAGGCAGCAGTCCCTAGCGTCGCACCTCGAGGATCTAAGCCAAGTGCCAAATGAGGTGCACGTCTAGTTATATTCGAAAAATAAATCAGAGCTCACGATCGCATGCACGGATTACACATTGCTAGGTACTAGTATTACCAGAGAGTTGATAATGCTAATAAACTAGGCATACTAGTATCCAGCCGGCGCAAGACAAAGATATTCTGTTGAGCCGGTCGAAACAAGTTCTGCGATACTGTCTAAATGTTAGCTTCAGGGTGAATCTTATTGTGATCCAAAGGGAGTCTTTTCACCGCGAAAAATCAAGTCCAAGGCCGATCTTGGATGTAGTAGTAGTTTCTAGTGACAATCTGTGGCGTCGTGCTGTGTCCGCTTCCATTCTTGATAAGAACAGTGCAGTGCCAGTAAGGTATCTAGTGGATAAGCCTGAACAGGTACACCGCACGATGAGTGTGATGTGATAAATGAAAGAAAAGACGTGTTTCTGGCTAATGGTCCCAGGGTAACTCTTTGTGCTTTTGATAAATTTTAACGTACCTCAAATGGTATAAGTAATGCCGCATTGTCATCGATTTCACCGCAATTCATGTATATTGCAAGATGATTGCCAGTGACCGGTGTTTAATTGTGAATAACCTCCACGTCATTTGTGTATGACGAACTGCACTAAAAACGGGCAAAACATGCCGATAATAACTTATATCCCATGCACTAAGGTGGACGACATTTACATTCAACCACTGCGCTCATGTGATCACGTGACCATTCCCACGGCCAAATCTCAAAGCTCGAAAATTCAAAACCACCATTTGCTTTGAAAATCACTTTGGCAACATCAAAAAAAATGATTTTTTCAATCAAATTAACTTTTGTTCACTCTGATAATACAACCACACTTGTAAATAACCATGCAGCAAATAGTACTTAGAGTCTGGTTACAACTGATTACCGGCAAGTAATGCTAGCTTGAGGCCAGGTGTTATGTAAGCTACCATATATGGTTATATTAAATCACGTGATGTGGCCAAATCCACAGGGTAAATATTTTATTTTCCGCCTATAGTGTCGGAAATGTATTTGGGGAAGAAATAAAACAAATACAAAAAGCAGAAATAAGTCTCTCAAATCTTGGTTTTGAGAAAATTTAAGACCATCGGTCTATGCAGGGAGGTCTTAGGAACAGATTAGTGCAAAAAGAATGTCCGGAAAGTGGATGAGGAAAGTGCAATAAGTTGTGCAAAACGGTGTCTCAAAATGTGGTTGGATTTGGATGTCTTCTACCTTAGTAGAAACTGATCTAAATCGCGAGTGTACTCTGACGGAAACAGAACAAGACATGAAACTAGGTTGTATGTACCACTGGAGCAAACGGTAATTAAGACCCAACCAAGAATCAAGTCTACACAGTCTCGCCAATCAAAGCCACTGACTTTATTTTTGTTCCGCTTCAAATCAGCGCGAGGTACATCAATCTGATCACACGATCCCGGATAGGGGTGTAGAACGGCTGACGGAAACGGCGGACCGGGGGAGAATATCCAATGAGGCGGTTCACGAAGAAGGGCCGGGAGACACAAGCATCCCCTTCTCAGCAATGATTTCCTATATGTGAAGGCACTATGACCCACAACAAGACGAATAAGTAGACGAGTAAGCAGGAACAAAAAACCCGCAATCAACGTATCATAGGATTCCATATCTGCATTTCGATCACCATAGGCGTTATCGGTCGCTACTTCTCCTGAAAGTGCACCGCAATGTCAGCACCAAACATATTTCTTTCGGAGTAGAGCACTGTGTCTATCCGATCATCAGAGGCGCTCGGACTATAATAGCTTGAGGCCCCACCGTAGGAAATAATATAGACCATGACAGCCAAGTTAACCGCCGTCAGACACACGAACATCTTGTAGCACCCCCAACCAATTTTCGAGCACCGAATGGCCAGCTTCTGGAACACAACGGTTGACACAAATGTTCTGGCCATCAAGAATGCTGGTCAAAATATGTCCACAGTACTGCAGAGACTTACAACGCCATCCCACGAGAAGCCCCGTGAGGAAAGCGAAGGAGCCTCCGTTCCCAAAATCGGAATAATTTCCGACCATCACACCTGCTGCCCGGCCGGATGTGAAGCGCACCACAAAAAGCATGGCGTCAATCACGGACCCTGCAAGGAGGACATTAGCTAGAATTGAGAACACGGAAGCGGTTGCCATCGTTATTTATCTGCTGTATCAGTTGCACATCCAACCATCAGCAAATGCACCGCAAACACCACTTGCAGAGAAAATTTCATGGATTGTGCCTATCATCGCATTTGAATATGCTGTATATTTTCTGCCATGTTGAAGTAGGTCAGGAATCCTGGCTGTCCGAATGCATATGTCAGAACGCTGTTCGCATTACCATGTCTTATTTATGTCAGACTGCCCAGCGTCAGGATAAGGATCCTTATGTTATATCACGCGTAGTGAGCAGTCGTGGTGGATGTAGGCAGTGACTAGGGCGTCTAGGATGCATCTATTCCAAAGCATATTATTTGTCCATGATGGTCAGCTAGATAGGCGAACCTAGTATTTTTGGATAGAACTTGTCATCTCATGGTGCACGGTGAGTCGATATAGTCTGACGTGTTGCTAGAATATCATTATCAAGTAAAACTTTCTTCCTTGCCAAGGAGAAACACTCACAAAATCGATATTAATAATTCACAGTAACCATAAAGGAATCCTGAGTCTTGCCGCAGAGCTCCTGGTTGACCTCAGACAAGCAAGACACTGTAAAATGGTATGTGGTGTTGAAGCCAGGCTAATTGATCCAAACAGTACTGCTGAAATACTAAGGGTAAGCTCCTTTCGAATTCGTGATGTTCCATGCTTTTGTCCTCAGCTAAACAAAGATTTGTAGCGAAACAGCGAGCTCGAGGGTATCTCTGAAATGGCTGGTCTGGGCCAAAGTACCTGGAACATCGGCACGTCCAAGCGGAGTATGAATGTTTCTGTGTCCGTCCCTGTTGCAACGAAGATATCTTGGCAGTTATTACCAGTCAGGGAGCGGGAAAAGAACAGAGTGTTGGTGGGCACGAAAGAAAATGGACAGCGAGAAAGGAGGGCGGGCAGAGTTGAAACGCCGCGAGCATGAACATGCAGCGATGTTAGGCGGAAAAGCGGGCGCGGGATTGATTGGCATCAGCTGACAGTCGTTCGAAACATCGAGCGGAGTTTAGACTCTGCTTAGACAGTCAGAGCGGCGACGTCCGCCGGCGTGTGTTCTGATTCAAACTAACCCTAACCCCATAAAACGTCTGACATGGTAAGCGCGGGGTTCATGACCCTTTGGTTGGCACTTCCCACCTAGCCACCCTTTTCTTCGTTTCCTTCGTTTCCGTTGCTTCGTCTCTTGCCATGGACTACGACAGAAAATCGACGGTATCTTCGTTCTATGGAGGACGCAGAGGCTCATTTGATGCCCTAAATCATTCACAATCTCCCGATTACGCTCCATCTGGTCGTCCACGAGACGATACTTCTTCTTTCTATGCTGATCGACAAACACGGACGAGCCATGATATGTTAACGGGTGGACAATCCGCAGGATACAACGCATCATCTTTTTTTGCCGCTGGACGCCTAGAACCGCTGAAAGGCGGACGTGATGAGGAAGAAGAAGCTCCGGAAGCTCAGACCTGGGATGTTTTTGCAGACTTTAACAACGCCGGCCCAAGATACAGCACCGCTTTCGGCATTGGGCAACATCAAGAAGCAGGGTATGCACGTGAAAGAGCTAACATGTCCTACCAAGCTAACCAATACCCAGCTATCACCAGCTTCCCCCACCTCCGCCTCCGCCTGGTGCCAAGACAGACGGTGATGCCGACAGTGCTCATACTCCGGTCGAGCTGGTTACAGTACCTGCACTCGGTCCAGAATGGCAGCTATCCGAGATGAAAAACATGACTAAATCGGGTCGACGAGAAATTAAGAGTGAGAAGCGGAAAGAGAAGTGGAAAGCCTGGCATCGTGGGGAGACGGGTTTGTGTGGAAAGTGGTTCACCAAAAGGTTCCTTGCCTTCTTCATATTTATATGGGCCGCCATGTAAGTCATTCTTGTCTGCTCGAGCACGAAGATATTGAAAGATTATGTAGCATCGGCTCTATCCTCGCAATCACCATCCCTCGAGTACCTGGTCTGTCGATCAACAACTCCACACCTCTAGTTGCTGCCACTGGGAGTTATAATGCTTCAATTCCAACTCAATTTTCGCGGTACCCAGCCAATTTCTCATTTCCAGCCTACGCAGATATTCAAGTTGATACCACCGCCAATATTATTCCCCTTACCTTCAACTACATCTCCGCACAAGTATGGGATCCGACCACGAATCTGCAAGTCGGCACCGGTTACTTTGGAAAAGACACTCTCCCCGCCAAGGCATATCCCAAGATTCAGATCCCGCTCAACTTCTCGTATGTTGCATCAAATGACACGGATCCGACGTGGAATGAGTGGTATAATGCCTGCAAGAATGCTGGGATTTATGCTAACGGGACAAGGCCAGGTCAGTGGTACAATGTCATGATTGCTTCTGTTTGCTCATCAGAATGACAGGCGTAAATTTCCAGCTCATTCTTACGATGGATATTGCCGGGCTGCCGTCAACGCAGTCCCAATCCACACAGGTGGATGCGGCCCCTTGCCCTATTGAGCTGCCCATCAATGCAGACTGATGGCTATTTACTGGACTCATTTACGTGTCGCCGCTTGTCTACCTGCTTATTCTGGTTCTCCTGTGTCATGGGACGTTGCACTATCTCCGCTATTACATAATCTTGAATATCGGACAAGATGACTATCCGTCGTTATTTTACGGTCTGCGCATTCGCCTTACCACAGTCTGTCTTTATTTTGTCTTTTCATTTTAGTATTCGTGGCGTTACTCACCATCACGATGTGCAAACAGACTGGTATTGGATTATAATTAATGCTGGCATCGATCAATGATTCTGGTTCTATTTACTGATTCTCACTTTGGTTTTCGTGGTGGCTTCAGGTTGCCAGCTTATAAGGCAGGTCCCAGGGTTTACAACTCTGGATGGTTGAGCACAATCGCTTATCGCAATACCGCACTATACGTACGCCTCGCACTCAGATTGACGTCGGTTACTTTCCAGAACTGGAGCAGCAGAAGCTTCGATTCTCGATGACGAGACTTACGCACTTGACCTTCTTCCTGCAATACTCAGTGCCCACGTTGCGCCCGGAGCTTGCTCGTTTCCCTGATCATGTATAAGAGATAAGAAGATGCATGCCGTGGAATTTTTACGCGCGAAACCCATTTTCCGCGTCTCAACCAGATGCAAGCGGCGTATTCGGCCAACGATATCGTAGCGGCAAGGAGTTTGCAGGTCTACACGGTGCGTTCCCTTGTCAACCCGACAGTCGTTGATAATAATGGATAACATATGCACCGCTAGTGCCTATATAGTGCGTATCACTGTCCAAAGTTCTTCCATGTTCTAAACACAGCTCAGCGTCAATGGCTACATTCTGGGTAGGATTGTCCCAATGTATTGCGGTTCCGTTTGTTGTTAAACTCTCTTGCTCAGATCTACGATTATGCTTGTTCGTTTCATCAGGAGGTGATTTACTCGTTCAATTTCATTTTCATATTAACAATCCTCTTATAGTGGACGTTCCTGTTTCGGTCACGCTGGTCCAAGGTGAAAGGCCTTTATCTCGTCGCACGATACGTGCCTTTTCTCCTCTTAGCCGGACATTTATATAGTGCGTTCGGCTCCTAAACTCGTGTCATGAGTTGACCTGTCGTGCTGCAGTGAACTTCATCCCAAATGAGAACTCTGATGTATGTGAACGCGCAGTGGATTTGTTACCTCAATGACGCCGACCGCATGATTTGGCCAGAAATGCCAGTTGTTGAACAATATTTGCTCATGTGCGTGTATCGTGCATACATTCAAATACATCTCCGCTGAGCCATACCTCTCACAGGTTTCAGCTTGATATCAGTCTCTTGTTCTGAATGTATATCTCCCTTCCCGGCAAAAGCCTCACGATCCTGATCACATCCATACAGGCTTTTTTGTCCTCAGGACATATACGCTCTGGAACAACAACAAAATTGTGCTTGCCACCATGATCGCTACCTTCTTTGTGAGCCCCATCTTCATTGTACCTCGAATTTGTGTAAATACATTTATCAGGCTGTTGTCGTATCATCTATAAGCTATGCTTTCGCCACTACTGCTACTGCACCATGTACGCGCTCCTACCTTTGCCTTGGCGTTTTACTACTATTCACATTGCTCTTTCACAGGGACGACCAGCGGGATCCCGGGCATTACAGGCTGCTACCAGAGCTCGTCCGTCGTCCAGCTCTTCATACCATTTCTACTCTTAATTGGGCTTGAATTTGGTACGTTACCTGGGATGGGGTGTCTACATGCGCAGACGCGCGCTAACTGACGCTCTCTAGGTCTCTTGTCCCTCACCCTCATACGCGCTATACAGAGCTGGCGGTCGAGCAATAGCCGTATCTACGCCGTCCTGGTGAAGCATAACATATTCTACTATGCATGCGGTCTGTGTGAGTCAGGACATACACAGGTTTTCATGCCATTATCCTGTGCTCATCAACAATGTTCCTCTTTACAAAAGTTTTCTCGGGGGTAAATGTCCTCACGTTGCTGCTCTTCCATGTGCGTGAACCTTCAAATTTCGCTACCACCGAGTCATTGATCACCAGTACTCATAGTACGGATATCAAGCCATGTTCCAAGAGTGCGCATTTTTATCATGCCATGCGCAGACTTATTAATAGCACCCCTAAACTATATGCAGTTTTCAATTCGTCATTCTTGCGATCCTTGCCACGCGCATGCACCTCCACCTGTGGCATACAGACCGACATGCACATGGCTCTAGCGCCTTCGTGTGCATTCCTATGTCTGACATTTCATCCGCGGGCAGTCCGACGTGACGTTCGGCGTCGATCAAACGTTTATGGAGTGGTATTTGAACTGTACGAGGTTAGCAAAACTGAGCTTAGTCAGATCTGGGATCCGCGCGCTTAAAAAATGCAGTTTCTGTTGTGGGCGGGAGCTGCAATGGACTTCAAGTGGATTTGTTAATAGATATCGAGCTTCCACTGCTTGCAGTGGTAGATAAATGTATTCAGATCAAGATTTTGGGTGTGCTGAAGTCAGAACTTGAAGCACTCCAAACTCGAGCAATCGAGAGGGCGATGAATGTTTACATTTTGACCGGTGACACAGGCTATGATTTTGAAACGTCGGTGTCATTCATTGATCGTTTGACTTCAGAATTTGCTAACCTTCAGTACCCAATCCGATTCTTTACGTACTCACTTCCGGCGGGGTGAGTGCAAATTCCGATGGGACTAGCTCTATTCGATCGACACTTGACAAAGGGAGGTCCAAAGGGGGGAAACCAACTCAGGGCAGTGCAGTGGTTAATTTATATTCGCCAATGATGTTGGTTGCATAACACCGCACACCGTTTCAAGTTTCAATGTCACTGAAAGTGAAACTCCGGGGGTTTTCAGCTGGAGATATATAAGCAGGTGCATGTGTATCCTTTGCGTGCAAGACCAAATTTCTGCCTCTTGACCGAATGGAGACGAAGTACTCATCTGAAGATATCGCAGCGGCGATGAGTTTGCAGATTTACGCAGTGCGTCTCTTTGTTTTCGATACTTTGAAGGGCTAATAATATCACATGTCATCAGCGCGTATACAGTGAGTACTTATCTGGATCACTCTTCCTTGTCCTTACACAACTCAGCGTCGATGGCTACACTCTGGGTGGGCTTGTCTTGATGTCTTTCCATCCGCTGTTAAACTTGCTTGCAGATCTATGAATATGCTTGTTCACTTCAAGAAGAGGTAACGCTTCGTCATAAGCCTTATTTTTTGTATATATTGATCATCATATGTTGTTTGAAGTGGACATTCCTGCTTCAATCGCGGTGGACCAAGGTAAAAGGTCTTTATATCGCTACCCGATTTGTGCCTTTTCTCCTTTCGATCGTACATCTATATGGTACGTTCGGCTTCAGCTTCAGCACAGATTGTTCCGGTGATAGTCTGATTTGCCATACTTCAGCGAACTTCATTCCGAACGACGACCCTGCTGTATGTGAACTTGCGGTAGACTTACTGATTACCATCTGACATTGCCCTGCAGAAATGTAAGGTCTTGAATAGTGTTTGCTCAGGTATGTACACAGCACAAACATTTATGCACATCTTTGCTGAGAGTCCCCCTTTCTCCTACAGTTCTCGGCCAGATATCAGTCGGTTTCTCCGAATGTATTTCTCCTCTTTCTCAACATGCCTACGTTCTTAATCCAATTCATTCAGTCTTCTTCCTCCTCCGAACATATGCACTCTGGAGACATAATCGATTCGTGCACGTTTTCATACTGGCTTTTACCCCCGTGAGTCCAATGTTCTCGCGCCTCAAGGCCATTGTAGATGTATCAGTCAGGTTGCCATCATAGCATGCGTCGGCACTACCTATGCCTCTATTGTCACCGCATCTTGTACGGGCTCTCGCCTCCTAATCCTGCCTACCATTCACATTCTCTCTCCACTCTCACAGATGAGGTCAGCGCAATCCCAGGCATCACAGGTTGTTATAGCAACAGCAACCTCTTCGTATCTTTTCTTCTCTTTTTTATATTTGAACTGGGTTTGTCAATTGGGACATATGTATGCACAGATGCCTGACCAATGTTTCTTTAGGTCTCATGTGTCTTACGCTCTTACATGCCATACAGAGCTGGCGAATGACCAACGGCCGTCTGTACACCATCCTGGTGAAGAGTAACATTTTCTACTATTCATGCAGTATGTGTGAGTCAAAACACACATATGTCACCCATCTTTCCCTGCTGAAACGATGATTCTGGTTTCGGAAGTTTTATCGGCAGTAAACGTCTTTACGTCGCGATATCTCCATGTGCGTAAACCACTCATACCCTGTATGGCCAAAACACTGATATTCCCCATACCCAGTACCAGTACCACGTCATATTCCAAGAGTACGCATATCCAAATTTGTCTGTGCATTCATACTGATGACACCCCAAACATACAGTTACCAGAGTATCATCCTCGCGATCCTTGCCCTGCGCATGCACCTGCATATTTGGCAGATCGACCAGCAGTCACACAACATAGATGCCCTCGTTTGGACTTCTCTGTCCGATATATGATCTGTGGGCAGTACGTGGAAGGGATTAACATAGGATCTTCAGACGTCGGTCTTTAATGAATCAATAGTGAAGTGCACACATCAAACGGATATACAATGTGGATACAAAAGAAAATACACGTGATGTCGGGATAATCGCACAGAAGATGTTGGTGTCAAAATGCATATGCAGCCGCTTGCAGGGAGGGCAGGGTCGCTGTTGGGAGAATATATCACCCTACATTCTACCTGAAAGCTAAGTGGAAGGCGGATGAGAACCGTAACATGGGTGACATTACTGCAGACTCACCAGCGAACCAAGCACGTGTGCTAGCTTTTGTAGCTTCATCGCTTACCTCCATCATGGATAGGTACAATTCGAGGCCTTCTGCATATTTACCTGTCCGAAGGAGTACAGTGCACAAATGCCTGTTGGCGGATTGCCACAGCGACTTGAGGTCCCAGCCGAAGAGCTGTAAAAATACGGAGTTGAGCAGGAAAAATATTCCCGGCTGCATCGAAAAATGTACCATTGTGAATTCCTCGTACATAGTATGGATTGGCAGGTTGGCAAAGAACTTGCTGGCCTTCGCAGCGGCAATGAAAATTTCAACAGCTTCGTTGTAAAACTTGTTATTGAAGGCAATGGTTCCCAGTTGGACTTGCAGATACGCCTGATGCGCGAAGCGCAGACGAATCAATTATGCACGAACCAGTGCATGATCAAATGGATGATACTCACCTCCACGACAAGACAGGCAACCTGATCTACACTGGGACCGGCAGCTAGCTCTTTGACACGCATCATTGCCGCTTCGTGTTCATTTGCATTGAACAATGCGATAGCCTGAAACCATTTATGAAGCTTGAAGCGTGGTGGATCCAAAACAAATTTAACCTGCCTTGATCAAGAAAAGGAGAAGGGTGGTCTTCGAGTCTCCGTTTGCGAACGTGAAAGCGAAGTCAAAGGCTGCCCCGGCGTCGTGGACATTCTGTTTGCCGCAGAAAGCCATACCTTTGGTAATATATCCTATCAAGGAAGGCTTTATGCTGAGGGACTATGTCGAGATGATGGTTAGCATATTTTAAGGAGGTATGATGCGTCATTGTCACCTTGGCCGCATTTTGAAGGGCGCGGTCCCACTCGAGTTTGCGAGCCATAATGAGCGAGCAATTAGCATAGGAGATGTGGTTGGTGGCATCAGCTTCGATCTCTTGCGTGAGTAGCTCTTCAGCCCTTGACAAGTCTCCCGTGATAAATGCTTCACGGACGGCCGTGGTGACAGGGAGGATCTGCATGAAGTATGCTCGTATTACAATTACATTATACGATCATAGGGTGGTAACATGCCTTTAGATCAGTGCCTTGGTCTTCAGGGCCTCTCTGACGATTTTCGAGGCTGTAAATGTGCTGATCCTCGATGGAAACCCGCTCGGTAAGTTCCCAGACCTGACTGTCACCAGCGCCACTTTCCCAAATGTTTGTGTTCTTTGTGGCGGATAGGTCTAGGCTGAAATTCGTGCCATGGACCAATATCCTGCCGAACAAAAATATGACAAGAACAAATTCACATCCAGACATGTGCTGTATGAGAGACGTGCGCACCTGATGCCTTTAGCGTTTTTGACGTCTGAGTCTTCGATATCCCACTTGAAGGGGTTTGATACGGCAACAACTACAAGGCCATTTTTGGGGTTGCCTTCGATCCCAAGATATTTTTCAGTGCGGCAAGACTTTATGAACCACCCGTTCTGGTCGCCATCACGCTGGAAGGTCCACTGCAAACCAAGAAACTAGTCAACGCATAGCCTGTCCGCGACGGAATGATAAATTACCCCCTGGTTAGGGCCATCGTAGGGGGTAAAACCGATGACTAAGGTTTATGCAATGTCAGTGATTTTCCCCTGTAACCTGGAACAGGGATGATGCTTACTGGAGTAGCTATCATTTCCCGAGAGGTCGACAGCAGTGCCTCTCCGACAATTTTTAAGGCTGTAAGTGTGCTGATCCTTAATGGAAACCCGCTCGGTAGGTGCCCAAATCTGATTGGCGTTATTCCCACTTTCCCAAAGGATAATTTTCGTGTGATTTGCTGATTTTCCATAGTCTAAGTCTAAGCTGAAATTTGTGCCATAAACCAATATCCTGCCGACAGAAATCAATTTATGACCAGACATGCGCAGTATGAAAGACGTGCGCACCTAACGCCTTTAGCGCCATTGACATTTGAGTCTTTGACATCCCACTTGAAGGGTTTTGATACAACTACGACCAGGGCGCCATTTTTGGGGTTGCCTTCAATCCCAAGATATTTTCCAGAGCGAGAAGACTTTATGAACCACCCGTTTTGGTCGCAATCGCGCTGCTGGAAGATCCACTAAGAACCAAGAAGCTAATCAGCAAAACCTATCCGCAGTGGGATGGAAAGTAAGCGCATTACCGCCTGGTTGGAACCGTCGTAGGGGCGAAACCCAGAGACTAAGTTAAGGGAACATTAGTACTGGCTTGAGATATCCTGAAGCAGTGATGATGTGCTTACTGGAGTAGTTATCGTCACCCGAGAGGTGCATAGCAGTACCTCCCTTACAGTTTCTCAGAGTGTATGTGTGTTGGTTTTTGACGCGAGCCATCGTAATGTTTGCTTGCTGGAATGCAACTGTCAGCTTCAAGTGGAACACTGTACTTATACCAAGTACCTGTCCAGGGAATAAGGAAGCTCAAATTTTCAACGCCCGATGCCTAATACCCCAGCCTCAGGCTCGCGGCCGAAATGAGTATTGACACGCATCGTTGCATCCTCGTGTTCATCCGAGTCCGGATTGAACTTGAATGCAACAGGCTGAAACCCATGATGAAGCTCGAGGCGTAAAGGATGCAAATCAAATTTACATGACCTGCCTTGGAGAAGTTTGCACAAGTTAGATTTCAATCAATCTAGATTTAAGGTCTACTCGCTACTTACCAATTCATCGATCTCCGTCCGAGGGTGATGCCCAGTGAGAACCGGACCTCACCGTATCGACGGAAAACGATGGATATATTTACAAATATTGTCAAAGCTACGCAAATCGTGAATTCAGCATATTATCGAGAAAGTTGACGTGCGTCGTCTCGATCAAAAGAAGCAAACACACAATTTTGTCAATATTTTCTTGCACATTTTTGCAGACATAGGTCAATCAATCAATCGAACACAGCGAAATTCGAATCACTTGTCACTTGTTTGTGTTGTTTTTAACTTGATAAGTGTACGCGACGCGCGTCCTTACTTTCAACCACATACTAGTACGATGGCTTCATCCCAGGTTGATCTGGTCCTGGGCCCGTGTCTCTTCCTGTGCCCTGTGTTTTGCTGATTATCAATTACTCATGACGCGAGCAACTCTCTGGAAGCTTCATACATGCAAACACAGCAGATACCACTCCCCAAGACCGTCTCGATCATGGCAATGACACTGTCGACACGAGCACCGAGGACACAGAAACACCTGTATAAGTAACATGTGCAACCATGGTAAGTCGCCAACTCGTGCTTGTATTATGTTCACAGATACTGATGGGATTGTAGACCTCCTTCCCCATAACAAGAACCCTCTGTAAGTCTTCAAAGACCTTGTTCAAACTGGCACTGACTTGGGTACATGCAGTGCGAAGCTTGCTGAGCGAAAACGCGAATCTACTGTCCCCAATCCTGCAGTGACCCAGTACATTGAAGAATGGAAGGTATGTCATGTGTTGATCTAGAACATTGTATCAACCTTTGACCTGGAATTTTGGGCTTAGGTCACTCTGCGCACACCGATGGTTGAAGCAGATTGTCGCAAATGGCTCATCAGCCAATTTCAGGATTTACTGGTCTGGCCTGATGAAAGAGAAGCAGCTGGTACGTACTCCTATGCTACATGTTTCACATGATTGATTTATGTCTTGCAGGATTATGATCCTGACGCGCTGAAGCTGGTAATGAACTCAACTAAATGCGCACTCATCCTGATACAGCTGTTTACATTTTTTTTCTCAGGTCAAGGACAATATATGGAATGGCAATGCAGTCGACATCATCAGCAAGATCTCTTCCGGCAGCCTATACTAGTTGGCATCCACCATGGGTGCAGCGGTTGACATCAGGTGGGTTGCTGGCGAGGACCAGGTGGACAGACTGCAGCAGGTAGTATAGTTATGTACAGTTGAAATGCTCATAATGCATATGCTAACAATGCATAAGTCTCATAATGCATGGACTTTTTTGGATCCCGACGGCGTTCCCATGTAATTGACCGCATAATGCATATTGCATAATGCATAACCTTTGCATAGCCAATATGCATTATGAGGTACCAAATTGATAGGATGGGACAATAGGTACAACAATGTATTGCATAAATTTATTGTTCTGCTTCAGTGGTATTGTCTCGTTCGACTATGTATAGAAGCTAGCAAGTAATCATGACAGTACGATACCACACAACAATGTCCGTAAACCCAAAACGCAAACCCCATGACAAGCCCGCTGTCTATAACCGACCTGCGAAGCGGCAGAAAATCACCAAGGACACTCCTCGAACTTCAGCTCATTCTCCCAAATGCACTTCTTGCCGCAATCTTACACTCTCTGACTGGTTAACAGTCTATTCATTTGTTGATTCTCATCCTACTGTATCACAGATTGAAATTGTTGAACACTTTAAATCTCTCAAGTCGGGTGCACTCAATTTCACGCAGTCAACCTTATCACGCAAGTTGCGGGAACATCCAAAAATGGAAGCACGGATCAACGATAATCCTAATGCATTGTCATTGAAGCAGCCAAGGATTGTCACAAGGCCCGATGTTGAACGTGCCTTAATTCTGTGGGTTAGGCACATGGAGAGTAGACATGAAACAGTGACTGGGCCTATGCTGCGAGAGAAACGGAAAAGGTTTGAAGATGAGTTTGATGTCCCGGAAAATGAAAGGCTGTCGGGGGAATGGCTCCAATCATTTTGTACTGCCTACAAGATTCGCGAGTACCGACGGCATGGAGAAGCTGGGTCTGTTGACATCGAAGCTGTTGATAAAGAACGAGAGCGTTGTCGTAAGATCTTGGCGAAGTTTGCTCCCAAAGATCAGTGGAATTTTGACGAGACATCGTTCTTTCCATAGTGAGTGTTCATTTATATTAATCTATGTCACCTAATTTTTTTTTTCATTTTAGTGCACCTCCAGACCGTGGTCTTGCAACACGACAAATGAGTGGTAAGAAGAAAGAGAAATTCCGTATCTCCATCGGATTAGCCTGCAACGCAGATGGAAGCGAGAGGCTCGAGCCTTTTTTTATTGGCAGGGCAAAGAAACCCCGATGCTTCAAGAAGCAGACACCGGAACAGCAGGGATTTTATTATCGGAATAATAAGAAGGCTTGGATGACAGCAGTCATATTTGAGGAGTACGTGGACATGATGATATGATTGCTGTTAATATCTAATCAGTGGCCTAGATGGATCAAAAAACTCAATCTTCAGATGAAGCAACAAAACCGGCACATTTGCATGTTTATTGATAATTTCTCTGCCCACAGCATCTCGTATCAACCATCAAACATTGATCTTGAATTTTTTGGGCCCAACATGACACCATTTGTCCAACCATGCGATGCTGGAATCATCCAATGCTTCAAGGCACTATATCGCCGTAATTTTTGCGCGCGCGCTATTGATCTTGATGAAGCTGGCGAACGGGATATTTGTAAAATTAATATTCTCGAAGGCATGACAATGGCGAAGCAAGCATGGTATGCTGTCACGTCCGAAACCATCAAACATTGTTGGGATCACACTGACATTCAAGTGTAAGTCATCTTTTGACCTCATTTTTTTCGGTGCTCAAGTCTATCACAGTGATCCAACGACTAACGCTGACACATGGCCTCACACAGATCCACTTGCGTGGAACATCGTCCACAAATTCGCAACTACCGAAATGTCCCTTCCCAATGCGGAGAACAAGCTACAGGCTCTTCTTGGCAAGCACTACATAGATTCTGATTGGAGACCGGCCCTCAAAGCTGTAATGGATGCTGAAGGAGATGTGGAGATGGCTTTAAATGCCATTGATGCACTTATGCAAGCTGCATCTCGTCGTACCGGCCTCAAAATTCGTATTCCTGCGCGCTCACAACAAGCTGCCCAGCTATCTTCTACCGAAGCTGCGCTTATGCAATCAGTCCGAGAACTCCAAGCACGCAATCGCATTTTTGGTACCTTGCCAACTATCGATGAACTTCTGGACCCCACTGAGGAGAGAGATAAGGGAGAATTCTCTGCTTTTGAAGGTGGTGACTCATCCATTGCAGACACGGTCCGCCACGAAATTGCCGTTGCAAATGGTGAAGTTATCGAGGTTGATTCTGATGATGATGACGACGACGAAGCGGATCCATCAATCACTCGTCAAAATATTCTCAATTTGTGCCAGCAGCTTGAAGTTGGATGCATGCAATATGGTGATCCTCAATTTTCACTTGATTTATCATCACAACTTCGAAAGTTTTGCGCGAACCTACGACGCGAAGAACTACTTAATGCCAGACAAACTTCTTTAGAACAATTCTTCTCGGTATAATACATGTACTTCTGTAGGACTATGGACGATTTTCTGTCACACTTTTGGCGGAGGTCACATGCGTCACAATAGTGTGACACATATGCTATTGCATATGTCTCATAATGCATAACGTTTGGGCGGTCCCAACGGTATGCATTATGAGCATTTCAACTGTATATTTCATTTTTGCAGTGTCATTCGTTTGTTCTCGCAATGTATATTAGCGTCGTTTTCATGCGATTTCCGTAGTTTCATTGTGCAATACGACTACATTTAAGAATCTATGATAGTCGACGGAAATATCATATGCGAGAATCGGTGCGAAATCGTGTCGAACAGCATCGCTAGAAAATCGACTATAAGTCCCATTCTCTACGCTCATCTACGGAAATCTTACGTCTGTGGCTCATCAATATTTCGGCCGTTTTCCGTCGATACGGTGAGGTCCGGTTCTCACTGGGGGTGATGATCCGACGGTTCCGACTGGTTTTTACTGATTTTTATTATTCAAGCGCTCAGCTCTGTTGAACACAAAAAAATTCCCACCACCAGCAGAGCTGTGCTGTTTTTTTCCACGGCCCGATACTTGTCGATTGTCTCCGTTGCACGTACTCACATCGTTACAGTCGAGCTAGAAATTTGAAGCACTTGGACTCTTTATCGCGGTGAGTATGTCGGCGTACGTGCTTACTATCGGGGCATGTCAATCGTGTGCTTATGCTGCTGACAGCAACTACGGTGGGTCTACTTGTAACCGGATGATGCATGACAAATTTAAATCACTGATCCATCATGCATCAGATCTCAGCCTTGAGCGACACCACACGGGGCAAACTAGTAAAATCAATCAGCGATATCGGGGAGTTGAGGCGCAAGCGCCATTACAAATCATTTAAAGCTGAGTTGAACAGTCCAGTGTCATTTGTCCCCGTACGATAGGACGTCGACACGTCATCCCAAACCACCTTCTATGCCGCAGCTGGCATCATAAAAATACTAAATCAGCTTCAGTGTTACCAGTGATTGGCATGATCGTAGCTCTCCGCCCGGTAAGAAGTTCTCACAACACAGATGGACAGCCAGTATCAACACACTAGTCGTTCATCTCAAATTTCAAATGACATCGTAGCTCCGAACAGTGCATCAGCATCTCTCATGTCATGGACCCCTCCGAGATAACCACTAACCAGAGAGACAAAGGATAAAGCCTATGACTGGATAGAAAGATTTGAAAGAACCGTCAAGTACAAAGAACAACGACCAATTTTTCGGATGCAAAGGTGTGGGCTGTGTCTGGCGTTATCCAAGCACACTTAGATCAGTTGGTCTAAAATAGCGTGCGCTCAACTAGCCCGCATTATTCAAATGCATATACTACCTGAAGAAGCATGACGTTCGGTGAGGGGAGGAAACAAGGTTTTCTGAACAAATGCTAGAATGGAGTCATGATGGCGAGGACAGTTAGGATTCGTGATAGGCATCGGCGAGGTTTCCACTGACTCGGAGGAGCGGTTCGGAGGCGCAGGAGGTAAGGCAGCGACTCTAATGCTATGATGCTATACTTAGCGAAATGATGAGATGCCATAATCGTCCTAGGCCTGCTCAAATCGGTGTGTCAGTGGTGAGCAAGGGTTCAGGTGAAGGGTTCAGGACAGACTGGATAGCAAAAAACATTTCATCTCAGTCGATGAAGCGCATAGTGCTGATAGTGCACTGGCCAGTGGATATTGTGCACGTTCTCGTATGCTGAACGGCCATCCTGAAATTAAAAGTTACAATATTTTGTACAAGTTATTATTTATTAATAGCTCGACTTTTACGACCACTTTAAGTTTGTCAAGCTCCGTAGTACTGCGATCACTGTGACCTGAACCTATGTTCCTAATAATGATGTCTACGCCCCCATCTTAATCTGCTCCCGGCTCATATATAAGATAAAAAGCTCACGATGTACATTCTGCAGAACCCTTTTCACATCTCGAACGAATGGTGACAGAGACGGAGCATTTGACCAATGCTTTCGCAGCAGGGAGAAGTCTGCAGATCCTCGCGGTGCGTCTTTTTCTCGTCAATACGAGGATCGTTGATGATAAAATGAAATACATGTATCATCAGTACATCTACAGTACGTTCTGTCTGAAATCCTTCTCCTCTGTCCTAATACTACAGCTCAGCGTCGATGGCTACATTCTGGGTGGGCCCTTCCCGATATATTCTTTTCCGTTGTTAAACTCGTTTGTGCAGGCCTACGAATATGTTTGTTCACTGCAACAAGAGGTAATGCACTTGTTCATAACAAATGTCGATTTTTCTTACTGATACTCTGCTCAAAGTGGACGTTCCTGCATCGATCGCGTTGGACCAAGGTAAAAGGCCTCTATATCCTTACACGATATGTTCCATTTCTACTCCTCACCACGAATCTATATAGTGCGTTTCGACTCCCGAACACACATCTCAGATAATGAATTGATATGTTATGCTTCAGCGTGCCTCGTCCCATATAATAATCCAGGTGTACGTGAACTTGCAGTGCTGACCAGACGAACGACGCTCACCGTATGATGTCGCCAGAAATGTCGGACGTGGGTCAACATCTGCTCAGGTACGTACATCTTACATGCCCGTATGCACACATCCTGATCGAGAGCTATCGTTTAGGTTTTAGCATAATATTAGGCATTTGCTCCCAAAGTACATCTTCTTCTCGCAGCATACACGTCTTTCTCATCCGATTCATCAGGCTTTTTTATCCTCAGAACGTGCGCGCTATGGAACAACAATAGAATCTTGGTCGTATTCATGCTGTTAGTATCTATCGTGAGTCCTCACGTGTTTACTACACCCAAGCTGGTGATAGATTCCTCAGTCAGGCTTTTGTCGCATCATCCATCAGCATTTCCTTTGCTGCTACTGCCACAGCACCATGTACGCGCTTTCATAGACACCTTGCTTATCATTACCATTCACCCCACTTTCACAGTTGCAACCAGCCATATTCCAGGCATCACAGGCTGCTACCAAGTTATGAGCAGTGTCTCACTCTTCATACCGTTTCTTCTTTACTTTGCGCTTGCACTGGGTGGGAAACTAGGGGCATGTCTATGTTCAAATCGGCGCTGACAGATACTATCCCCAGGACTCATGGCCCTCACACTCATACGCGCCATCAAGAGCTGGCAGACGACCAACGGCCATCTCTATGTTGTCCTGCTGAAGCACAACATATCCTACTATGCATGTGGTCTTTGTAAGTCAAAAAGCGCGCACGCCGAGCCATATTTTCGTGCTCATCCAAAATCACTCTCGTTCCTACAGTGTTCTCGGTGACGAACATCTTCACATCGCTGCTCCTCCATGTGCGTAAATCCCCCACATGCCTTTATGATCGAGCTGAAAACATTGTTATGCATACCCAGTACGCATACCACGCCATGTTGCATGAGTACGTACTACCGCAATTTGCGCATTCTAACTAGACATGCCCGAAACTTACACACGTGTAGCCTCCAGTTTATTGTTCTTGCAATCCTCGCCACAAGCATGCACCGCCATCTCTGGCAAATGGACCTGCATACACACGTGTCTGACGCCAATGTGCGTTTTCTTTTGTCCGAATTTTCAACCGCAGATCGTATGGCGGAACATTTTATTCCATGGGGCGAACTTTGAGCTGCACGATGACTGGTGGGGGTTAACTAGATCGGTTCCGGGATACGTTCAACTTATAGGAATATATTTTCTGTCGTGGAATGTATTTGGGCGGCTTTGGTATTTTCAATACCGATAGGTGTCAGGCTTCCTCTGCAAGCAATGGCGAATCAGTAGATACCGATCAGTACTAGTATTTGATTGTACTAGTTTAATCAGAAGTAGGGCCTGACGACGATGAGAATCAATGCATTGAATATGAGCCCTTGCGATAAGTAGTGCACTCATCAAACAGGGCAGTATTAAGGTTTGCACATCCAAAAAGCTGTGACCTGCACAGATCAGTACTTAGTCTCCAGGGTCGACACTAGCTTAGGGCAGAGCTCAACGTTGCAACCGCCTCCGGCAGGTCACGTAACATTTACAATCCATTTTTGCCTTTCAAACGAATAGTCTCTGATGCAGTTTCTGCTGATGCGCGTTGCTACTAACAACGTCACTCACGTACAGTTCCCAGTTCGCCACCTCGCTGCGCGCACTGGCATGCATATCCATCTCTGGAATCTGGACCGGCACAAACATGCCCCAAGGCCTTCGTGTTTATTTCTTTGTTAGACACGCCCGCAACGGACCGTACTGCGTAACCTCTTATCGCCCGGCTTATTCGGTGTTTGCGGAGGAAGGTCCAAGCTGTCGATGTCACCTTGGATGTATTCTAGAGACCTGGTTAGGGCGCATGGGTCAGATTCGGGATCCACGCGCTTCAATGGAGATTCTGCTGCGGATCATGGACGGGAGGTGTTGGGGAGTTGCGTTGGGATTGAGGTTGTTTTGACATCGATAGGTACCAAGACGTGAATCAAGCACAATCGGGGTTTGAATGTGTTGGAGTATGACTTGCGAGCAAGCCCGACGGCAACAAGTGTTAAGTAGCTTTTGTTTGAGTACAAGTTACCACTGTGCATTGGGGCGCTTCATTCCAATTCTAATCAGACTTATTGACGCCGACGGATGCTCCCGAATCCGGTAGCACTTCCTGTTGCTCCTAGTAAGTACCCTGAGACAACGAATCTCATAATAGCCCTATGATATAAAGGAAGCTGTTCAAATCTGGCGCCTTCATTTGCTTGTCTGCTTGCGATACTACCATTTACCCATGCCTCCCCATGATCTTCCGCCCCCGCCACCTTGGATAATCCCCAATTTCGTGTTGAGGGTGGAAGACTTATCACATCCTGGGGCATCCGTCTTCTTCGATTGCGTCAAGCCCAAGGAAGCACTCAAGCTCGCAGTTGAAGCATCTTATACCTGGCTGTATACCCCGCTCACGGCTCCAACACAGTGAGCACTACGCGTTCTCAATTCACTATAAACATGTTGCGAATCATCTGTATTTCCAGCGTCAAGACAATCACACTCGTTCTCAGACCATTCGATGGCGTAGCGTACACTTGCGGCACGCATGAGATGAAAGAGATTAATTTCTCCCTAGATTGGATCAAATCATCAGAGGCTCGGGCACGAGATGAAATACTAGGCGTGCTGGTTCACGAGGTCGTGCATTGCTATCAGTACAATGGAAACGATACATGTCCGGGGGGTCTTATCGAGGGTGTTGCAGGTGTGCACGTTTTGATACTATCCTTTGAGTTTTGTCTTCAGAACTACTCGTAGATTTCGTGAGGCTACATGCTGGTCTTGCACCACCACACTGGAGGCGTAGAGCTGAGGAGAAGTGGGACGCAGGGTACGATGCTACGGCGTACTTCCTCGACTGGATTGAGGAGCGTTGTGGCGAGGGGACTATCCGAAAACTTAATGGATCCATGAAGGATTCGATATACAAAGTGGAACTCTTTGAGAAGGTGACCGGAGAGAGCGTGAGTTCCCTGTATGCACTGTATTGTGAACACGTGAAAGAGACGGGGTAAGGTATCTCATGCATGAACCTTGATATATAATATGATACTAGTAGAAATATTTCCGTAGAAGCTACGGAGAAGTCGTAGTGATAGATTTTTACATATAATGAAGTGCACTATATGATTTGTTGTACAGGAACCACGATAACCTCTATGGATGAAGACCCCGTACAATCAACACGCTTGAAGGATCTGACGAGGTTCCATCAAGGTTAAGGATTTGTCACGTGTTTTCCGGTAAGCACCGAAAATAATTAGAGACCAAGTAAGGCCCCTAACTTTCAGCTGAAGAATACGAAAGTGTCCCATCACAAGACCAACACACTTTCCCTTAGTGATTCGCGCTTCTCTCCTATCCACATGCATTACTCTGAGTCGCACATACACCAGCTGCCCGTGGAACTTTTACAGCACATATTTTCACTCATCGTGAATGACATCTCAGACTGTCCTAGTATCTTCAATTCGAGCAATCGCCGTATCTCTGGGAATTTTTCCAGCCCTCCCCTAGTCTTCACCCGGGTGTGCCGCCTTTGGCGAGTCACAGCACACTCAACACCGGACCTTTGGTCCCGCATCCAGGTTACGCTTCCCGGTGGAGACGAATCATCGGAGCCATTTCTTCCATGTCTCCTTCAATCGTGGCTCGCCTGTTCTGGTGGCCAGCCTCTCACCCTTCGCATCGATAGAGTCTGGGTAATCTTGGATTTCTATATATTTGATGCCATTTGCGGATCCACACAAAGTTACAGGTCACTTTCACACGCAGATTATCGACTTCTCGAGATTCTTCAAGCCGAGAGCAGGCGGTGGGAAACGGTCGTCTGTGCGTTACGCGGAGACGAATGGCTCGATTCCAAGTTGGATACGCCACACCTGGGAACTCTGGAATGTAGCTGGTCAGGTCTTAACAGATTCAATGCACCAAATCTCCGTCAGCTGCGTATCAGCAAGGGCATCGAGGATATCGCTACCAGTCCTACTCTTACCTGCAAAAATTTACGACATCTTCGTGTCCAATACACTTCCTCCAAGATCATCCGTTCCATTTCCATGATTTTCCCTCTTCTGCAGACAATTACGGTGGCGGCCGTAACTGGTGATCACGATGACGCTAGAAGCCACTCGGTCACGTATCCTTGTCTCGAATCATTAACTCTGCCTCTGCCCTCGTATGATGATGTTTCGGACTGGCTTACCGAAATATTCGACGGCCTTCATCTTCCTGTATTGCGGAAATTAACTCTGGTGGGATACCCATCCAAATGGATGATTGATCGCACTATGGCTGCGTTGGCAGTCACCGCAACTTGCAACTTGGAAGTGATAGACTTTCACACGTCCGCGCTGCAGGGCGAAATCGACGTGGATGTTGTTGAGCCGTTGCTCTCAGTTGTGAAGGAGATTTCGGTCGAATCGGTGTTATTCCGATGTCGCTCCCCGCGCAATTAGCCAACAGACCATACACGCCATACTGTGTTGAAACATGTTGGGGACTGGCAACAATCTTCTTGTGAGGGTGAGTGGTGGATTGTTGCATGCATAACGTAGTTCATGGCGAGTCTAGGATAAAAAGGCACTCCAGTTCATCCAGGTCTTTGGCATGTATCGGTACAAGGACACCCCTTCAGTTGGCTGCAAGAAAAAGGACATTGACAACAGTTGGAGTAACTCTTACTATATATCACATCGCAAGAAACTCTAAGATCAATGGAGAGTACTCCGGGAACACCGATTTAATTGCGAATTTAGTTATTAGCTTTCCTTCTAGTTTCGTCATCGTTTATTACCAACTCAGGAGCGCCACAGATGCGTTTTATAGCTTTCCAAGGAGTTCCTGGTGATACTTCTTGACTTCTTCCATGACGTCAGACTTCGCGGGCCATCCAATAACGAGCCCCTCCTCATCTGACGCATCAGGTTTGGGAATGACATGAAGTGTACGTGGTCGACGACCTAGACGTGTAAAACAGTGTCAGTCGATACTGTCTAAGCCCAATAAAGAAGGCGTAGACAAACCTGGTGTGCGATGCGGCCGTTATTCTTAGTGGTGGGGTCAGCTCTGCAGTTTAAACAGCAGGGAATGGGGAGAGGGGACGATAATTGTATATGGGAACGCACCTGGAGGATGTTGTAGTTCTCAAGTCCTTGTGCAGTGGCGATCTTCTTCGCGATAGGGAGCACGTCCGTAAGGTATTCATCTGGGAGCTCGTGTAGCTTTGCCGCGTGGTCTATTATGCACATTAGCGCCTTCACTCGCGACATAATCCTTTTTTCCCTTTCCGATCACGGCTGACGCACCTTTAGGGATGATCAGAGCATGGCCCTTGGAGAGGGGGCCAATGTCAAGGAATGAGTAACTGATCTTTGGTGAATGTGTGCCAATGATTTGACGGAAGAAAAAGGACGAACGAAGTTTCTGTCTCGAGGAGCTTGAAGCTTGGGATCTCGCCTAGAACACAATAGCGCCGTGAATCGTGATAAGGTGGTGTAGTTGAATGACGAGAAGAAGTCAACATACCCTTGATGATCTTGCAAAATATGCAGGTGCTGAGTGATCTAGAGGATGTTTATTATACCCCAAAAGTATAATGGAAGGGAAGAATCTGACCGTGCTGCTGCCGCCATGGTAGTTTGAGTTGAGGCAAATAGCGAAGGCTCTGTTATGGATGCCAAGGTGGCGTGACGCGCCTTGATCTCACACGTGACCAGGCTGACAAAGCACGCGTCTTTCGGTTCCTTGGTTAATTCTCCAGTTTTCGCTTCATAACTTCAGTATGCAAGCTGCCCAGTTGAAGCGTCCACAACATCACGGTCCCGAAAACCTGCATCCCTGCGTTTCTCTATTCGCTCAATGCAGTTTTGTGATTTTTTTGTCTATCTTCTCCCAACGCTTTCATTGAACGTCTACTTACTCCTCTTTCCGACCTTGGTTCTCAACATCTCATCTGCTTCGTGTCCCTACTGGTCAACTCGTAATCTCAGTACCCTGATCACATTTTCCGACTCTTCGTCCAATCACTCATTTTATATATCTTTCAGATCCACTGCCCATACTCATAGGAACGTGTCGAGGCAGACTAAATCTCGTTTACCGTTCGTCAGCGCTTGAGAGCAATGGGAGGCACTGGAAAAGTGTCTTGGTGCGTGTAAGGCGGGTCTAGTGAGCGTGCTGGGGGTTGTTACTAGTGCACAAAAGCGCAGTAATGGTTCGGCTGTGAGTGAAGTTGTGCAGCAGGTCACGCAGACAGGTGAGAGCGTTCAGGTTGATGCCGTGTAGCCTACATTGGGGTTCCTCCGTTCAATGAATCAAAGTCATGGATGTTGACCGCAATTTGTGGGAAAGTGTAAGCACGCTGGCTTACCTGAGTTCTCATAATCAGTACATATACCGTTGCTGATACTGAAAGCTAAGCTTTCAGTATTTCACCTTTTGGTGTAACGGTTATGCGTGGCGGCGGTCTGACCATGTTACAGAAAGCTGACGAAGTTCGTTGTCGTTCATTTGAACATGACTTTGGCTTTGATATTGAACGTTCAAAACTCTCTGCTTATTAAGACGGGAAGACAATATCAACACCCGGGGATGTTCATTATAACAATATTGTGCAGCCAACTCGTCAAGCGACTGAAGGTGAGCAGCTACCTTGTGATATCCACCAGCTTATTCAATCAGAATCAGGTGGGAATGAAGCGCTTCCTCCTATGTGGCAGCAGTTTAAGACGTCCTCGGATGGTGGAACACTATATCAGGATGATACGCTCATGGTTGCCTCGGGGAACCGACCTTTACCAGGAGTGCGACTAGGTGAGGGATAAAATTGCGACAAGGAGCGACAAACTCACCGTTGAACATAGATGATCCTGTCGCTCAGGGTGTTCCTGGATATGAATGGCACATCTCACCACTCGGACGGTCCTACTTTGTCAATCACAATACTCGGACCACATCGTGGAAGAAACCAAAGCCAGAACGTCCGGCAGGAAGCTTAATGCCGGAGTGCGTCATAGAGGGTCACTCCGAACGCATATGGAACCTTGCCTACTTGGGTACCAGTGGCAATATAATGAGTGCGTCTGAGGATAGTTTGATCCGCCAGTGGAAAAGAGACGGAGACCCAGTGGGAAGAACTTTGAATAGCGATGGGGGAGGGATATTTTCGATGGTAGTATCCCCGGATGAAACAATGGTCATTTGTGGAAGGGTAGACGGCAGACTGCGGCTGTGGAATATAAACAGCATGATCGGCGACCTGTGGGAGGGGCATAATGATACAGTGAGGTGCCTTGATTGGTCTCGCAACTCCCTGGAGATAGCAAGTGGATCGCATGATGGCACCATACGACGCTGGAATCCGGATACTGGTCGACAAATAGCACCACCCATAGAGACCAGTCACGGATGGGTCAGAGCCGTCAAATACTCTCCAAAAGGCGATAAATTCATGAGCGGTGGGAACATTGGTCCAATCTGCATATGGTCAAGGGACAGCAAGCTGGTTATGGAGATCAGGGGACATGACGCGGACGAGTGGGTGATGTCTTTGTGTTGGTCGAAGGACGGCGCACACGTCTTCTCTGCATCAGCTGATCGCACCATTCGAAAGTGGCGGGCTATTGATGGACAGGAACTCGTTGTTCTTCGGGGTCACACGTACAACATCACATCGCTCTGTCTTACTCCTAATGAAAGGTATATTGTTAGCGGATCGTATGACTACACGATTCGCATCTGGGATCTCGAGACCAATCAGGCTGTCGGAGATCCACTCTTACATGATGACCAACTCTGCGCTGTTGCCATGTCCCCCGATGGAAAATACATTGCTCGCGCTGGAATAGACAAAAAAATATACGTGTGGAATCTGGAGGCGGCGCTCAAAAACGTTCTGGTACGTATGCCCTTTGTTGTCTAACTTTTCTCCCCAACGGTTTTCACTATCTAGGGCGCAGATGATGACAATGTAAAGCTCAAGGCAAGTATTCTCTGCCTCTCTTTCACACTACATCTCACTTTTCACTAGGGACGTTCAGCCCAACCGAGAGTTGTGCGCCCACCAATCGTGAGCATCCCCCCCTTTCCTCATATATCTCGCTAGACCTTTGACCCCCGTCTTGCGTATAATCAGCATCCCAAAAAACAGGGCTGGCAAGATATGTCAGTGTACTTTCTTGTTCTTCACCTTTCTCGCCTGACACCCAGATATAGGGCAATGATTTCTTTGGCGACGAATCAGACCACGCAGTCTCGTCATGCAGCTCCTCCCGCAAGCCCATCGTCCCTTATTCCGTTGGCGTCGTTTGCTCACTTCCATACATTTCGGTGCACGACCTGTAAATGCATCCCAACCAATAAAACGACAGTCCCGACACTGGAACTTCAACTTCAAGTTGTTTTCTGGAGGACATTCCATGCGCACCGTCGATGTACCTCTTGCTCAAGATGAAGATGTGAGTGACTCATCGTCCCTCCTATTTCATTCTATTAAAATACAATACAGAGATACGGCATTGTTCATGAAACTGATGCAGGAAGCAGCTGCTGCTATGCAACGTACGAACAGTAACCAGACCAATAGTGCAACGCAATCAGGCCAAACAGCTGGGGCACAAGGGTCTCAACCACGACCAACAGAAACACACCAGTCAACCGGTGCGAGGGGAGAATTTCCTACGAAGTTACATGTTGTTGCTGCGGATTTTACTTTGGTCGTCCTCCCACCTTCGCGTCAGTCATAGAATCATCTAGAAACCCTGTGACTCGATTGTCTCTGACGCATCATGTATCTTACATAGCTCGTTCCGTCCCATGTACAGGCGCACAAAATTGATATATTTCTACGCGCGATAGATCAAATACAAACAGGGTCAGTGGATGCAAAAAGGATAAGTGCTGGAATGACGATATATACCATAATTATACATCGATGACCGTGTGATCAAGTGCAATTTGTCGTAGTATACATGATCATGTGCAGTAGCTGAAATTACAGTGATTAAGAACATCCAAATGCTCCACCCGCCCCGCGACAGACTCATCCTGTAAATTAAACACGTAGCGAACTCTACCAAACCCACCCCCACCAGTCATCTTATGCGGTCCAAGCCTCGCTCCATGAACGACGTTGAATAAACTACAGCATAAGACATCACGCCGTGACATTCGCAAATGATATGTCGGACAATGGAATATGAACCAGGCCACTAGAGCCGCGTACTAGATGTTGGTTTGTCTGCCAGAGATGGATGTGCATGCGCACGGCAACAATCGCAAGGGTCAGGAACTGGAAACTGCACGTGGGTGTACATTTCGAGTGTTATTAGTAGGAATACGCAGTAGGATGCGGAGGTGCATACCCATTCAAAACGGTCCGGTAGGTGTCCTGGGGCGCAGAACATCAACAGTTCATCATAGAGGACCTTCAGAATATTCACGCACCTGGAGGAGCAGCGATGTAAACATGTTCATTACCGAGAATACTTCGGGGAACAGAATGACCATGGATGAGCACAGAAAAACAGCGCGTACGAGTGTTAACTCACGGAAAGCGCAAACATAATAAAATATGTTATGGTTCACCAGGACAACGTACAGACGGCTTGGGTGTCTCCGCCAGCTCTGTATCGCGCGTATGAGCGTGAGGATCATGAGTCCTGTGTAGAACACCTGTTAGTGCGTGTTTGTACATATATATGCTCCTAGTTACCCAGCCCGAACACAGAAAAGAGTAGAAATGGGATAAAAATCCGGTCACTGGTTGAACTCTGGTAGCACCCTGTGATGCCCGGGATCGGGCTAGTGGCATCTGTAAATATGAACAGAATGTTTCAGTTATCATGGATCACCAGAGGGAAGGTGAGAGTGCATACATGCTGCGGAGACGGTAGTGTCGACGGTAATGCTGATGGATGCTGCGAGAAACGACTGGCTGATCGATCTACCACTAGCTTGTGTCTGGCGAGTGGATTGGAAACTCACGAAAAAGGTGCCCAGGATGGCTGCGAGCAATATTCTATTTCTGTCCCAGAGCGCATATGTTCTGAGGATGAAAAAACCTGAATCGGATCAACGACTTGCATATCATAGGGAGGAAGTAAAGATACACTCGGAGCAAACTGATAATAGCATGCCGAGCCCTGTGAGAGAAAGTGGGCTGCCCTCAGCAAGGCTGTACATAGATGAGTGTACTATGCACGTACCTGCGCTAATATTGGCCAACATCCCGCATTTCTGGCGAAGTCATGGAGTAAGTTGTTCGTTCTCATTGACTCTCTACCTCATCACATACAACTGGGTTCTCATTCGAGGTAAAGCTCACTGAGAAACAAGTGTTAATCGATTAATCAGGGCAATGCGTGCTGGAGCGGAACGCACTATATAGATCTGTGATGAGAAGGATAAAGGGAAGGTATTTTATGACAATATACAAGCCCTTCATCTTGCTCCAGTGCGATCGAAGCAAAAATGTCCACTTTGAATATCATATTGTGTGTCAAATCTAAGGCGTATCATGGAAGAAGCGTATTACCTCTTCATGAAGTGAACATGCATAATCATAGGTCTGGATAAACGAGTTTGACAGCGGACATGAATAGACGAGAATAAGCCTACCCAGAACGCAGCCATCGATGCTGAGCTCAGGTATCAGGACAAATGATATGATGTTCAGACAGTAGTACGCACTATATATGTACTGGCGTACATGACTTGTTAGTTATGATTCATCCTCGTATCGACAAGGAGACATACCGTGGCGAACTGCAAACTCCTTGCTGCTGCGACATCGTCAGTCGAATACTCCATTTAGAGGTCAAAAAATGTCTATCATGGGGTCTTAGTTATTGAGGTGCAAGCGCATCACGGTGGCAGTACAAACACTGAATTAGCTCGAGTTTAAATTTAGTTTACTGCGGTCCCGATGAAGCATTTTATCGTTCACCGATAGGCTACCGGCGACTTGACAAAAGATACAGTTGCACCATCGACGCCTGAGGCAGTAGTATTGTAATGGTCATACTCTAATCCGAGGCACATAAGTTATTAATTTGGTCTTTGGTCAACATATATAATAAATAATCCAGAACGCACCTATTAGTACCAGTACTTACCTCGGTGGTCGTTTTTTTGAGGTCCCGTTTTGAAGTAATCACCCTCTTTGGATGACGAGCATATCGTGTGGCTAATAGAATCTTTGGCCTCTACCTTGGTTCAAATCTTCGACAGACTTCCGGCACTTTCCGGACAACTTCTGCCACCGACCAACTTCATCGATTCATCTCCCACAGCACAGACAGTTGAGACGTAGCGCTGTTTTATTCACCTTGTAATTTGAATCAAAAAACGCTTTTATGGAGTCACTAGATTCTTGCGTGTCTCGCTTAAGCAGCCCCCTCTCGCTATCAATCGCACCTGACTCGTGTTCGGGTATATCTACAAGTCACCTAACCCCCATCAAAAACATGCACTCACCGCTTATAACTATCCGGACACAACTCTTCATCAGTACAAGTCTTAGACGCAGGATGCTCAAAATCTTCCCTAACAAAGTTTCAAATTTGGTCCCTCGCGGCATTTCAAACCCGCGGTAGTGCTTCAAAACATTAGTCGCTCCGAATATCCCTGCTCCACTGGATCAGACGAAAAGCTTGGGCGATGGATGAGAACAAGGTGCGTCCGGAGATCCTCAGCATTTTGTCCAGCGAATTAGATCTGATTTTGAAGTGCAGAAATCGAGGGTGACTTTAACCTTCTCTTCTCCGACTCGTCTCACCTAACACTATGGCATGGCCGACCAACTTACTGGAAATTAAACATCGCGTTTCCTCGTTCCTGCGTGTTCTTACTTCATCACCTTCCAAGCATCCATCAGTGAAGTACCGCGTGTGAGTACTACATTTTTATGCAGGCCATGTGCTCAGTTCTTAAACAGTATATCAAAGTTGTTAAATGCTACTCCCCGCAATTCAGCCCTCCGCCTACCTCGCAAACAATGGAGAGCTCGAGACTTTGCGTTTATCCAGAAAATACGTCGAGCAGTGGTTGCAAGAACGGGATATCTTTTGGGAAGAGCGCAGTCAATTCCCCAAAGTCCATTGTTGATGCATTCATACAATATGGTCAGCCGTACGTATTATTCCATTTGACTGATCAAGGTTATGGTTGACATTTGACTCATACAGCGAAACTGCTTGTCATCACACGCTTTCTTACGTTTCTTCATCACCATCCTCTTCGCCTGACGGTCAACTCGCGGCGGTAAGATGCCATAGACTCATCATCGTGCTTGCACACCTTGTTCGACTTTGGTCCGTTGTTCAAGTTGGACGCTGTTGTATCAGCAAAGAGCACGAGCCTTTCTCGCTTCTGCAGGTGTTTTTGAATAGTGGTCTACCAGAATTACATTCATGGCTTGAAAGTCATCCCGCTGTGCTCGAAAAAATATGGCAAGTCGGTTCATTATGGTTGATGCCACATATTTTAACCATTCACATGCCTGCAGAAGTCGACCGAGCACAGCTTGAGCGGAAGATCGGTCTTCTGCCATGTGGATCACTGGGTTTTACACATGTCGGGCACGATCTGCCGTATTCAGAGGTCCTGTTGACGCTGCAGATTGAACTGAGTCAAATTGAGAAATGGGCGATCGATGGTATGCTTTGCTTGGGAGTGTTGCTACGTACTATGCAGCGTACAGATTCGATGTGTATGCACCACCTCAAACAAACATCATATAATTCCGCTCGCTGACAAGAGGTGCACAATAGACCAATGTACATCGAACTGCCTCAAAAATTTAAACGGACCAAGGTAGATGATTGATCCGGTGGTAACATTGACATGCGCTGGCAGCAAGGCGCCTGCAACTACAGCATGCAAAACTCACTCAAATAGCAGGTCTCTTCATCACTTTCGTCCCGTATCTCTCCTTCCTCTCGATTGCTGACTTTACGCAGTATCTCACGGTCCAGTCTGTCTGTACAACGCGACATCCTCGTCATGCCACACAAAGAAGCCGAGTCAACCATGCCAACGAGACGAGGAAAAGTGCCATTGCACTCATCGATATATCAGACAAGTACAGAAGATCCACCACCATATGGAGCACAGCACCGCCAGGATGCACTGGAAAGGTGAGCAGCTGCCTTGTGAAACCTACCAGCTTACTCAATTAGAATCAGGCGGGAATGAAGCGCTTCCTCCTATGTGGCGACAGTTTAAGGCGCCGGGTAGTCCAATAGTATATCAAGATGACACGCTGTTGATGGTCTCGTTCAAGCGACTTTAGCAGGAGTGCAACTAGGTGAGGGATGAAATTGCGACAAGGAGCGACGAACTCACCATTGAACATAGGATATCCCGGGTGTCTCGCTGTTCCTGGAGGGGAATGGCACATTTACCACTCGGTCGGTCCTACTTTGTTGACCACAATACTCGGACCACATCGTGGAAGAAACCAAAGCCAGAACGACCGGCAGGAAGCTTGATGCCAGAGTGCGTCATCGAGGGTCACTCCGAACGCATATGGGGCCTTGCCTACTTGGGTACCAGTGGCAATATACTGAGCACGTCCTGGGATAGTTCGATTCGTCAGTGGAAAAGGGATGGAGAGGCAGTGGGAATACCTTTGCATAGCGATGGGGGAGGGATAGGTTCGATGGTAGTATCCCCGGATGAAACAATGGCCATTTGTGGGAGTAAAGACGGCAGACTGAGGTTGTGGAATATAAAGGAGGGCAGCATGATTGGCGACCCATGGGAGGGGCATAATGCTCCAGTGACATGCCTTGATTGGTCTCGCAATTCCCTGGAGATAGTAAGTGGATCGTTTAATGGCACCATACGATGCTGGAATCCGGATACTGGCCGAGAAATAGCACCACCCATAAAGACCAGCCACGGATGGGCTGTCGCCGTCAAATACTCTCCACAAGGCGACAAATTCATAAGCAGCGGTGCGGACGATGTGATCCGCGTGTGGTCAAAGGCCGGCAAGCTGCTTATGGAGATCAAGGGACATGACGATGTGGTGACATCATTGTATTGGTCCAAGGACGGCACACACATCTTTTCTGCCTCAGTTGATTGGACCATCCGAAAATGGCGGGCGATTGATGGGCAACTTATCGTTCTTCGTGGTCACACCCACGCCGTCAGATCCCTCTGTCTTACTCCCAATGAAAGATTCATTGTTAGCGCATCAGCTGACTTCTCCATTCGCATCTGGGATCTCGAGACCAATCAGGCAGTTGGAAATCCACTCTTGCATTTTGACAACATCTATGCTGTTGTCATGTCCCCCGATGGAAAATATATTGCCAGTGCTGGACTAGACAAAAAAATCTACGTGTGGGATCTAGAGGCGGCGCTCAAAAACGTTGTGGTACGCATGCGCTTTGTTGTCCAATTTTCCTCCCTAACGGGTTTCCCCCAGGATGATGGCAATGTACAGCTCAAGGCAAGTATTCTCTACCTCTCTTTCGCACTACATCTCACTTTTTACTAGGAACGTCCAGTCCAACCGAGAGTTGTGCGCCCGCCAATCGTGAGCAACCCCACCTTTTCTCATATGTCTTGTCCTTTGACCCCCGTCTTGCGTTTAATCAGCAGGCCAAAAAAACAGGACTGGCAAGATATGTCAGTGTAATTTCTTGTTTTTGACCTTCTCGCCTGACACCAAGATACAGGGCAATGATCTCTTTGGCGACGAATCAGACCACGTGTCTCATCATGTAGCTCCTCCCGCAAGCCTATCGTCCCTGATCCGTTGGCGTCGTTTGTTCAGTTCCATACATTTCGGCACACGACCTCTAAATGCATCCCAACCAATCGAACGACAGTCCCGACATTGGAATTTCAACTTGAGGTTATTTTCTGGAGGACATTCCACGCGCACCTTCGATGTACTCCTTGCTCAAGATGAAGATGTGAGTGACTTATCCCTCCAATTTCGTCTCATTAAAATACAATGCAGAGATATGGCATTGTCCCTGAAACTGATGCAGAAGCGGCTGCAGCTATGCAATGTACGAACAGCAATCAGGTGAACAGTGCAACGCAATCAAGTCAACTAGCAGCAGGTGTACAGGAGTCTCAAGCACAACCAATCCAAACAGAAGCACAAGGCTCAACTGGCGGAGCGGAAGACTTTGTGTATACAGGAGTGACCTGCTGCGGATGGTTCTTTGGTCTCCATCGTCCTGCTTCAAGTCCTGCTTCGCATCAGTTATGAAGAATGGAAGACATGTGGCACGCGCACACTTAGTTCAGCTCTCTTTCCCCCGCACCTGTGTCTAACATCAATATTCGACGCCATAACTATCATCCACGCACTTGGATCCATCTCTCATCGCGCACCTCCTTTCCCTCGCGCTACTTTCCTTGGATCCACACCGCGTGTTGACAACACTACCGGGGAAGTTGGCCCCATTTTCTGGAATGCAGCCCTTGGTGATGCAACGACCTTCTGCGCGGGGGGTGTAATGCCTTTTCTCTGCAGATCTGTCTGTAAAGTTGATGTTTTGATGGTCGTTCAGTATTCAAATCTAGACTTCCGCGTTCCTCTTTTCTCGCGAGTACTTACTACCCATGGTAACCCAAGCACCTACTCTATCGCCATTTGTAGATCACTATATGGTATCTCTTCAAACGATTGCATGCAAGAGAGCTGGATTTGAGCGTTTTGGTACATCCAGAGCGAACCTGTCTTAATGATTATGATATAATGTGACAGGCTATAGCAAAATACATGAAGTGTCAAGGGTGGGTCGGAAAACACGTCAAGTTGATAACCCTGAACCAAAATGTAAGCTCTTGAAAAACGTCACTACAAGATGATGTCTACCTCAGCGTTACAAAGAAAATAGCTCTGTATGTAGAGCAATCCCGCCCACGTCCGCACCCACTGTCAAACCCAATCGTTACTGCATTCTGCACATCTCTCGTCAAGCTCTCTGAGCCATGCCGTGTAGCCTACATCAGGGTTCTTCCGGTCAATGAATCAAGGTCACGACGGACTGCAATTTGTGGGAAAGCTGGTGAAGTTTATTGGCGTTCATTTGAACACGACTTCAGCTTTGATATTGAACGTTCAAAACACTCTCCTTGTTAAGACGAGAAGACACTATCAACGCCCAGCGGTGTTGATTACAGCAATATTGTGCAGCCAACATCAAGGGACTTCTGTATCAACATACGTTCCCGTCAGTCATGCAATCATTTGTCACTACCGGTAGTGCTTTGCTTGGGAGTGCTGCTATGTACTATGCAGCGTACAGATTCGATGTGTATGCACCACCTCAAACAAGCATCATATTATTCCACTCGGTGACGAGACGGTACATGACAGACTAATGTACATTTGAACCAGACGAAGGTAAGTATTTGATCCGTAGTAACACAGCGATTGACATGCGGTGTCAGCGGCCCGCAAGGCGCCTGCAACTACAGCATGCAAACATAAGAAATATAGTCAGATTTTTCATGTCTGCTTCAACTTAAAGTTCAATTTCCATGTAAAACTTTGGAGAAAACTTGAAGTTTTACAGATGACATGACATTAAAACTCGATTTAAATGTCAAGCTTTGGCAAAACTTCAAGTTTTCTCCAAAGTTTTATGTAAGAATCAAACTTTAAATTGAAGCAGACATGGAAAATCTGATTATATTTATTATATTTGTTGACATATTGTCTGTGGGAATATGGTTGTGAATATTTGATATTTTGGATGACACACAAAACACCACCAAAATTTGAAGTCGTGCACCCATCTTTATGTTAGTTTAAATATCAAATATTGTTTTCACATTTTGTACAACATATAAACCTCTTTTAAATATCGTTCACCCCGATGTGTCACCCAAACAGCAGGCTTCTTCATCACTTTCGCCCCGTATCTGTCCTTCTCCTCGATTACTGACCTGGCGCAGTATTTCACCGTCCAGTCTGTCCGTACAACGAGACATCCTTGCCATGCCACAGAAAGAGGCCGAGTCAAGCATGTCAACGAGACGAGGAGAAGTGCCATTGCACTCATCGATATATAGGACGAGCGCGAAATATTTACCACCATATGGTGCACAGCACCGCCAGGACGCACTTTGTCGGCTTTATGGTCAGAGAATTTTCATACAATACTGTTTACCTCTTTGCAGCTCATTCGTTCCGTTCTGCTACGGCTCGCCCTTACAAGATAATTTAGGCTGCACGAAGATTTCATTCACTACGTTTACAGTGTACCCACTGGAACGGGCATGGACTGTAAGGGAAACCAAGGTCGATACTCTATAGCGGGAGGGTACAGCTCCATCTCACATCGAGGACCGACTACAGCAACACAACGTTGGACTACCGACTACGAGCCAAGATTCTTGGCGCTCCTGAGGACCTGCACCAGATCACCCTGGTAAATCTGCCACTCCTGCAAATGCAGCTGTCCGCGGTTGCACCATGAAAGACGAATGTGAGGGAGTGCGAGGAGCCGCGCCAGACTACCCTGGTACAACACGCTCTATGCTATATTGCTTGCCCATTTACTTCCTGCACGATAAAGTGCGCAAGTCAGAACTCAATGTGAACTTGAAGCATTACTCGACGAGGGTCATTCTGCCTCATCCAGCATTATCATCTCCTCGTTTTTTTTTTTTTTTTCCTTGTTTATTGTCCGGTGGGGCTGGGCCCTATGCTGGACAATACCTACAGTGTATGTACTCTGTGTCTAGTGTTCGTATGTGCATAGTTTCTAAGTGTGTCTATAGTACTGGTCCAGGCGGGTGCGAGGACGATGGGCGCCTGTTTAGACGCGAATTGGTATACATATGGCTTCTAGTCCTGCCTTGCTCGATGCGGTGGTTCTGATCATTTTGGGGGGGAGACGTCTCCGAAGGTGTTGATGAAGCGGCGGGTACAAGCAATGTACTTGAAGAGGGGTTTTATGCATTTGGTGTCGTTCAAGAGATGCTTCATTTGATGTGCCTTGGAGCCGAGTTCTGTTTTTAGGGCGAGTCTCTGTCTTGCGTATGTCGGCAAGCGAGCAGATAATGGTGTACTGATTCTTCGCGCTCTTGGCAGGATGGGCACAGCGGTGAGGGGACTTTGGAGATTCTATGAAGGTGCTTGTTCAGCGGTATGTGGCCTGTTCGTAACTGAATTAGGAGGGATGCATGGCGTCTAGGGAGGTTGTCGGCAAGGATTGCGAAACGTTTGGAAGGGAATAGTGGGTCTATTTCTTTGAACCTTGCGTATCTTGTGGACTGATGGAGGATTGTCTTCGTTTCTGTCATGATAGCTGCCCGGAAAACTTGCTTCAGCGCTGATTTGCTGTTTGGGAGGGAGATAAGGTTGTTTGCGGTGCGGAGGGATGGGGGGAGTTTATGGAATTCTGAATTTTCACCTCGAGCAGCGCGCTTTGCTTGTTCATCTGCGGCTTCATTGCCGGGGATTCCTATATGGCCGGCTGACCATCGAATGATAAGTTTTCGATCTTCTCTCCTCGACAGCAGGCGGCGGAGGTCGTCGTGGAAGAGGTCTAGCAGGTAGTGGCCTGGTTTCGATTGGAAGCCTCCTGTTGCGCGAATCGCTGCTTGGTTGTCCACGCCAAGTGCCATTGTGGGTCTGTCTCTCCTCCTCCTCGTCTTTTCCTTAAGAAGCTCCACCGCCAGAATCATTCCAACTATCTCCCCTTCATACACCGTATGTTCCTCGGTCTTTCCTAGGTAGAATCTTCTCTCATCTACTACTTCGTCCCCTTCCATGAGTACCGCTGCCCCTCCTATTCCTCCGTCAATTGCTGATCCATCTGAATACACCCTTATGTCCTCGTCCGCTACTAAATCCTCCAAGTACGCTTCGTCCGGCTTATCTCCTCGTCAGACTCCATTGCCTCCTGATCTAAACAGATGGCTCGTCGCAGTTAACTTCTTCACTCCTCGAAGCCGTGCCCGCCAGTATAGACCATTACGCCATCCAGCCACCTAAACAATGCTTAAAGAATACCAGTCGCAGACAGCGCAGACTTAAGCAGCTGCTCGTCTGCAATCAGCCTCTCCAAGCATATCAAGGAATACCTTGCGTACGATGCACATTCACCGGGTCACCGGGAAGAAGGGCGAGTAAGGAGGTGAGGCGAAGAGGCCGCGCGTGGAAGTTGGTATTAGAACAGAATAGTTGTGGGCGCCGACTGGGGCTTAAAGGTATTCCAGACGTTAGGACTGTGTAGAGAGCCACGAAGACGAGACCAATCGCCGTCGCGTATATCTTTGAAATTAATAGGCTCAATCACACATTGCAATGCTTTGCGGTGCCATTTCAAAAGGATTTTGGTTTGCAAGGGTTAGCAGGATATCAACATGTCGTGATCAACTTAGCTGGATAAGTTACCAGGGGCACAGTGCTGCCGTTTTCGGGTGGAGATGAGCTCTTGCTGGCACCTGGTGATATGATACCTCGAGGCAGGAACAACCCACCTTATGTGCAATGTTCAGAGCCTTCTTGAGCTAAGAATATGGTTGAAAGATGAAGCGGAAAGGCCGGAATCAATCAATTAAAACACATACACGAAGTGGTAGCACTGAGAACGCAGACAGTACCTGATGTTGAATTGTCGCAAATCCACATTTTTCAGGATGGAGCACGATAATGATGGGAGGAAGGCCTCGTGCACGTTGAAGATGGTCTCACTTACGAGTGGACACGTCAGTTGTGAACACAGAAGAGGCATACACGTGTTTCGACAGCGCGTTGAATTACATGTGTTCCCATCGTGGATGATGAATACCGGGAATTCAGTGATTTGGCCGTTATCTGCAGCTCCCAGTTGATGGTTGCCTTGTCCCTCCCTCCAGGTGACTAGAACCGTGATGATAAGTTGGCAAGGATCACGAGATTGGCATTTAAGACATCCTAACCAGCAGATGTGATGCTATTGCACACCCGACCGAGGAATGAACCTCTATAGCCTATTTAAGAAGAGTCCGTACAACCACCAAATCCGTATGCTACTTTGCGCCTGAAATCCAATTTTTTGTGTACTTGGGCAGCTCCATTTTAGTTAGTGGTAGCATCGGTATACGGGGTTTTGGCAAAACCGACGCGGGAGTGGGAGACATCGTACACAGAGTAGAAGCGCTCGAGGAATGCGTAACCATTAACGAAGTCAAACCCTTGGCCACTTGGCGTACCAATGTCGGTAACGACGAGATACAAGGCATTGCTACTACCACCAAGGGCGGTGTTTAGAACACGAGGCCAGAGTTGGCCGTTAGGGGTGAGAGCGTAGGTTTCCTGTGCAAATAGTAAACAAGGGATGTGAGGACTGACAGAAACGGCGTACGCTGCCAATATTGAAGTTCAGGTTCTGGAGGGCTCCGTATTGGGTAGAGGAAATGGAGAGAAGACCAGTCGCCGCATCTAGGATACCACCTGTCAAAGACTGGTACTGGTCAAAGGCATCTATCTAACGATTAAACCATGATTACTCGTTGCACTCGAGATACACACCGGTGGCGATGTTAATAAAGGTGGTTCCAGTATCGACGATACCAGCAGTGGAGGACAAGATTGTCGTGGAACCGTAGGAAATGCTCTGGTCGATACCCCAATAGGTCGATGAAGGGTTGGTCTGAGTGATAGGACTGAAACACAACAATTGCCATCAATCTAGATTGATATAGGAGCTGAGGTAGCTTACTAGTATGTGATGGGGCCGACGTGCCCGTCAGCGATAGTTCCACCAAAGGTGAGCTTTCCATTGGTGACTTCCATCGAAGTGGTGGGCTCGAAAGAGATACTAACAAACTCATGATGAATGGTGCCTTGGCTATGCAGGGTGTCAGTCACAGTCGGGATCGTCGTTGACGGTTCATCTACTAGGGTACCCGCTGTCAAGTCTACAGGCCCGATGCCAAGGATACCGTCAACACCAGGAAAGCCCGACGAATCAGCAGCAACACCAATCGACTGATTGGGGATGGTGATCCCACCGAGAGTCAGAGTGTCGGTGTACTCAGTTCCTATAGATAATCATGATTATTTTCAACAACTTATGATATCTTTATATGTCATACCAGCGAAGTAGCCAGAACCGTAGCTGACCAACACAGACTGACCAGTGTTGACGCTGGTTGTGGTTGCCACGTACCCAGTGGTGGCGCCAACCCATGTGTTCGAACTACCAGTGTCGATAATCAAATTGTCTTCAATAATACATCAGCAACTGCACATTTTCTCAGTGTTGAACTCACAGGTTGTGGGGGGGCTGCCAACTCCAACTGCTATGAGGTATCCATTACCAGCATTTGTCACAGGAGTGCTATGGCCGCTGCGCCTCAAGGTGGGGTCCTTGAGGGTAGCCATGCGATGTCTATCCTGCTGCAAGAGGTTAATAGCTCCATTGGAGACATTTAACCTTCTGGCAATGGGGAGGGTGATGGGGGAATTGACAACTTCAACGGGCGATGCCGTGATTGACAAAGCCAGGGGGATAATTGTCAACAAGGATGCAGCGGGGAACATGGCTGACTCGAAATTAATGTCATACCCAGCGGTCTGTTATATATGTGCTGGCGAAGTTCGAACGCGAATATTGGGCACCTTGGCCACGTATGAAACGTTCCTTCTCGCAACAGTGATGACGACATATTGGCGGTCCGAGGTATTACGAGTGCAAGGATTCGACTTGCTGATAAGACAGCAGTGACAAGATTTGTTTTTTTAATCCAAGGTGGCATTACAATTTGCTTGTTTACCTATGGTCCATTGGTTCATTGACTTACCCCACGCTCATTTCCGTAGAGACCCTCGCTCATCAAGAATACACCTCTGCAGAACGTCAATGTCAGGTCGGTGTTGCTGAGAAGAACAGTTGTCCCCTGGTTGCCCCGGGCCTATCAACGATCGAGTTGTTGAATTGAGGTCATTTGGGATGATTTGCCAAGTCGGCCCGAAACCATGACAGTATTAACAAGATGAAGCAGTGACGAAGCTAGCCATTTTATGAAGCACGTTGGCTGGTTACACATGGTTCAATAATTCATTTATGCAGATGAAAAAACTTTGCTGGAGGTTGCATGACTACAGAGTTGGTGCCTCGACGACGAACGGAATCATTGCACTGTCCTGTAGCGGCGCACACCAGTCTCAGGCTCCTATCGGGAATCAACAGACATGGCCCAGATATTGTCTAAGGGACAGGAAGTCTCGAAATGATTCATGGTCTCCAAGTGTTGTCCTGAGAATTGGAAGTCCACTGACAGATTAATTTGTCGACATTGGTTTGATGAGGTGGTGGAGGACGCGGCAACTTCCTCATAGACCTGTTTTTGTCTCACGTGACAAGCTGCTACTTAGCAAAATCGTTACACCAAAGAAAAATATCTTTATGACCTTGCTCTGCAAGGTAACGATACACGATTGAAAACCTACTTATCCATGTGGAGTTACAAGCATGAAACTGTGTACTACGAACAAAGACACTTACCATGGCTCCTTTGCGCTCCATCCCCCGGCCGCGTTGCTTTGTTCACTACCACTCAAATAGTCTCATGGAGTGGCGTATTTTCAATACCTTCTAGCCATCTGGTTACAAAATATGCTCTCTTATTCGCGCGAGCCAAGGCAAAACCCACTGCAGGTAAGCATAGGCAATGTATCATCGTCAAAGTTTACCGAGCCATCCAAGCCCATACAGAATGATAATAGTATCGAACAAGTAACCCGTTCCGTGCCTCTACCAAAGTATCGAGTTGTGTTCGTCAGCCCACTTGGTAATTCCATGATTTTATCCAAAACACCAGTATCACTGATAAAATCCAGTTGGTGCAAGGTCCAAAATAGCAAAGGCGTTCTGTCCAACGCCAGCTGACAGGCACCCAATGGACAACAGAAAGTTCCGTGAGTGCCCGATGGGACAGAAACATTATTTGTTCATCCGCTGATCTCAATTTGTGCTGCAGCTCGCATCAGGGAATGTATAGTGGATGGTGAACCAATAACGATCGAGTTGATCGACACCCTCGGTCCAGGCGATGCGGATTACTACTTGTGCGTTACGTCTCTGTTTCGTGGCTTATAACACCGGCCAACATCATATATGTATAGCGAGAAAGGCCTCATGAACTCATACATTGAGCAAGGAGACGGGTTTCTTTTCATTTACTCTGCCGAAAATCGCAAGTCACTGGAGCTAGCGAAAGAGAATTATGGTTGGGTCGTGAGGAGGAAGCAGCATGAACGAGACAATGGGACGAACCCTATTCCTGGTATGCTCGTGGCAGTAAGGGTCGAAGAGGAACACAAAGCGATGTGGATGGAAGTGACTTGGGAAGGTGAGACTGTCGAAGTGTGCCAAGGAAATGGCTGACAGATGGTGTGGAAGAGGGAAACAAAGTTGCGGAGGAAATGAATCTAGCATTCATGCAGGTATCGCTCAAGAACGGACGCAATGTGGAGGAGGTGTTTATCCATATAGCTAGATTGATCAAGAAGTACCAGGAGAGGGTGAGTCGAAAGATTGCTGTACGTGACATAGCTGACAAGGCATGAACAGAAGAAGCGCATTTCGTGCATGCATTGGGCGTATTACGACCAGAAGATACTGGATGACCGTTATGAGAAATTGCAGGCGAAGAACGAATGCAAACATATAACAACTGCAAGAGAGAGAGAAATGCTTGGGAAAGTTGATTTTGATGCCGAGTTCGAGAAACAGCAGCGAGCTGGATGCTGCGCAGGGTGTACAATTACTTGAGGGTCAAGGGAGGTCGACCATTGTATTTACCAAGTTTTATTGTTGAGGTTCGGAATGTCGGAGGGCCTCGCCCCCGTGATCGAAACATCATTATAAAGGACAACAGTGTTTTTTTTTTCAATATTGTCCAAGTGAGATGTGCTGCTCAGTGCACGAATGTTGCTTGCATGATGAAATTATTAATTAACTGTGGTTTCGCCGAGGCCCCGGCCGCCGGAGATCAGATTATCTCTAATGATTAGTAATCGGGCGGGCGTCAGCCGAATTCAATTATACTTCTGTAACTTGAACACGCTGTCTTCTCGATTTCACTTTCTGAAAGCCCTACGGGCAATTCCTCTCGCAGCCGCATCTGTATCCCTTCCAGATCGCACATACTCAAGAATGGCCCCACTCGCAAACGCTAGTGTCCCAAAGAGCACAAAGATGCATTCAAAAGTCGTCTGTATCATTTACTTTGGTTCCATCATTCCCCAGTACTCACCCATGGGCAGGTCATCATCGGTTCAGGTCCTGCAGGTCACACCGCCGCCGTCTATCTTGCGCGTGCGAACCTCAATCCTGTCCTCTTCGAGGGCTTTATGGCAAACGGTTTCGCTGCCGGTGGTCAGCTTACAACGACCACAGATGGTGCGTACACGCCTTATTCCACCCGTGTCTTCACTATATCTCTTCTCTCATCGCAGTCGAGAACTACCCCGGCTTTCCATCCGGCATCCTTGGCCCTGAGCTCATGGACAAATTCCGTGAACAATCCATTCGCTTTGGTACACAGATCATCACAGAGACCGTTTCCAAGATCGATCTCTCTGCACGCCCCTTCCGTTACTGGCGAGAGAGTCAGGAACACGAGGAACCAGAAACTGCTGATACGATCATCATCGCAACTGGTGCGAGCGCGAAGAGGCTAGGACTCAAGGGCGAGGTCACATACTGGCAAAGCGGCATCAGCGCATGTGCAGTCTGCGATGGTGCCGTCCCCATATTCAGAAATCAACCACTGGCTGTTATTGGCGGTGGTGATTCTGCAGCAGAAGAAGCCACCTGTAAGATCTCTTGACTCTCTTACCAAAGACAGTCCAATAACCACACTCTAACAGATTTGACAAAGTACGGCTCTCACGTCTACGTCCTCGTCCGCCGCAGCGAACTCCGTGCTTCTAAAATTATGGCCAAGCGTCTCATGAACAACCCTAAGATCGTGCGTTCCCTCTATCACCATACCCACCAATTGCTACAACTCACACGCTTGCACAGACTATCCTGTGGAATACCGTCGCAACCGAATGTCAAGGCGACGGCGACCTCCTCAATAACCTCCGCATCAAAAATGTAAGCACAGGCCAAGAACGCGATCTCCCCGTGCGCGGACTGTTCTATGCGATTGGGCATGAGCCAGCTACGGCGCTCGTGCGTTCGCAACTGCAAACAGACCCTGATGGCTATATCATCACTGTCCCTGGAACGACGCAAACAAGTGTCAGGGGCGTGTTCGCTGCTGGTGATGTGCAGGATAAGAGGTACAGACAGGCTATTACTAGTGCAGGGAGTGGATGCATGGCTGCCCTCGAAGCAGAGAGGCTTATTGCGGAGGAAGAGGAGGGTATAGAGGAGGATTAGAAAGTGGGGAAGAATTTAGATGTATATACCAACGCAATGATTTCTCCATTCACTATTCAAGCAACGGCGTTTTGGATTGCTAGAATTGGACGGCAAGCTTGAAGAAGACTGGTTCTATCTACTGTTTTTTATCGACCAATGATCAAAGACTTACTAATGGGACCCACCAAAGACCCACACGTACCCACACATACTAGCACGACAAGATCCCCGCTGATCTCAAAGATGCGCAGTCCTAGCGTTACCCTCTATTCTGGAAGTTCGTAGACTGAAGGAGGTCCCTTATAATACATGATGCATGATGCATCGATGTTCGGTGCATGACGAGCATATTATAATAGACTGAGATTTTGTGTCAACTAATTGATTGACCATATCTTGTACGAGAGGCTAGCGGATCCTCAAGTGTCCAAATCAGTTTTAACAATTCGTCCCTCTCGTAGCTACTACATGCTATGGCACAGCTTGCTATCATCTCCACGAAATGTCTAGGGAAAATATGGTAATAAACATCGCACGCCACCAACACGCTGCGCATGTCTGGCTGGCGAGAGAAAGCAGCGTGGAACCGGTTTGTTCACCCCGATCTCTCATGCCAGCCGACATACTCACCGCGTCGGTCAGAAGAAAAGCAACAACTGATTCAGGATCAAAGACGAAACTGTCCTGAAATCAAGAAATTGGCAATGGGCCAATTCTTCCCGAGCAGTGGCTACGACCAAGTTTACTGTTATGAGAAGCAGTGAGGTTTAGTTTGCTTGATTTTTTGTTGCAAACGTACCAATGACAACTGAGCATGATAGAACATTTGGACAAGAAGCACGTTGGGGTCTGGGGATGGTTGAAGGAGAGAGTTGACGGAGGGCGTGCGAATACAATTTTGAACTTAGTCAAGTTGTCTGTTGGTCTGTCGGAGTCCTCCATCAGGCTGGCATGATTCTCTGATGCGGCGTCTTGATGACATACATCGCGGTGGAAACATGGACGCTGATATATCATCACATCGATGAACTTTACCGCTCTCGTCGCTAACCAGTGGAAGGGGCGTAGCTATTTTGACGCGGTCCTGCCGCGCCTGCCGCGGCCGTGACGCAGCGTGACGCGCATGTGACGCGGCACTGAGCCTTGACGCGGCACTAACGATCCTTGACGCGGCCACTGACGCGCCATTCCTATATTCTACATTCAACTTCCAGATCAAGTTGGATGAGTTCACGACCATTCTTTTGTTATTTTAGTTGCCTCAGAGCCATGTACAACTAGGTATACATAAGCCAATGACTATTTTCTTTTCCTCCCTCTCTGGACCCTTCGAGCCTGTGGAGCACATCGACGTTTAACGGGCGGACATTCTTCGGCCGGCAGAGAAGGAATTACAGCTTCGGATAGCTCGTCTGCAGACTCCAAAGATTTAGCATCAGAGTTATCACTGAATAAGGGGCCGCGCTGTCAATCACATAAGTTAGATATCTATCGAACGGAGCAGGTAGTGTCTTCCTCACTTCAAGTTCACTCTCGCTATAATCTCTTGCAGAAACCCATTCATCAGGAATTCCGAGATACACATTCCATCGCCTGTGATGTTGGCCAGCATCCAAACCCCACTGCTGGTTGCCTGCAGGTCCTGCTTCTTCGGAATCCTCGAACATCCTTGCTTCTAGTGCGGTCAGACACTCGAGGTCGACATCAGCCACGAAGCTATTGGTAGGATAGCTTATCATGAGATCAGCCCAAGCCATCTTTCTCCGAGCTACACAATACTTCGTGTCAAGAGGACTGCGAGTATAACCAGTCACTGTCACTCACGCGAATCTCACGCCTCTTAGCTTGGTCCTGCCAAAGTTCATCCACGAGATCTCCTTGCTCAACATCACCAGGAGGTGATCGATGTGACACCGCAGTCGATGTGCTTGAGCTGACTACCACAAAGGCACGATGCATTGAGTTGTCCCATGATACCAGCCCGGCGGGTCTGCGGACGTGTGACTACCTCACAGGTAGGTTCATCGCAAGTAATGACACCCAGGCAAACACGTCTCGTCTTTTTACCTTGCGACCACACAAGTGCTGACTCTGACCCCCTCTTGTCTCCTCCTCCTGGCTGACAAGCCCAATGTTCACTAAGATTGTCAGTTCTTAATACCTCCTCCCATGTTAATAACCTTTCAAAGTCACCGTCCGGCCATGGGTCCCATAACTCATCTCCACCGCCAGATTTGGGACGTAGGGAATTGGAAAATTGATCCGGACCACGGCGTTGATTTGTTCGGGCTGCAGAGGGACTAACACTTCGGGCACGCAGGCGTGGTATAGACTTTGTGTCCGTGCAGAGTTCGAATAACTCCTGAGTGGTGTTTCATGTGTTGAGGGAGGGGTGGTGGATTTGGACGGAGTGTGCAGGGTCATGTGATGGCTGAGTGGTCTGCACGGAGGCCGGAAGATAAGCTATTACATTGCCTGTTCTATTTGTCAAATCTGAGTTCACAAGGAGAATATGTCGGATGACGCACCTGAACGGTCATAGCAGGGTATGAGGTCCCCAAAACTCAGCAGCGGACCCGGCCGATCTGGATCATTTTGATTCTCTGTCTCGTTGGGATAGAAAAAGTTGAATATATGTTTGATTAATTGCTAAAAGATGATTATAACAAGTTTACTCCGTATTTTAAAGAACTCACAAAGGCCATGATACGATTCACAAAAGCGCGATAATAAGGGTTGTTTCTCGAGCCCAGAGGAGACAACGAAAGAATGCTCAGTAAAATAAATTTATTACTGCCTATGGACAATTACAGTGTACGACGTCTAATTCTGTCAGGATGAAAAGGAACACTGTTGGAATATCAATTATTATGACAGATGTAAAGTAAAATATACCTAAGTTATACGGACAGTGTGACAGTTGAGGTGGTGAGGTTTGACGCGGCATGTGGAGGTGGTGAGGTCTGACGCGGCATGTGCTACTTGTGACGCGGCATGAATGAAGTTTGACGCGGCAGTGACGCGGCGTGACGCGCGGGTGACGCGGCAGTGACGAGGTTTGACGCGGCGTGACGCGCCTGTGACGCGGCATGGAGGAGGTTTGACGCGGCAACTGACGCGGTATGTGCTATGGTTGACGCGGCACTGTAGTAGGCCTTGACGCGGCATAGAGTGTGGATGTTGATATTAGTACAGAGACTGCGAAGATATTTGGGAGAACTTGTCGTGGTGTGAGTAGTGCTTGACGCAGCCTAAACGAGGCTTCCGACATGCCATGGTTGGGGCTCGACGTGTTGGTGCAGGGTATAGAGAGGGGATCAAACTTGGCAGGGTGAGGTCGAAGCTTGACGCAGTGAGACAACATTTGACACTGCATCTGAAAACCAACATAGATGAACGAATTAGAGGTAATGCAACAATATAGGACTGACGCGCAAGATGCATACTAGTAGTATGAACGCAGAGGACAAGCACTGTAAATTTGGTGAGAGGTGAATACAGCACTATAGAGCCTGTACGCAGGCAGACACTCATATGTTGATCATTAACGATGATTCAAAGTGTTTGGAATGCGATATGAAGTTGTGTAAACATGATCTGTGAGTAGGAATTTGTTACAGTGCCGCGTCACAGGCGCGTCACGACCGCGGCAGGCGCGGCAGGGCCGCGTCAATTTCACCTGGCCCCAGTGGAAGGTGCTACACCAATGCGTGTGCAAGATCTGGTGCAACAAGACACGTACTACTAGCCACTAGTATTCAGGCCACGGCGTTGTGGAATGGTCAACGAGCGCTCGAAGAAGACTGGTTCTATCTGCTGTTGTTCTATCGTCCAATGATTGAAGACTTCACCTTCACTGATACGATTCGAAAGTACCACCATAATGATGATCCCAACGGATATCAATTGAAAATGCGAAGTTCCAATTGTAACATAAGTTGCCCTCTATTTCCCTCCCTATACTGCAAATGTCCCTAAGCATATACATCGTTTACAGTGCATGAGGAGCATAGTAGATTCTGTCGAGTGATCAGTTGATCGCAGGTTGTCGATTCTCTTGTTTGTGGAGGCTAGCTAGCGCCCCGTATATCCTCAAGTGTCCGAATCAGTTCGCCCCTCAACTTGTTACCGTCAAAGCTTGTAACCCTCGTGCGCCACCAACACGCTGCGCATGACGGCTGGCACAGAAACCAACGTGAGGCCGGCTCACCCTGATCGCTCGTGCCAGCCGACATACTCACTGCGTCGATCCCAGGAAGAGAAATTACCAATTCAGAATCAAAGACGAAACTGTCTTGCCATCAGGAGATCAGGAGACCAATAGGCCAATCCTCCCTGATCAGTGGCTACGACCAAACTTACTGTCATTTACTCAATCGTTTGTTGCAAGTGTACCGGCGGCGAATGAATGATCCAGGGAGATGAACAAGAAAGGAGATTGCTGATGGAGTCGACAGAGAGTCGATGGAAGGCGTGCGAAAATAATTTTTGACTCCATGCCACTTACTTATTTCTTGGCTGTTATGTCCAAGACTCGGAATTCTGTCCCCCATTAGGCTCAAGGGTTTGTGGGCGTCTTGATAACACACACCTGTGGTACATCGAAGCGGAAACACAGACACCGATATTATTGATGAACTTTACCGCATCCGTCACTGGTCAGTGCTAATGTGTGTCACAGTGTGTGCAAGATCTGATGCAGAAGGACGCACTGTACGATATCTGGACAATGATGAGGCAATGAGGCATCCATATCATTTCAGGGTCGAGACCAAAGGTGGCACTATGAGTCTGATCACGTTGCCTATCACGCTGCGCAAACTTGAAGTTGTACGGAGCGCAGCGAAGAGGTTTGGCGGAAGTTTCGAAGCCGAGGTTGTGAGTATGTTGCTAGGATGGAGGGTTGATTGAGGAATGTTGAAGCTAGACAATTAAGTTGACGCACTTTGATAAGCAGACTCCACAGGTTGCTTTCCCGCTCACGGTGCATTAAACTTTGATCCTGCAGGCATGATCTTGTTTGGGATCTAAATTACTCTTCAAGCAAATGCCCGTGTATAGCCTCAATCATTATATCGATGGGCACGCGTGCGATGGCATGTTGATGCTTCTGTCAGTTTGCAGGACGAGCGCTTAGGCAAGCTTTATTAACCTGGCTGGATTCCCGAGTCACCCTCACTACACTCTTCTTTCGTCCTAGCAACATGCCTGAAGATTCGACGGAATATATCATTAATCACGTTTTTTGCCCCCTCAAATTACCACAAGCAAGCGATCATACCCTTGAGAACGAGTTGGCCTTATCTCTGGCGGTATTGGATGCTGCTCAAGCTTTCAACAAACAGCTACCGTCCGATAAGCAACAGCTTTGGGCGAGCAGCTTTAAAATGCTCCAGAACCTTCACCATTCAATCAGATTCAGCGACATGTCCCCAAAGGAAGTCCAAACTCAGATTAATGCCATGAACAACAAAGGTCTGTAGTTCTCATTTGCATTTTCTCCCGTGCTGAAACTATTATTTTTAAAGACGTCTTGGTATTTATGATTCGCGCGCAAAATGCTGCGGTGGTCATGAGAAAACTTAAATCTGAAACCATATTCGAATCATTCGAGATCTCTCCTGACCCCACCGCAGTGATGGGTGCAAAGGGAAAGCTGATCTGTTCGTATCCTGGACCTGCTATCACGGTCCCAGACACAATTGTCAATGACGCTACCTTTCCTGCCGCGCTGGCGAATTTTCTCACACGCATGGATCATGATGTCCTTGATGCGGCAGCGACGAGGAAAAAAGCTGATTCCACTGTTCCCGAAGAGAGGGATACAACTCATCCCCGGTATATCACCGAACTCCTGACTGGTATACTCCGTGGCCTTGGGAGCATTGCTGATGTTCCTCGCATCCGCAAGCGCATCGGAGATGACGTGCTGTGGAACAACGCGAAATTGCCATGGAGGCGGATCTCCGCTTTGGCTCGTCATTCGCGTTGCTTTACAGACGACTCTGGAGCGCAACGCTCTCGGACGAACGACCTATAAATCATTCTTATTGTTCCTGATGGCTAGGGTCACAAACCTCGCTATCGACAATAACTTGTCGAATGACATCCTACACTTCATGTCGGCAAAGATAGCACGACGTCTTTTCAAGCTTGGAACCTCTGCTTCTCTAGAGTTATCACATATGGTCGTTACAGTCACGAGTGAAGTCAAGCGTATCCTAGAGGGAACGATGGAAATATGTTCAAGGCGTGCGACAAACCTCACCTCATTGGGCTCCCGAGACCCTCTCGGTCTCGCAGGATACTCACCTTTCCTTGAACACGAGTCGAGAGTACATACTCCAAGTTTTGCTGAACCAGCATTCGTCTTCCACATCAGCATCGTTCGAACCCAGTCACCACGCACGCGGCACAATTGATGATTTCCTTGACGCTGATGCAAGCTTCCTGATAGCTTCTCATGCTACAGAATCATCCCTTTCCTTAATCGACTTCGAGACGGTCGTTAGATCAGGCATTGATGACTGGGTAGCGCGTATTTCACTTCAGAGCATCGATTCAGCATGTATCTCAATTGAGGCATGTGCCTCCGCATACTCCTCGCGAGCGCTGGAAACTTACAAAGGAAACCCGGAGGATACGTCAATCATGCTTCTTACTCTTTTCGAGCTCTGGGTCGCCATGGATAAGGTTGTTCTTAAACAAATCCCCCTCTTGGCAAACTATCCCCCTGAAGTTCCATCGACCCTTTGGATGAATCTCCTGATCCGGCAATCCTCAGCCCTTGATCGTTTAAGGAAGTTGTGCGCCTACTTGGAAGAACGTGATTTCCGGGCTTCCAACCGTCTGTCGGTATTCTCGTCCACCAACAATAACGGATCGTTTGCAGTGCAGTATTTTTACCAGACATCCATGTTGCAAAATTTGAAGCAGGAAATCGAGGCAGATGCTCAGAAGGAGCGGGACAAGAAGTTGGCTGAGCTTCGGACCCTCAACGAGAGGTACGGTGAGCTCCAGAGGAGCGCAGCAAGCTTATCACATGAATACCATGTCAACTCCTGGGGTCACGAGTACCACTATCGGTGGTGTAACAAATGTGACCTGGAGCAGCAGATGCGATCCATGACCATTGCAGTTCATGAGTGGCCACTACCGCGGCATGAACAGCAAGCGATCACGGTTGTGTTCGAGCTAGCATGCCCCATTGCGTTTGACATGTGGAGATCTTTGACATTCCATGTTCTCGTTGACATCTGCACTCCAGAACAGATTTTTCCCACTCCCCCCTTCATTACGCTGCCTGATTATGGCGCCTTACAGCAATACCGCAAATCTCATCCAAGACAAAGGCTGACTTTGGCGTCAGAAGCCAAACCTTTCGCTATGTGTCATTACCATTACCAAAATATTCCCACGCATGCCGACCTCATCTGTGTGAACAACGGTCTCGTATATCAACCTTTCGATATAACCACAGATGCATGGACAGCCGACGCACTGCTGCACTGGAATTCTAGTAAACTTTGCACTTTCATTCTTCCCAGGGGGCCATACTATGATCTGCAGCAGTACCTCGCAGGAACGTCGCACACCTCAAATGAGGTTATCGCCAATCAGGCAGATTGTCACAAGGACATGGCCATTCACGAATTTATCGCCTTCGGAGTCTTACGGAGTGGGCCGCTACTGCAATGGATGAATGTGCTACGTGAACTCCGTGCGAGGACGCTCAATTTTCGATGCGAAGAAGTCCATTTATTATTCGCGCAAGCCGTCTCACAAGTTGGCCCAATTTCCAAGTCATCTAATGAGAGCCTTCCGTGGCACGAGGAGCTGAATAGCATACCATTTCTTAACGCACTGCTCGGAGAGCTCGAGTCCTTGATTGCGAACGTCGAAGAAAATTGGCTGGAAGGCGTCACGATAAGCATTATCATCATGATTGTGTGCCGTGTCTTGTCCTCGACACAGGAAAAGAGTATCAAAAGTCGGGGATATTTGTTGCTTCGAAGGATACGAACAGCGACCTTTACGTTTCTGGAACAGCTTTCACAGAAAATGCAAGCCAGTGACGACGAGAAGGTTAGTCGGGATTTGCAAGGACGACTTCGTGATATGGCCATCACCTGTCGGAGCACTTTTGGTGTTGACGAAGATCCTTTGCTGCTCTTTACATCAAATGACGACATCAAGGTATTTGTGTACTGTGGGGTCACGATTTACGACAATACTCCAAGCCACCTGGACAATCTATCACAACATTCCAAGCTACTGCTAGAACGAGACAAGAGATGCTGCCACGCATCGGAAGCCGCTGTTCGTCGATATGTAGAGAATCACAGGGAAGGTCTCGATTCTGCGGTGAAAGCAATATGGGGCAGCTACAGACAAGGAACTTCTTGGAAGACCCTGCCGGCTCCGTGCTCTCGTTGGTTTGTGACGAAGACGGCACCTTCTGGTTCTCAGTCGCCGCAAACTGTGCATTATAACTTAATTGATGGGTGTTTGCTTGTTGATGGGAAGCGGCTGGGTAGGCTTCCATCGACTATAGTGCAACATCCCACATATCAGGCAATTTTCGGTGATGTTAGCTTTTGCAAGTTACGACTCTGTTGGTGCATGCTCACTCGTTAATCACAGCAAGTTCTGGATATTGTTCCAGCTGATATTTCTGGAATGGAGTATGCGACACGCGGGAACCCTTACGGCTATCAGGTTAGTCACCCTCATTGTCATCGCTCAGCAGCTGAGACAATACATTTACATGTCAATGAAGGTGTCTTTTTCTCTCCGCGACTCAAACGACCTCATTATCCGTGCGAAGCATATCAAACAAGACTCGCCTAACCTTCAACTCATTCCGAGCCAGAAATTTGTGGGGGACCTACCGACGACCTTGATAGAAAACCATACTCATTGGCTTAACCTGGACGCATACAAAATAGAGATTCGGCCAGCAGAACGTGCGTGGCAGTCTTCACGTGACAATTGGGTCCTGGAATTTGCTGTTTCGGGCCCCTCGACGCTGCAGAATGCCAGCGGTGCCACTCTTCTCGACGTACGTAGCCCCACGTGGGACATGATCTCCGAGAGAATGCGTCCTCTGGAAGACGCCTGCAACATGATGGTCACATACAACAAGGGCTCCAGTAACACGCAATTGTTGAAGGCTGATTTACCCCGATATGGTCTGGAATTCTTCGTCAATGAGGATGGGGAACTGCAGTCCCGTAACCTGCGCAACATGGTCGTTGATGGCATTCAGTCTACTGGAACGATGTTGGGATTGGTCAATCAACTCATCATGCGTCCGAAGTCGCAAATCATGGATGAGCATCCCCGTACCGTCATCATCCCATATGGTCGTATCTCATACGCTGTTAATGAGCATCACGTCCAGGTTACCATTACGAGTAAAGGCCCCCGAGTGGCGTATCACTTGTACAGGGTTGACACAGATCTATGCTGTCTTACTGGGCGTGTAGGTTTGACGAACAAGCTCTATCAAGCACTTCTCCACGCTGTTACTAGCAGCTGTCTCCCTGATCCCCTGACGGGTCGAACAGGAACAGAGGAAGCGTTGCATCTCATGCATTCTGCGGCTTGCCGGTCTTTTATGAAGCTTCACCCTCGCGATATATATCTTTTGCGCGAGATCAGTTCGTTGTCAACCATGCGCGTATGGTATCCCACACATCTTCAGAAGATGCAGACAGTCTCATGGTCGTGTCTTTCACCCCTCGCACAACACCACGGTTTCCATCCAGCTGCAAAATCTATTATGGAGTACGGCAAGCAACTTGCAGCTTTCTCCGAAGGGTCTTCAGACCTCAGTCTTACATTTCATCTTCCTCCATTCACCAACCACCTTCTCGAGCGTGCATCCATCCGTGCCTCTGCGGTCTACCCTGACCAGTTTTCTCTTCCAATTCTCCTCAGTGACACAGATGTCGTCTATGCTTCACGCGATGTACCCGATAAAAATGCAGAAGAGAGGGCGTTTAATACCGCCTTCATGACACTCCAGTGGCCACACGAACTTCCGGTGCAACAGAATATCCTCAGTTTGTTGACTCGGTGGAAGAACGTCCAGGGCATTGGTGAACCATCGTTCAGCTTGCAATATTCCAAATCTTGGCTTCAGCCATTCCACCACATCTTCCTTTCTGCATATGACCACTGTCGCAGTGCTACGAAGGACGATACATTCCAGCTCGTCTTCACCCTAGCTTCAGTGTCGTATGGCTTGTTGGATGAGCATGCACTCGTCCCAACACTCCTAGCCTTCGCTACTGTTCCCAACATTCGCACCCTGGGTGACCCACCGGAGTTTGCGTCGTATAATCTCTCGGATGGTTTTATGCCTTCCAGTGTAGTGTTGGACAGCATCATCAGTTCGTGTGTCAAAGACTATGAGACCAGCCAAGAGAGATACCTACCTGCAAGGAGAGGGGAAGATGAAAAGGCTCTTGGGATACGTCGTTATTCAGCTTTTGAAGATAGGCGTCGTTCTGAAAAGGATCTCATTCTTCATACCGTTCAGGATGCTTGGCCGCGCGAAAATCCTCCGGCTCTGAATACGCTGCAAGCGAACTGCTACGATCTCAACGAACTGTTGGGGGAACTTCGCCCACTATACCGCAGCTGTTGGGCAAACCATTGTCTGAAGCAACACTTGGATGTCCTGCAAGAGACCCTCAACTCGTTCCATGCCACTCATGCCCCGTCGAAACTACCCTCACAATACGATCTTGATCCCCACCTTCAAAGTTCGGTTGTTGCTTCACCAGCCTCATTCGTTAATGCCAATCACCTCTTCGCTAGAAATCCGCCTGTTATATGCATGAATGGGTCTTCCTATGTTCTGCCCAATTCCGATCAGAGAGATTTGGTATTTTATTTATTTTTATATTTTTATATTTTATATTTTCTATTTTTTGGAGATTTGGTATCTCCAGACACCATAGTCACAGCGAAGTTGCAGCAGCTTATCAACGGCTTTCGCGACCGAGCAAGCAACAAGTTCCGCCGTAACTACGCCAATGATCTGGACCAGAGCAGGCTGGTATTTTGCGAAGAAAAGATTGTTGCCTTACCATATTCTGCGCCATACACGATGGAAGTACTGCGAGAGTACCATTCTCTTCATCGCCTGCAATTCCAAGATGCACTCGAATCTATCGTACGCATCCTCTCCCCTGTCTCTCCCGCCGAGAATGCGTTATACAATGCTGGATTGTGGCCTCGAGTCACACCAAATCTCCTCTTCGCTCGCATGGCTTCTGCATCGGGATGTCGTTTGGAGACGGAGTGGCGTACAGCTCTTGTCTCCCTGTCGCAGATGCTTTTACGACTGCAACGTTCGAGAAGGCTGTTTATATTTGCCGCTAGCAAGAACTGGGGCGAATTTTTCAAGGAATTGGACAATGAAGAATGCGAGCGATCTGATTCGCAGCTGTACCCGGATTGGCTTCTCATACAGGTAAGCTTCAGAGAGAAGTCGTTCATTCACGACTGTTGACGATAAGTGTTGCAGATTGAGAGTCAGTTCTTGGCACGGCCTGTTCAAATGAAGGTTGCGCGGGAGATGATAGCACCCCACGAGGGGCGAAATACTTCTCTCCAACTGAACATGGGCGAAGGGAAATCCTATGTGATCGTTCCTCTCGCAGCAGCTGCGCTTTCCGACGGCCATAAACTGGTTCGAGTAATCGTGCTGAAGTCGTTGTCTACTCAAATGTTCCAGCTCCTGGTTGAACGACTAAGCGGCCTTGCGCAGAGACGCATCTTCTATATTCCATTCTCCCGCTCTCTTTCCATCGATTCATCGAAGGTTCAAATGTATCGTAACCTGATGCAAGAATGCATAGACACCAAGGGCATCTTGCTCGTGCAACCAGATCATATCCTGTCATTCCAGTTGATGGCCGTTGACCGTCAGCTACTCCAGTCTGAAGCTGCTGAAGATATACTGCAGACTCAGCTGTGGCTCGATAATCATACACGCGATATCCTAGACGAAAGTGATGAAATTTTACACGTTCGCTACCAACTGGTGTACACCGTCGGCCTGCAAAGGTCGCTTCAGGGGCATCCTGACAGGTGGACGACTACGCAACAAGTGTTGAGTCTTGTCACAAAGCACGCTACTCGACTCATCAGTAAATTTCCCTATCACTCAGAAGTGTCTATTCGCAAGCACGGTGCATTCCCCTTCATTCGAGTTCTGCACCCCACAGCAGGCGAAGAACTGGTCCAATGGATCGCACAGGATGTCATTCACAGCGGGGCACTTGACAACATCAGCTTCGATCAAGCTCCTGACCGCATCAAACAAGCAGTCCACCAGTTCATTGCAACTGAGAATGTATCCAACATCGATACCAGCTTGGTGACGGAGCACTATAGAGACACCACTGTCTGGCCTGGTCTTTTAGTTTTGCGTGGACTACTAGCATGTGGTGTCTTGGTGTATGCCCTCAGGGAACGTCGCTGGCGCGTGGACTATGGCCTTGCCCCCCAACGAACGATGTTAGCTGTTCCATTCCGCGCTAAAGACATGCCCTCGCTGCGGGCAGAATTCGGCCATCCAGATGTTGCTGTCACTCTTACGTCCCTATCATACTACTATGCGGGCCTCACACTCCAGCAGTTGATGTTATGCTTCGAGCTCCTGCTGAAGCAGGACAATCCTGCTCTCGAGTATGAATCCTGGGTAATTGGACTTCCCTCCGTCCCAGAAAGTCTACGGCGCCTTAACGGAATCAACACGGAATCCACAGACCAGCTAAATGACCTTCGGCAACTGTTCGCAACCAACAAGGCAGTTATAGATTTTTACCTGTCTCGAGTTGTTTTCCCCAAGGAAGCCAAGGGTTTCCCCAGTAAGCTCACCTGCTCCGGATGGGATCTCGCCCAAGAAAAGAATCATCTCACAACCGGCTTTTCTGGTACAAATGACAATCGATATCTGCTACCAAGCTCAATTGTGCAGCGCGACCTTGACTACCAACGCAGCACGAATGCTCGAGTCCTAGCCTTTCTTCTGCGCCCGGAAAATGATCACTACGAAGGCATACCACCCGGCCAAAGCGTGCATAACTTCATTAATACTCTCGTCACAAAAAACCCCGAGGTCCGCGTGCTCCTAGATGTGGGGGCGCAGATGCTGGAATTGAGGAATAAAGAGTTGGCCGAAGCATGGCTTAGAGCCACTTCCAACGCCAAAGCTGCTGTCTTCGTGAATGACGACGATGAACTCGTTGTTGTCAGTCTGGATGGGAGGATCGAGCCCCTTGTGTCGTCCCCTTTCGCACAGCAGCTTGACCAATGCGTAGTGTATTTAGACGATGCCCATACGAGGGGAACAGACGTCAAGCTGCCTCACGGTTTCCGAGCTGCTGTCACGCTTGGCCCCAAAGTTACGAAGGATCGCCTAATGCAAGGTTCGTGATTCCAGAGGTCGTGCATGTCGGTTTTGATATGAATTATTGATGATAAAGGATGTATGCGAATGCGCAAGCTGGGCAATGGGCAATCAGTCATGTTCTTCGCTCCAGCTGAGGTTGACCGGAGCATTCGTTCGGCAACTCAGAAAGCTGATGACGACCCTGTCAATGTGTCAGATATCTTGCACTGGGCGATGCTTGAAACTTGCAATGATATTGAGATGCGCACACTATCCTGGATCCAACAACGATCAGATTTCAATACACGGCATTCCGCATGGACTCAATTCTCGCACACCTCTACCGCTTCAATTTCTACCCTAGAGACAGCCTGGTTGCAGCCAGAGGAACGTTCATTGGAGGAATTGTATGCGCCACGCAGTTCTTCCGAGGTATCGCAGGGTTTCGATTCAGACATCCAAAGGAAGTGCGAGGAGCTCGGAATTCTATCAGTTCACAAAAGGAGCATGGACGAGGAACAAGAAAGGGAGGTGATCCATGAGGTAGAGAGAGAACGTCAAGTGGAAAGACCGCCCAAGGTCGAACCCGCAAAGCCGAACATGCATGCACACGTTCATCAATTCGTGAAGTTTGGCCAAATTGCCGCAGATTCTCCCGCGTTCATTCAAGTGCTATCCAGCCTTGTTGACACTACTGCTGAATTTGATGAGCGCGATCAGTGGGCACACAATGTTTTAGTCACCCGCGACTTCGCTCATACGGTCAACTCTGGTACCCAAAAAGTGGATGATTATCTGCGGCCCGTCAACTGGATTGTATCCAGTAACGTTGGCCACCCAATGCTGGTAGTCATGAGCCCGGATGAAGTGAACGAACTACTACCTGATATCCGCACGAGCAAGGTAGTTCACCTGTGTGTCTACACTCCTCGCATCATACAAACAATGCAGGCATGCGACAACCTTCAACTCTATTGTGTTCCTTCGGCCCCACGGGTGACACCATCGCAACCGCTGATTTGCCAGCTCAATCTTTTTGCGGCCCAGCTCTATTTCTCCGATTACGACATGTATCTGCACACTTGCAGCTTCTTAGGACTCAATGCGCCGGATTTGAAGGGAGAGGATTTGGTAGCCGACAACGATGGGTTCATCAAGATAGACAATCGCCCTTTTGCGAGACTATCATGCATGTTCGAGCGATCCCAGCTTCCTCCATTGAGGAAGTTGTTCGAGATGAGAAGAAAAGGCATGGGGTATCTACCAACTCATTTCGGAAAGATGCTCAATGGCCGCATTCTGACCGAGAAGGACTTTCTCGAATGAACGCCAGGTCTATTTAGTGAGTTTTAGCGCCTCTCTATCTGCCAGGAACCTGGCTGACTGTGGTTCTGGTCACCAGCAACTAGATACGGCACCAAAACTGACATCCGAGTCAATGTAATATTAGCGTCTGTAATGTTCTCTGTAAATGTAGTCGAATCTGAGAGCTCCCAGTCTATGGCTGCCATGTCCTCCCTCCAGGTGACTAGAACCGTGACAGCAAGTTGAAAATGATGACGAGATTGGCATTTCACCATTTTAGACATTCTAAGTAGTAGATATGATACTATTGTTCATCATACGCAAACCCAACTGACCTCCATAGCTACTTGAGAAGATTCCATACAACCTTCAAATCCGTATACTATCTGAAACCCGACCTTTTGTGTGCTTGAACAGCCCTGTTTTAGTTGGTGGTGGCATCGGTGTACGAGGTTGGGGCAAACCCGACGCGGGAGCGAGAGGTATCGAATATACAGTAGAAGCGCTCGGTGAATGGGTAGCCATTAACAAAGTCAAACCCTTTGCCACTTGGCGTACCAAGGTCGTTAACGACGAGATATATGGCGTCGCTACTACCACCAATGTAAGTGTTCAGAATACGAGGCCAGATTTGGCCGTTAGGGGTGAGAGAGAAGGTTGCCTGTGCAAATGGTAAACAAGGGATGTGAGAGCTGACGGAAATGGCGTACGCCGCCAATATTGAAGTTCAGGTTCTGGAGGGCTCCGTATTGGGTAGAGGAAATGAGGAGAAGACCAGTCGCCGCATCTAGGATACCACCTGTTAAAGACTGGTACTGGTCGAAGGCATCTATCTAACGATTAAACCATGATTACTCGTTGCACTCGAGATACACACCTGTAGCAATGTGAATAAAGGTGGTTCCAACATCGACAATACCGGCAGTGGAAGACAAGATCGTCGTGGAGCCGTAGGAAATGCTCTGGTCGATGCCCCAATACTTCGATGCAGGAGTGGTGGTAGTGCGAGGACTGAAACAAAACGATTACTATCAGCCTGGATTGATCTAGGAGCTGAGGTAGCTTACGTGTACGTAATGGGACCGTGCTTGTTACGGACAGTTCCACCGAAGGTGAGCTGTCCATTGACCATTGACTGCGTTGAAGTGGTGGGCTCGAAAGAGATACTAACAACCTCAAGATGAATGGTGCCTTGGCGATGCAGGTTGTCAGTGACAGTCGGGACCAATATATCCGGGTCTTCTGTTAGGGAACCCCGTGTCAAGTCTACAGGCCCGAGGCCAAGGATGCCGTCAGCTTCGCCGAAGTTGCCCGATGTCTCAGTAGCAACACCAATCCACTGTTGGGCGATAGTGAGCCCATTACCGAAATCGAAGGTGTCTGTGTACTCAATTCCTATAGATAATCATAGGTATCTTCAACAACTTGTGATATCTTTGTATGTCATACCAGAGAAGGAGCCGGCACCGTAGGTGACCGTCACATATTCATCAGTGGTGGCGCTGGTGCTAGTCGGCACGTACGGTGTGCGGGCGCCAATCCATGTGTTCGAGGTACCGGTATCGACGATCAAGTAGTCTTCAATAATACATCAGCAGCCGCATATTTCCTCAGTGTTGAACTTACAAGTTGTGGCGGGGCTACCAATGCCAACTGCCACGTAGTATACAGTACCAAGGTTGGCTATAGGAATGCTGTGGCTGTCGTGCTTCAAGTTGTAGTCCTTGAGCCTGAAAGCCGCCACGCGAGCTTTATCATGCTCCAAGGCATTAATGGTACCATTGAGGACACTTAGCCTCCTGGCAATGGGGAGGGTGATGGGGGAATTGTTGACTTCAACGGGCGATCCCGTGATTGACAAGGTCAGGAGGAGAATTGTCAACAAGGATGCAGCGGCCATACTGACTCGGACTCGAAAGCAATATCATACTCAGTGATCTGTTATATATGCGCTGGTGAACCCGAATATTAATCTTGGCCACGTATAAAACGATGACAAAATAATGGCGGTCCGAGTATTGTGAGCAAGGATGCCGAGTTTCCTGATACAACAGTGACGAGAGGTTGGTTTTCAATTGAGGAATTTATAATTCACCTGTTTACCCGAGGACATCCAGGAAACGGCCACTGGTCTGGGGCTGCGGCTGACGCGTGCGGAGCTAAATTCGGAGTTCTGATTATATTTGGTCACGTTTGCAATACCAGTGTGACCCGTCCATTGTGAGTCGTGACCCGCCCTTTGTGATCTCTTGCAGGCCGATCACACTGCGCTCGGTGACATCAGTGCCTGTCATGGATGTCGGCCATCTGTTCAACTCAATAAAAATTCATACAAATGTATTTTGATACTGTACTCTACTAATGCATTGCCTCCCGAGGCCTTTCAAAGTACATATCACAACACGTGTGATCTTATAAGGCCTTCTAATGCATATCAAGCGATCTAGCAAGGCCTCACTCGAGCGTCCAGCGCTAAAGGCGAAGCCTTCCTTACAGTGCGACAGAGGTACGAGAGGGTTCGACAGAGCCTAGAGGTGCGAGAGGGTGTGACAGACAGAGGTATGACAGAAGTGCAACAGAGGTGCGAGAGAATGTGACGGAGGGTGCGACAGAGGATGCATCAGAGGATGTAACGGATGCACGAGAGGGGTGCGAGATGGTGCGGAGGATACCAGTTAGTGTACTAAGAACTTGGGAATGATACGATCACGTACTTAGAGCAAAGCTATTGAAACACACCTGCAAAATTACCAATCTGGCCAGGAATGCGACATCCGCCTGTTGCAAGGAAGACATTGTGATAAGCGCTATCAAGAGTATGTGGGCGGGGGCGGGTAAGAGACAAGTTGGGCGAGGAGGAAAGACAGGCGAGAGAGATGAGGCAGGATGGGTGATGAGTTACCATGATATGGTCCATTTTGATTGGAGCACGAACATAGCATGCCAACTGCATGTGGTGGGTTGACTGGTGGGTGCGTCGGCAGCCATCTACGACAGGCACACCCACTGCTGACAGCAGGCGCGATGGCGGGCAGCTTTGGAATTGTCACAACGCAAGCAAATACAATTCGAACTCAGCCCGGGTCAGCCGCGTTTGCCGAACGTCCCAGACTGGCCAGATCTCTGACATTCACGAGTCAGACCCCCTACCATGAAGGAAATAAATGCATTCAACTTGAAGTCACTTATCGGAAATCAGCGTTCAACGTTCAACAGGCGTCGTAGCATTCAAAACCTATCTATGGCAAGCGAAGGTCATTTCATGACATACCATTCCGGGTCAACAGCCCTAGCAGGGTGACCTAGGCCTGCCCATCATGACGGGTCGTATATGCATAGATCGGGAATTGCTATTGAGGATCAATCACTCATCATATGCTGAATGTATGCTGGTTTCTCATCATGTGCTAGTCATTGCGAAGCCTTTAGAACTGCCGGGACGCTTGTAAGTATGCACTACCAGACTGATATTCCAGGGATAAGCACATCATGTCATTTTAATACCACATGGCGTGCATTACAGAAATCTACAACATGCATGATTGAAACTCTAAGGCGCCGAGCGACGAGAAAGGTCCAAATGATACAATGACACGACAGCAATACAAATGGAAAAACAGCGAGTGATGGCGTGCGGACAGCAACAGACAGCAATGCGAAAGCAAACGAAAATAGAGCCAGTGAATGCGGCGTTCCTGCGGGACATGCGAAATCGTGATACGGTAGAATCGAGTGGTGAACTAGTTTTCAAACAGTCAGACTAGTATGCAAGGAACAAGGAACGTCGTACCAGAGAACGCCAAGTTACTTTCGGCCCTTGCGTTTCTTACCAACGCTCTTGCTGCTCTCACCTGCCTTGGCCCGCTTGCCCGGTTTTTAACGTTTTGCTGGAAGAGGAGCAACTAATTCCGCGTCAGTCAGTGGGCTGTCGCTATCAGCCAGAAACTCCGCAGATGGGCGCTTTTTGGACACTACGCTAAGGGACATAGTGGAAACTGATGCGAGCTTCAGCAAATAGTCAGTAGGAGTCAATGCTCGTGCAGGAGGTAGAGTGAGTGCAGAAGGAACATGAGCACTCGAACTTGAAGAAACATGTTGAGTGGTACGTTTGATGGGGCGAAGTCTAGGAATGGGACTTGCGGGTGGTGACACAATCGAGTCTTCGGGAGGAGTAGTTGGGAGAGAGGATGGTTCCCTTGTTGATGTAGACGCAGTAGTCGAAGCATCCATCATATAGGGACGCTCAAAGTGCGCACGTCGCACATCGAATTGTCATGCAATTTAGAGGTGAGTAGGCTAATCCCATTTGTGCCGACGACCAAGCTCGCAGCAACAAGAAGCGGTGAGGTCGACTCGTTCGAAACGACTAGCCATGCTTATGCCGCATAGTCACCTTGTTTATACAAGGTCACTCTCAACTGACAATTGTGGCTGTGGTGTTCCACAACAATTAAGTAAACATGGTGGCCTCCTACCACATGCATTCCATTTGTTCCCTAGGCTAAAAAAATTCGATAAATGCACAGAGTATGTAGCGACCTATTACCACTCCGCCACCGTTAGGCTGCCAAGCCGTGGCGGAAACAAGGTACCAGCAGTGTAACGTAAAAAGACCTCAGAAACCTTGTCGACTCTAATAATTAGTAAGTAGTACCTCCGGAAAATACTCAACTCAGATATCCTTCAAGTACTTACGGCTCTGCATTCTTCGAATAAACGACAAATGGATTTAATTGGCTGAGACCTTGCGGAAAAAAATAAGGATCAAACTATGGACATATTGATTTCATCACTAGAAAATTGCCCGAAGCGGTCACTACCGCTCAGAATATGGCCTAATTTGGTAATTTCAAAATATCAACATGGCCAGCCCAAACCTCACTCTGCGTACAGCAGGCTTGCACAATAAATAATAGCTAGGATACACTCAACAGGACATACTGAACCAATATATACTACCAATATCAGAGGGAGTGCAGTTACAATGCTCTGTATCTCATTCGCAAGAAAAAGAGCAATGGACTTATTATGTGAGGTCTATGCGGTGAGCGAGGTCTTCACTGAGTTTTTGCTCGTACCTTGCTGTGGGAGCCGAACAATTTCCGAGTAACAGGTCACTAGATTCATCACCGTATTTAAAATGACATCGAAACAACGAAGTTTACGTAAAATACTCCTGCTGCGGTGTGCTACTGGCATGGGTTTGTTTGTTCCTTGATCTGAGTTCCACAGCCTTGTCACTCGTATCACAATCTCCCTTGATCCCTCTACTGATAGACATGGGCGTTGATCCGTGTTGCAACACTTGGCGTATCTTAGCATGAAACTGCCAATGTGTAATTTGTAAACATTGTAACACAGCGGCTGTCAGTTGTGTGTGCTTAAATAGTAAACTTGGGCGTAACTTGAACGAACAACGAGAGTGTTGATTTTCTTTCCACAAACTTGACGCATGATGGATGATCCTACTGCTTTGTTCGTCGACGCTGGCATCCAGGCATCTAAGGTGCGCAACGAGTCGAGCTCCAAATAACTCTGATTAACCCTTACGCCCAGTACTTCAATGGTACGGAGCACGGAGCATATCTAATGTTTTTACAGATATCGTGGCTGACTGAATACTCAGTTGGAATGTTTGCTATTTTAGTGAGCGCATTAGCTGACTTGAACTCGGAGATATGTGATGCTGATGTCCTTACTTAGATTTTTGATTATCTCATTACCCTGGAGACAGAGGTGCGTGTAGTGCGCTGATTATTGAATTATTTGATGACTGTCCCAAAGTCACAGTGGGTCTGGCACCGCAGGTGGAATTTCGTGCGATTTGTGTTCACTGTATCACGATACTTGCCATTTTTCGCCGTTGGGATGACATTCACGGGTGAGCTACACATGTTCTGACTCGCTTTTTGTGACAACCCTCACTGACGGATAGGTGCGCTTCGAACACAGTACTATCCTGGTGAAAGTGTGAGTGATTACAGCCCTTCAATACCCTAATAATATTTATAACATTCGTGTAGTGTGTTAGATTTGGACAAGCGTCCACCGGTTAGCGTGCACAGTCTACGTTACATTACTTTTCTCATCCAACCCTTACGCAGTGTTGCATATCATCTGCATTCTAGCCGCAGAAGGTATGTCATGTCCTAAATGAGCTCCCGGTATTGACATTTTACCTCTAGGCTTGCTCATAACGAGGATTTACGCTTCCTGGAACAGTAAGCGTCTGCTGGCATTCCTTATTGTATTTCCCCTCGTATGTTTTTCGTTCACCTTTCACTATAAAAGGCTTGGTGCTGAACCACTGCCAGATGTGTTCTGCGGTCTCTTATATCATATCGGACACTACCTTGATCTTCAATTCCGAAAACACGACCTCACTTGATATACGTTTGTGATGCAATCTTTGATTTTCGTGACAATCATACTCATGCAAGGTGGACAGCGAATCCGGGCGACTGTCTTTTCGTGGGCGGCAGAAATAACGTCTATGAGTACTCTGTTCTGTTACTGTACGAACTGGGTCAGGCGTCTCGTCTTTCAAGAATGTTCTTAGGCTCATGCATAATCAGTCCTCTTTGGCTTGATGATGTACATCAGATTCAGCAAGTACGGCAATGTCATCGGACTACTTCAAAGAACGTTCTTCAACGACTCAGCAAAATATATGATCTGTTTGATGAGTAAGATGGTTTTGTTCGCCCAAACGTGTGCTGACATCCTGCTATCGAGTCGTATCATCGTTTAACATAATTTTGACCATGGCTCCTCCGGTGCGTTGCAGTATACCTGGCCAGCCATCCGTGTGCTTATTGTTGAATACAGGTCACATGGGTTTCCATCACAGACTCGTGAGTACATTAACTTGAACGACCGCATCACCAACTGATTGTGTATCACGTCACCAGTCCGCAAATTGTCATCCACAGTGTTCTAGCCTCTCGGATTCTTTTCAACCTACGAGCGAGTGAAGGACAATCGCATATTCACACACTGACGGATATATCTGAGTTGCAGTTTGGAGAAGGTCAATTTTCAATGGTGGTACATGGTGTTTAATCGACTTTATGTATGCAGTGCAGGCCTGGTCCTACTGCTTTTGTATCCTATGTCACATACTAATTGTACCTACGAACTACGATGTCTGCTTGTCTACTCGGAACTTGCGGCCTAGCCTCTGCTTTCGAACTGAGTCGGCTATTGTGAGTTAGATGCGGCTCATCGGGGAAGGAAATCAGTAATCCACTTGCACCGCACACCATACTCTGTTGGAATAACAATGGTCATGTCACGTTCAATGTTGTATCCACAATTCGAGGATGTTCCCGAGACAAAAAATCCACAACAGCTTGAATATAAATCCAGGTAGTCGATGGGCTTAAACCTTGAACCCACTTGCTTGTGATTTCCGTCGTCTGCTCTCTTGGTAAGAACATGGAATAAGAAACTCAGCCGACTGCAACTGACCTACTTCCAGAGCCATATCTTAATATGTCTACCGAAGAAACATACTATAACGTCGAAGTTATCCAGTTTTGGCGAGGCGAGATAGAGTACCTTCGGCCCCATCCCCTTCACTGGGTCATCTACGTCCCAATCGGTCCTGGTGTCGGAAACACGTACCACCTCCTGGGAGACACAGAGACCTACACCGTGGAGTTCAGGCGCAACCAGCCACATGTAAACCCTGATGACTGGCGCGGAAGCCACACCATGGAAAGAGTGGCTGCAAGTAAGCTGGCCCTTTTCGAATGGAACCTCGCGAGCGTTCCGATCATGCATAACGACCCCCGATGGAACAGCCAGAACTGGGTGTGGGACGGTCTTCGCCGCCTCCGCCATCAACGTTTTGAGATCAGCTGGGAGCTTAGGCAATGCGACCTCCAAACAAAGATGTGCTGCCTATTGGAGGACTGGGATTTCGGTCGAATTTAGAGGTGGAGATCTGGCGTGCCTGAGTGGTTGATCGAGTATTTAATGTTCTTATTCAGAGTCATTGGGAGCACTCGCCATAAATTCAAGACATTTGCAATCGCCATGTGAATCAGCATTAGCATCATAGACATCTTGGGTGAAAGTGAGTGCCCTTCATTGTCCTGACTGAATAAAGACTCAAGATCCACTCAATTTCTGTCACTCTGACAGACAGAAATGATGCGTGAAAAAATGACATCCCATCCCTTCGTATTGCCGGTTGGAGATGGGCACTTGCGTGTCGCCCGCGTGTGAGTCGGGCGAAGGAGGCGGCGATGAAGTAAATAGTAATTTGCATTCCTTCAACATGAGCGAAGCGCTGCTAGCAAGACGCGACGGTAGACCAGGATTAATGACCCCATTATCTCAGTTTGACCTGCAGTGATCCGAGTCGACAGCAATGGATCTGGAAATTCAAGCTTCAAGCTTTCAGGCTTGGGCTGCAGTGACGCGATGCCACTTGAAGTCAGACGCACAGTGAACAAGCTAAAAACATTTGTCAGTACTTTGCCTTCCAAGGGGACAAATTTAAACAGCCTGTTGTGAGCACGCTGGTTTACCTGAGTCCCATACTCTGTACTGTACGTACATGAAAGGTAAGTTTTCCAGATTTCAGCGTAACGGTTATGCGCGTGCGGTGCCAGGCACTAGTAATTAATGGACAGAAATTAGCAGCTGACTAAGGCGGAGTGCTTGCGCACGGACTTTCATGCAAGCAGAACCCTCATGCCAAGGACTATATGCAACCAACCTCGCAAGGCCCTTTTCACTGCATTTCATTGGACATCCACACAAAAATTTTGTCAGTGAATGGACCCGCTGAGCATCACTGAAAACCAAGATCTATGATAAACCCTTATATACACATTATAATCCCAACAATGTGTATAATCGTATAAAATATGGCAGTGCAGAAGCCATAGTCTTGTATAGAAATATATTGTTATCCCTTGCGACCAATCTTTATCATGATTACCTGTGCCCGGCATTAGTTGAATGAATTTGGCTGTGTAAAAACTCAAACGGATTGATAAACACGCTAATTGCTGAAAACAAGATATATATGTGTAGAACGCTATCCCCTATGACCAATAATCATCAAGATGGTTTTCATTTAGCATTAGCTGCATGAATCATGTTGTGACAGTACTAAAACTGTACTGAAGTGGTGAAGCATGTTCGAAAAAGTGTCTCTCATTTAGCATTTCTAGCACAGAGGCTCTCCTGTCCAATAAGTAAAAGAGATGGAAATT